AAATAGAGTTGAATGAAGACAGGCCTTTTTTCCGCCTTCATATCTTCCATATTTGTTAATGAATTTCTGAGGGTAACCGTTGTTTTCCAACATCTTTTCGAGAAACATGAATTCTTCCTCTAATTTCTCTTCAGAGCATATTCTCCTAGCTCTTTAGTAGAGAGTCTTGATTGGTGCTCGTTTAAAGCTATTTGAACAAAAACTGTTAAAATGAAAGTGTTACCGATTCCATGTAGGTTTTCGGTAAACTGACTTCTGAAGACTAACATCTGCTAGGCGTTGCATGGCGATGTCAAGGAAATGGAAATTTCCATCATTTTCATGTTCCATAGTATGTGCGTTGTTGAATAATCCGAGTAGATAGGACGTATGACTTTCATTATTGCACACTACCAATGTGTCATCAACATATCGACAATAAGTTGTTTCGTCGACTGCATGCTTCAACTTTGTTTTCTCAAGGTTTGACATGAAGATATCTGCTAAAACAGGACAAGTGGATCACCCATAGCCACACCATCTATTTGTTGGTAAAGAGTGTTGTCAAACTGGAAGTGTACATCCATGGTACACATTAGCAGTAGGCGTTTGAATTCCGACTCTGGGAGTGGGAGAAGATCCGACTACCGAAAAATGATATCAATGGTTTCATTGAACAAGGAGGTTTCATCAAATGACGCCATGAACTTATTTGAAACCTTCATGCGACTCACACTTTCGGCGAAATTAAATGAGTCTTTCATGGTGTTTACGGTTAGCTGTCGACGAATGGACTCGAACTTCTCTGTAAGCCAACGAGCAACCTTATGCTGAGGCGAGTTGATCATCGAAAGTATAGGTCTCAGAGGGACTTGTTTTTGTGTGTCTTTGGAAAGCCATGCATGTGCGGCAAACGAAACACTTGGGGTTTAAAATCATTGTAAGTGTTGTTGTATTTCCTGCGGGGAGGAGATCAGAGACTATGGACAGTCATGGCGGTAGCTGAAGAGTACCGCAGAAAATAGGACAAAGTGGAGATGTGCTTCTGAAGCTCTATGTTTCACTTGGAACCCAAGAGGAAAATTATAATCATAATATTATCACTATTATTCATTCCTTGCTTTTCGAGGGTAACATCGGGCTTCACTGGCGAATTTTCATTTTACTCTGTTCTCTGCCATCTCTTTCAAATAACTCCACGAGTAACCATAATTTTTTATTTCCTCCTCACATCATTCTCAGAGACCAAACTTGTTACTTCCTGTTCCCATTCCACTCGACAGCCTGACGTTTCATGTCACTCATTAGTCTCTTCAGTGTAGGTCAAATCCATCCCCAATTCTTTTCGTATATTTGTTGACCAGTAGGTTGTTGGATGGCTGGATGCCTGCCAAACTTGCTTATTGCTTATGCTTCCTGGACAATCATCTGGACGTTAGTATCAGGCTAAGGCGGACACCAGTGAAAGTCTTCAATAGCTTGTTGGAAATCCTTTCGATGACGTGCTCACCAAGTCTCCAGACCATATAGAAGCGCTGACTTGGTATATATATATATATATATATATATATATAAGCAACAGAACAATAGTTTGGAAAGTCCCTCCTCAACGATCTAACTACAATATTGATACTTGGATATTTTAACTTTGTACTTATTTTCCTCTCTTGCCTTAGGTTATATACTGTCAAATACTCAGATCGCTGAGATCCTGGACCTATCGCTGGTCTCAGAGAATTAAGCCTAATACGTGGAAGATTATGCATTGTAACCGACGCGGAATAACAGAAAACGTTTTTTGGCCAACATGATTGGGTTTATTCTTTAAGCGATAACGAAACAGATTTACAGTAGTCAATCAGTGCTAATGTCTGTAAACAGACGTTAATATAATATACAAGAATACTTGTGATCGTGTTTCTCCAATCTTCTGCCAACTAGTACAGGATTTAGCAATGACAGCCTTCTTGTCTCCCGTCAATTTGAAGACCAGTTCAAATAAACAAACTATTCTGCGGTACTGCGGCGTACCCCAAATATTCATCAACCTTATTCAACAGCTGTACGACAACTGCACATGTCAAGTGATCCACAACGAGGCTTTGGGGTAAACACAGGATGGAGTCAGACAAGGGTGCTTATTATCACCAATGATATTCCTAATTGTGGTGGGCTGGATTATGCGTCAGACAGTGAGAAGCGAGAAGACAGGGATATCCTGAACCGACGTGAAGAACCTAGAAGACCTGGATTTCGCGCGTGGATCATTTCTGTTTGATGTCACACAAAATCGAACACTTACAAGCGAAAACCGACAAACTGGTCGAAGAAGCAGCAAAGACAGGACTCCAGGTGAACATAGACAAGACGGAGGTTATGAAAATAACCAACCAACATCAACAACAACAGCAGCAACATCCAGCGCCAATCACCATCAACGGGAGGGATTTGAAAGAGGTTACTTCATTCACTTATCTAGGGAGCATTGTCTCAACTACAGGAGGAACGGACGAGGATGTCAAATCGAGAATCGGTAAGGCAAGAATCACATTCATCAACCTGAAACCAATCTGGAAATCTTCGTCACTCAACATCATTAACAAAATTCGGATTTTCAATACAAACGTCAAGTCAGTCAGTTCTTCTATACGGATCAGATCAGAAACTTGGCGGGTCACAAAGAATATTTCCAACAGCCTGTTGCAGACCTTTAATCAACATTTGTCTTCGTTCTATACTGAAGATTAGATGGTCGGAAAGAATCACCAACAAGAAACTATGGGAACAAACAAAACAAGAACAAAACAATCGCCCAACAAATATGCAGGAGAAAGTGGAGATGGATTGAACACTCGCTGAGGAGGAGGCCGCTGGGCGACATCGCGCGTCAGGCCAATACTCGAGTGGAACCCGAAAGGGAAGCGGAGAGTGGGATGTCCGAGAGTAGCATCGAGGAGATCGTGTGAAGAGGAGTTGAAACAGTATGGACTAACATGCATGCAGGTGAACAGTACAGCAGAAGACAGAAGCAAGTGGAGACGTGCAGTTGAAGCCCTATGTTCCACTAGGAACCCAAGGGAACAATAATTTATTATTTATTTATTTTTATTTTGATTTACAGCTTGATTCCACACCGTATTTTCGGTACAAGTGTGGAATTTTTAGCATAGATATCGGTAGCCAAAATTCAGGCCGACCATAGATATCGGCAGGGGATCGAACCCCGGACCATGTGTATGGTCGGCGAGAGTCGTAACCACTGTGCCACCGTTCATATATCATCTGTTGACTTAATCCTTGTAATTTGTCTTTACCCCTTATTTGAATCTCTAGCGTTGATGCCTCTCTTTATGGTTGTCTGATGATGGTATTGATTATGTTGCTGTTGTTGTTTTAATGATTCTTGGTCATTCTCACGATGGACTGTCCGTGAGAATTGTTTAGTGCATAATTCTTGATGACAAAGTTTTGATCCCACCTTATTGGGAATATTCCACTTGATTCCCAGGTACTTCTTACAATTGAGTGTTGGCTGAGTAATTCTGTAGGATCTGGACTTCGCCGATGACATATGTCTGATTTCACACAAACTGGAAGATATGCAAGCGAAAGGCAACAAGTTGGCAGAAGAAGCATCAAAGATAAGACAGGACTTCAGGTGAACATAGAGAAAACAAAGGTAATGAAGATTCCTGGACAAGAACAACAACAACAACAACAACAACAGAAAACGATCAGCATAAATGGGAGGAACCTGAAAGAAACAACCTCTTTTACCTACCTGGGAAGCATCGTCTCAACTACAGGCGGAACTGACGAGGATATCAAAGCAAGGCAAGCTTTCACTACTCTCAAGTCTGTATGGAGGTCAACAGCACTCAGCATCAAAAATAAGATCCGGATTTTCAACTCCAATGTGAAGTCAGTCAGTGCTACTATACGGATCAGAGACTTGGCGCGTCATAAAGAGCATCTCAAACAAACTACAGATCTTCATTAACAGCTGTCTTCGCTCAATGCTACTCAAGATCAGATGGCCAGAAAAGATCAGCAACAGGGATCTCTGGGAGCAAACCAACCAAGAACCGATTGTGAAACAAATCTGCAGGAAGAAATGCAGTTGGTGGATTGGCCATACTCTGAGAAAACCATCAACTGACATCACTAGACAAGTCATTGCTCGAGTGGAACTCGAAAGGGAAGCGACGAGTTGGTCGTCAGTGCAAGGGTGACTTGGAGGAGGTCATGTGAAGAGGAGATGAAAATGTGTGGGCAGACTTGGAGCCAGGTGAAAACTCTAGCAGAGAACCGAACGCAATGGAGACGCATGGCTGAAGCCCTATGTTCCTCTAGGAATTAAAGGAAACAATAATAATAACAATAATGAGTAATTTTGTTGTACAGTGTTTGTTTTGTATCTGAGATCTAATTTGATGTGTATACCGCTACCTAGCGGGATTTTTGAGGTACGTTTGACTAGATTATATGTTATTACTGTTAAGTGGTATCGTAGGTTTTATCTCAAACAACTGTGTTTTTGATATCATAGGGGGATTTTGTTACTGTGATTAACTCAAGGGGGGTTTTGGTCAGGTATGCAGTAGAACGCAAACATCAGTTTCCTGCATTCAGACCAATAACACATGGTATATACATATTAGGACGCTCGCCGACCATGCACATTGTCCGGGGTTCGAACCCCGGCAACCGACGCACTCCTTTACCTCACTAAACCAGAAATAATGCTGGTGAAGAGGAAAGGTTGGGCATGAAGCTAGCAACCCCATCCTGTAAAATAAACACTGTTACAGAATCTTCAAGACACTAGCTTGAAGCCCTATGTTCCACTGGGGAACGTGAAGGATAAAAAAATATATATACATATTATGCAATAAATAAACGGAAGAAAGGATAAATCTGATACATAATTCTATATTATTTTTTTATCACATAAGGTAACATTTTAAAGTATATTTATCCAAACTGTTTATGTTATTTCAAATATATTATTTTGTGAAGTATTAAAATACATTCGTTTTATGCTGACGTAAAATAGCCACTTCAGATCGTAATACTTTTAATTCATTCGATTGTTCTTTTATTTTACGGAGAATATTTTGATATTGAATTAACATTTTATGCCGAAAATGTGGACTACTCGATTTGTCAGTTTTTCCGTCTAAAATTGAAGAAAAAGTAGGCGATAATGAATTTGTGAATCATAGTAATAAAAAAAACTAAGTTGCCTATTGTATTAATTCTCAAGGGATAGTTTGTAGGGATTTCATTTGTCCCAAATTTGACCACGGGTTGATATCAATTAGGTAGATATTGAAAATCGGCAGGTAGCACTGAACAGCTGTTTTCTCCCAGTTTGAGACTCTTCAGCAACACGCAACCACTGAGGTTCGGATCTAGGACAGTCCGGTTACAAGCCAAGCTTATAGACCATTCAACCACTGCGACCCGACTCATTGGCCCATGAATTCTACCTCCTACCAATTCATGATTTTATCGCGACCACTAGCCAATGTCATCAGCAAGTATTCTTTCTCACTTCCGACCGAATTAGTTATTTAAAAGGTATTATATACTTATTCTACGGCATTCAATGACTTCAGGTGTTTCGTTCCCGCATTCCGGCAATATTATAAACTTAATTCGTAGACTGAATTTTTGAAAACTAAAACTATTACACTGTAATATCAAGTACAATTTATTACTCATAATTATATTAGTTTAGTTATGAAACGACAGAAGACAAGAATCAGGCAACAGATCGTTTATTGAGAAAATCAATAGATATTTATAGATTTTCATGTACATTATTCTTAGCAGAGAAGCAACGTTTTCTGATTTGTTGTTTTCTTGCTGAAGGTTACTCTATAATGCTCGTGACAGTTTCTTAGAAAGTTAAGCCATATATCTGCGATTCGTATTTGCACACGTTAAGTCTGCTGTGATTGGTTGGTGAATTCCTCAAGGTTAAGCTTTGTTCTTGTTTTTTCTCATGACCCTGATTCGGGACCTAACATTGACGTAAATTGTTGTTTACAATTTTGGCTTGTTCGCAGTCAGCTCTCACCACAGTTGCACGACTTTCTCTACTTGTTCGATATAGTCGGATCACCGACGGGATAGATATGCAGACACACGAAGTTGAACAGTGAAGGTAAGTAAGAATTACTGAATCACTAGGCTACCTAACACAATAAATCATATTTTCTCTAATTCTACAGGTGCGGATTTCATGGAGACGAAGAAAAAAATCTCGTAAAGGATAAGTCCATACTTTAGATTTAAAGGCATTGCATTGTGGGTCGGTGGCACAGCGGTAGAATGCTTATCAGCCACGCAGGTGGTCTGGGGTTCGGTCCCTGGCCGAAGCACTCCTTTACATCCCTAAGCCAGTAATAAGATTGGTGAAGAGGGAAGAGTGGGTATGAGGCTAGCAACCCCATCCTGTAAAAGTAAACACCATTGCCACCGAAACTTCAAAGCTGTAGGTTGAAGCCTTATGTTCCACTGGGAACATAAAAGAATAAAAAAGAAACTTCACGTGATATACTACATACTGATACCTTACTTCAAGATCCTGGCTGAGGAGAAAATATTATGCAATAAGTTACACTGAGAATTCTGTATACTCTGTAAACCTTTTGTTCAGAATAAAGCTATTTATTTTTATTATATTATTAAACATAAGTCCATGACTTCCTGACGATTTCCTCAAACCATAAGATAATGGTCATATCCATTTTCATTTATCAGATGACGGGGATAAGTAGTGAGTTACTCCTATTGAATGTATTGCTTGTTGATTCAATAATGCATTATTATAATAATATTATGATTATTGCTTCCTTTAGTTCCTAGAGGAACATAGGGCTTCACCAGCACGCCACCATTTCGTTCGGTTCTCTGCCAACGTTTTCACCTGGCTCCACGTCTGTCCACATGCTTTTATCTCCTCTTCACATGACCTCCTCCATGTCACCCTCGCAATGATGACCAACTCACCGCTTCTCATTCAGGTTCCACTTGAACGATGGCCTGGCGCGTGGTGTCACTCACTTAAAGGTTTTCTCAGAGTGTACTCAATCCACCTCTATACCTTCCTGCATGTTTGGTGCACAGTTGGTTCTTGCTGGGTTGGTTCGCTTTCAGAGATCCCCCTGTAGCTGATCTTTTCTGGCCGGCCATCTGATATTGAGTGGAAATGAGCGAAGACAGGTCTGTAGTTTGTTCTAAGTGGCCTTCAATAATGTGCATAAATATAAGTGAAATTCGTATTCACAAGTGTTCTGCTAATTTTGGGTGGACTATTTCTTTAATTTATTTGCATATCTTGCCACTTGTTCGTGCTATCAGTTTAAACTGTATTAGTACAGAGACCTACATCTTTTGATATTCGATGACTATGTACGTGGCTTAGTTGAAGTTTCACTCAGTGAAATGGTTAACACGTGTATATTTCAAGTTTGATCACAGATTGATATCATTTAGACAACCATGGAAGACCAGAGAATACCGAAAGGCTCTCTTGTCCTAGTTTGGGAATCTTCGGCAGTATCCATCTACGAGGACTCAAACTCAGGGCCTTCTGGTTACAAGGTAAACTCGTCAACCATCGATCCAGCCACTGGTATGGAATCCAATAACCCAAGAATTCTAACTTCTGTCGATTCGTGACTTTTAGCGTCACCGCGGGCCAATGTCATCGGGAGAGAGCATTTGTCATCACATCTGACCTTGTGGACACTACTGGTCACTAGAACCCCAGCCAACTTCGTCCCGTAGTCAGTCAGTTCACTAGCAAGATTTGCTTTGTGACCTGATTAAAAATCAAAAGAATCTGCTCATAAAAAGACGAGAAAATCTATGAAGAAACATGTAATATGTTCGCTAACAAAGCAAAACACACGTAAAATAAACAGAATCTACTGAACATAATTGCTTTATTTTAAGAAAGAAATTTTTCAAACTTACAACTTTGTTCATGAATGAATTTTGTTTCGTGTAAGGCAATATTTAATTCTTCAATATCTTTTTTAGCTTTTTCATTCTCCTTTTTAAGTTTTTCACTTTGTTGTACTTCATATCGTCGAAGACGAGCAAGCTTCTGATTCATTGCTTTCTCATGATTCTGTTAAATAAAATCAAAACATCCACATACATCATTTGTTATATAATTGATTGGTGCGTAATACTATGTGTAATTTAATGAATGCGTTCAGCTTTCATTGTTGACGTGTGAATTCAAACAAAACCGTTATTCCATTCTTGAGAGTTTCAAGTGGAACACAAAGCGCCGAGCTTGACCTATGAAGTTACAGTGCCACTGGTGTTGTTTTTACGGGATGAGACTGACAGCGTGACGTCTAACCTTCCCTCTTTACCTGGTTTACTACCGGCCAGGTGAGGCTTAGAAGTACGTCGACCGGGAATTGAGCCCTGAACAACTCGTGTGGTTGGCGAGCGTTCTACCGCTGGACCATCGACAGAGCAAGACTAATCAAGATGATATTAAAGAGAATGACAAGAAATAACGACTAATACCGATTGTATAGGGGACTCTTGTGGCCTAAAAGTCTACTGGTTTAGGCGTTCGAAATGATGGGTCCTGAGTTCTAGTCTTCAGTGGTGACACTATCGCTCACTGGGATGTAAGTAAATTCATCTAATTCATCCGTAGTGGAATAAAACACCAGCCCTGAATTTAAGTGTCAGTCAATACCAACCAACTGATACTTGAGTAAATTTCAATTCCCAGATATTTTCAATGGAAAAGTCTTACGGAAATTATGCAAACTGTATCATATTAATAATCTCACCTGGTTTATTTACGCACTAGTTTTCTAGCCAGTCCCGCACCTGGGAAAAGAGGGAGGGTTGGGCGTAGGACTAGTAACCCTACCCCGGAAAATTGATCAAACAGTCACAAAAGCTTCAAAGCACAATTATCACGTAAGTACTCCAAAGTAAATAACTGTGTGATCATGTAATATTTTAAGGTGTAAGGTTTTCACTTTCCTAATGGATTTCATCTTTATAAGAATATCGCTTAGTGGAAATTCACTACTTATTATTTTTACCTTTGCCAGTTGTAACAGGCATTGTACAGTGTATAAATTAGTATTCACAAACGAATGGTGCAAACTGACAGTTAGTTATACGGTACATAATTTAGTGCAATTTTAATAAGCAATTTCTGAATAGATGTGTATAAGGCGTGGGTGGTTAATCGGTAGAATGTCCACTTGTAACAGCGATAAAGAAGGAAGTTTGGGCGTGAGGCCAGCATATCCACCCAGTAGAAATACCCTGCTACTGAAACTTTAAAAAAACGTGAAGCTTGAAGCCCTATGTTCGACAGGGAACGAAAAGCAATAAAGTAGCATAAAAAATAACAGGCGTTTCAATAGACTACAGGATATATGGTGTAAATGGTGATGAACATTGAATCATGTATTTATTAGAACTGGTTGCCATTTGGCGGGATACAAGAAGGCTATCGTTGCTTAGTTGTATACTGGTCGGCAGAAGATGGGAGAAATACGATCAGAAGTATAATTGTACATTATATTAATGTTTATTTACAGACTTTGCTGACAGTAAACCGTATTTGTTTTATTATTGGTGAAAGAATAAACAATCGTATTGGATTCTGGTTACTGTGCGAAGTGTTCTGCATATTAGGCATAGTCTTCTGAAACCAACGATAGGCCCAGGATCTTTGTGATCTGGATATTTGACATCTAGTTACAACTATAGTCTTAACAGTACCTCAACTGCTGGTACATTATGAAGAAACTCATGCTGAATTTTGGCAGCAATGTGGTTATAAAGCTTATGTTCGCTTAATAACTACCCGAAGATTCATCAAATAAAATACTCTGACCATCACCCATACGAATACCCATTGTTATTTAATGGGAGGTTAACTTTTAACATGAACAGTAAATTCACATCTCATCTTTAAAAGAATTAGACATACATTATGATTGTAAATACATGTCACCTCAATAAACCTACGACAGAAATACAATGTAGAATCACTATTCGTAAATTTGCGAATTAAACTGTTGTTTGAGGCAAAGATTCATCACACTTTCACTTTGAAATCGAAAGTATTTGGATCACAATAATACGAACTGTTTGGTATTATAAATGACTGTCGAGGAGGCGAACATAAACCACACTTACACAGACACGCATCGATCAGTAGTGCTTGTTAGACACACCGAAGCAGTGTAAACACTCTCACTTGGTACAGGCACGCAAACTATGTCTGCTTTCTTTGATTATAGCTTTATTTTACACCGTATTTTTGGTACAAGTATGGAATTTTCAGCATGTAATATCGGTAGCCCAAATTTTGCAGGCCGACCAATTGATATCAGGTGTGGGTCGGTAGGGGATCGAACCCCGGACCATTTGCATGGTCGGTGAGAGTCCTAATCGCTGAACCACTGACCCTTTTTTGATTTTCACTTATAATATCAAGCAGATCACATAATGTGTGTGTGACCTCAATATTTTCAATCTTCAGAGGAAACTGTAGCGGATTTTCACCTCACACTGTGTAATTTGAAGATTGTGAATTCGATTCTACTTATTACTAGTTTGCCGGAGTAGCTAACCAGTATTCAGATAGTATGAACTGATTAGGTTGTCTGAGTTGCTATCATACTACTTATATCAATCTATCAGTGGTATATACCATCATGCGGGAAATTAAGTAGAAATTTTTTGTACGGATCGTGGTTACGACAACCGAGGAATTTCGCAGTTGAACAGGAGTGTGAGCACTTGATAAGATAGAGGCAAGTCAGATGATTCATTGACCTATAGACCTACTCATGAGCGGTCTTTCACGGTACTGAATGAAACTTAGAGGCTGTCCCCATTAGCCGTCTATTTTACAGCGAATATGGGCTCTTATACACTAGCGACATCGCAGAGTGCTTCATGTATGCAGGATCCCGATTTTCATACCTTTACCAACTGGCGTGAACACACCATATCTGATGCGGTAGGCTAACTGGCATGCTCTTGAGATAAACCATGTTGGGTAAACTATGTCATCAACCACCATCCACTAACCATGGCTGATCCCAACAGGTTCGTCCAGCATCACGATAATCAAGGTAGACTCATAGCCCTGCTAGGTTTCCTCATGATGCCAAGGGGGACTTCCTTTGCAACGGTCAGTCAAGGTGAGTGACCAGATGCGAGTGCTTGGGCCCAGCAGGCTAAGTCCTACCCGGCATTCGCCACGTGGAGGCATTCACTACTTGTAGCCCATCTCAGTATCTGAGTAATGAATATCCGTTAGGCAGTTACTAGATGACAAATCGAGGACTTTACGCCTCCTGACATTACCCGTACACGATTGAGCATCTTTATGTCGATACTCAAAGTATGGAGCAGGAATGATGTTATCCATTTGTACTGAAAATCAAATTTCACTAGCTACACAGACTTATGCATATATTACAAAATCATAGTCAATAATAACTGAGAATAAATAGAACATTATTAAACGCACATTACGATCATTACTTACTTCTCGTAACATTTGTATAGTATGTTCTGTATTTGCAATCTGAGTGCTAATCAAAGCATCATAATCGTTTGAATGAAGATACTGTAAAAAAAATAGAAGTGATTAGACGAGGCTGTCAGTTTTATTTTAACTTACTTTCTGTATTTCACTTGTTATTTTAAATCTTTTTATATCACATAGTTTATTTTGTAAATCTTCATAATGCATTAACATTTCACGTAATTCCCTGGAATTGAAATTATAAGGAATAGGTATTAGTAAGTATTAAATCTTAAGTAGAGATTATACAATAAGTACTAACAAATAAATATAACTCTAAATTACATCACAAACTGATATTAGTGTTAGAGAACCACTGAAAAGCACCAGGAAGTACTGGACAGTGGTTTTGTCCTAGTTTGAGACTCCCAGTGATACTGTGGTGAGAGCTGTCTGCTCTATCATTATTATTGTTCCCTTGGGTTCCTAGTGGAACATAGGGCTTCAGCTGTACATCTCCACTTACTTCTGTCTTCTGCTGTGCTTTTCACCTGAATCCATGTTAGTTCATACTGTTTCAACTCCTCTTCACACGATCTCCTCCATGTCACCTTTGGACGTCCCACTCGCCGCTTCCCTTTCGGGTTCCACTCGAGCACTGGCCTGACACGCGATGTCACCCAACGGCCTCCTCCTCAGCGAGTGTCCAATCCATCTCCACTTTCTTCTGCATATTTCTTGGGCGATTGGTTCTTGTTTCGTTTGTCCCTGTAGTTTCTTTTTGGTGATTCTTTCCGGCCATCTGATTTTGAGTATAGAGCGAAGACAGTTGTTGATAAAGGTCTGCAACAGGCTGTTGGAAATATTCTTTGTGACCCGCCAAGTTTCTGATCCATCCCTATAGAAGAACTGACTGACTTGACACGTTTGTATTGAAAATCCGAATTTTGTTGTTGATGCAGGCTGAGTGACGAAGATTTCCAGATTGGTTTCAGGTTGATGAATGTGTTTCTTGCCTTTTCGATTCTGGATTTGACATCCTCGTCCGTTCCTCTTGTAGTTGAGACAGAGCTCCCTATTTAAGTGGGGCAGAAACTTCAACGCTGTCTGCTCTGCTAGCCAAAATTGTAGACAACAATTTACGTCAACCTTTACGTAGCGAATCGGGGTCATGAGAAAAAACAATATCAAAGCTTAGCTTTGAAGAACTCACCAACCAATCACAGCAGACTTAACGTGTGCAAATACGATTCGTTGATATATAGCCTGACTTTCTAAGAAACGGCCACAAAGAGATGACAGAATAACCTTCAGCAAGAAAACAACAAATCAGGAGACGTTGCTTCTCTGCTAATAATAATGTACATAAAAATCTATAAATATCTGTTGCCTGGCCCTTGTCTTCTGTCGTTACAATACTACCGGAGATGGAACAGCTGTCCAGTGCTCCATGATTTTCTGTGGTTCTCCGACTCATGATCTGACTTGCAATTATTCGAACACTCACCAGGAAATAGACATTATATTTAGTGCAATGGGAGTGTAACGGAATAATTGTTTGGAAACTCCCTTCTCAACGAATCTAACTTCAATATTGATACATATTTGGATGTTTCAACTTACTTCGTAATTGTCATCCCTCTTTCTCATAGACTGTATATCATTGTTCAGACGTTAGCATATCATCTCTTGAGTCGATCTTTATTTTTTGTCCTTGTTGCTGTTTAATTTCTAATTTAAATGCTTCCCTTTGTGGTTGTGTGTACACTGACAATGTGTTGTTTTACGATGTGGTTTTGTTGGAGTGAATGAAAGGCATTCTGACTATGGACTGTCTTCGGGAAACGTTAGTGTGTGATTCTTGTAGACAGAGTTTTTGAGAACATTCTACTTGATTCTAAGTACTTGTTTTGCACTCAGAAAATTACTTTGTGTGTATAGCTGCTTAACGGTATTTCTGAGTCAATTTTGAGTTCTTGATGTGTTATTATTGTTGAATAGAACCACATAGATCCATCCAAGTATGACCAGCTTTTTTCTATCTTTGGAGGGTTTTGTGACTGTGAGTGTCTCAGTGAAGTTTCGGTTAGATGTGCAGTAGAACACAGAGATAGGTTTCCTGCGTTCTGACCACAATGAGTCGATTTTGGTCGTAGCAGGGAGCGCTAAAGTTACTACGTCTTGTGTTTATCGTATCAGGCGAATAAATTTTAAGGATCTGACTTAGCTATTTACGTAATCCTAAATGAGGTGCTAGTGTGCAGTAATTATTTAATCGAACGTATTAATTTATGTTAAGTTAATGTTGTTTTCAACTTATAGAATATATCATGCCACATTGTTAATTCATGCGACTTGTGAAACAATTTTTATCTGGATGTTGAACTTATAGATAATACCATCCCAAAAGTGCAACCAGTATTTGAGAAACTTGCTGATTTATAAAGTGTTTAATAAGACTACAGGCGGAACTGACGGGGATATCAAAGCAAGAATCGGAAAAGCAAGACAAGCTTTCACTACTCTCAAGTCTGCATGGAGGTCAACAGCACTCAGCATCAAAAATAAGATCCGGATTTTCGACTCCAATGTGAAGTCACTGCTACTATATGAATCAGAGACTTGGCGCGTCATAAAGAGCATCTCAAACAAACTACAAACCTTCATTAACAGTTGCCTTCGCTCAATACTCAAGATCAGATGGCCGGCCAGAAAAGATCAGCAACAGGGATCTCTGGCAATGAGCGAACCAACCAAGAACCGATTGTGAAACAAATAGGCAGGAAGAAATGGAGATGGATTGGCTGGCCATACTCTGAGGAAACCATCAAGTGACATCACCTGACAAGCCATTGCTCGAGTAGAACCCGAAAGGGAAGCGGCGAGTTGGTCATCAATGCAAGGGTGGTTTGGAGGAGGTCATGTGAAGAGGAGATGAAAGCGTGTGGGCAGACATGGAGCCAGGTGAAGACTCTAGCAGAGAACCGAACGCAATGGAGACGCACGGCTGAAGCCCTATGTTCCTCTAGGAATTAAAGGAAACAATAGTAATAATAATAAAACTGTTTGAGAAATTCATAAGGTAACCTAAGTTATCAGGTGCAGGTAGATAAAAATAGAAGTGGAGATCCTGCTTTTAAAATATCAGTAGTCGGCTTGTGTGAAACCAGTTCACTGGTGTACTGTCTGGACTATGAAATACATATTTTGGTTTGTATACACTTTGCTGAAATAGTTAAGTTTCTGTTCGACTTTTGATTTCAGAATATAGAAAAAATACTACTGTGGCGTCTACTACTGATAAGATTTATCAGTAGTATACGAAGAGAAATTCATCGACATAAAAGTATCAAATACCAAGGTGATACATTTGACGTCAGAGAAAGCAAATGATATAGCGTTGCGGAGATACATAGGAGATGTGGCAGGAACACAAATAAACGCAATATGAAGGCCAGAAGTAGCACAACACAAAAGATCTGTGCAAATGGTGCGCTGAAGATAAGGAGTACATAATTTTGCTATATAGCGATACCGAATTCCTAATAAACACATCCCTTTACCAAGTTCTCGTCATCTACCGTTACACTACCTAGAGAGTAACTTCTATTCCTTCTCAAGTGAAATTAAACAACTTTGAATGGAATTTGAAAGACTCTATCTTTGTTTTAGATAGTCAGATATTAAACTGTGTGCATCGGTTACACGCTTACCAGAATCACATGGTATAGCAGGGCTGACAGTATAAGATACGTTGCTAAGTTATTCAAAAGACAGGACTATGAGTGAACTAGTATTTGAACACATTTATTCTTATGTATTTAAATGGCTTACTAATGTGTCATCTACCGTCAACAGTATAACATCATTCATTCCCAGTAGCTGAATGGTCAACGAGCTCCTCTAGTTACCGGGTGGTTGAGTACTGATGAAGAGTGCCAAGTTAGGAGGAAACAGCTGCCTAGTTCTCTCTGGTGGTTTCTACACCGACCCCTAGATTAGAAATAGGAAGTGAAGTGGTAGAGCACGTTGACCGCTTCACTTACTTGGGAAGTACCATCAGCCCCAACGGGTTGATCTCAGACGAAATCTCAGCACGAATACAGAGGTCTAGTTTCGCATATGCCACTTTACGCCGTCTCTGGCGTAGACGCGATATCTGACTATCGACCAAAGGGCGTGTGTACTGCTCAACAGTCCGCCCCGTCCTCCTTTATGGATGTGAGACCTGGCCATTGAGAGCAGAAGACATGAAAAGATTAGCTGTGTTCGATCATAAGTGTCTGCGTTCTATCTCCCGCGTGAAGTGGTATAATAAGGTGAGCGATATTGAGGTTAGGCGTCGAGTGCTAGGTAAGAAGGGGAAATCAATCGACAAGGCTATGAAATTACATAGACTGAGATGGTTAGGACATGTGCTACGTATGCCTAGTCATCGCCTTCCTCGACGGGCAATGTTAGCTGATATAGGGCCAGGCTGGAAAAGAGCTAGCAGCGGTCAAACGAAAACATGGCACTAGTCAATGAAATCTACAACAGTCAGTCTAAGCCACGTAGGAAAGTGTAGACTTCCTGGTTGGGATCCTCGGGACGGTAAAAACCAATGGTTGGAAACAATTGGTGATATGGATCAAAATCGTTCTCAGTGGGGCAGATGCATCCACTCCATGTGACTCATGATTTCCAATGAAATTGTTTTGCTCTTCGTTATTACTATTCCTTTGTCTCACACCTCTGTTTACTGTCTATATTATGCATTTCTTCTACTTTCTTCTGTTGCTTTGTGTGCTACATGGAGTGTGGCGACTTGAACTGCCGCACCGACTAATTGATGTCAGTCAGCCCGCAATCAAACAACATGTAGCCAGTTAAATCCCTGCAAATTGAAACTTAATAAATGTAATAATTATGCAGCATTTTACTTACCATTCAAGATGATAAAATCGTCTTTTAAAGTCTTTACTTTTAGTCATATGCAAAACTTTTGATTCACCCAAAGCGATAATCTGTTTATTTAATTCTTCAACTTGTTCTCTTTGTACAAGTAATGCATCATCATAATCATGAAGTAGTGTAGTCGGGTTAATGTTTACTTCAACAAAACCTTGTTTCACTAGCAATTGTAATTCTAAGTCTGTTTGATTCCGATGATATTCTTCAATGAGATCAGTTAATTGCTTATTTTTTGTTTCTATTAATGTGTTCACTGAGTGCAAATCATGTTCACGTCTCTAAAATATTAGAAAATATGAAAATATATTCAAGTAGTGCTAAGTGAAAACACGAAAATAAGCGAAGCGGTATATTTTAAATCGATATCATGCTGACTTTTGAAAATTAAGAGAAAAGTATATTTCTGCTGTTTCTCTTCTGTTGTTTTACTAACTCACATAGTTAAATCATTATGTCCTACCAAAGTTTCTAGAAAGAAGTTATTTGCTACTTTAATAATAAAACTAGCATTCATTTAGGATAACAAATAACTTTTTATATGAGTAAAACTTTCAAGGCGTATATAGACATCGTGTTATTTGCTGGGAAGTATTCATGTTCTTCAAGTATCGGTTTGTAGGGATTTGATTGATTGGTTACAGGATTTCAGACATTGATTACATTGGTTACAGAACCATGGTAAAACTAGCTAGGAGTACTGGATAACTGTTTCATCAGCCTAGTTTGGGACTCTTTGCTCACCCGCCACAAGGGGTTTGAACCCAGTACCTTCTGGTTACAAGGCGAGTGAGCTCGTAGACCATTGAGCAGCCACTGGGACCCGATCCAATGACCAGTCCATGAATTCCAACTTCTGGCAATTCACGACATAACGCGACCGCCAGCCAATGTCCTCGGCGAGTATTTATCATTACACCCGACCTGCTGTACCCTACTGGTCGCGACTTCCCACTAGAACCCCAGGTAACTACCTACCTGAATAAGGCCAGTTGCCAGTGAGCATCTCATTGATATTAAAGTATTGGTTTGTAGGGATTTTATTGATTGGTTACAGGATTTCATCATGAGTTGATATCGGTTAGAGAACCATTAGGTCGGGTATGAGGACAAATACTCTCCACGGATGACATTGGCGGGCGGTCGCGCTATATCGTGAATCGGCAGAAGTTGGAATTCATAGACTGATCATTGGATCGGGTCCCAGTGGCTAATGAATGGTCTACGAGCTAACTGGCCAGGAGGTCCTGGGTTCGAACTCCCCGTGGTGGGTGCGTACTGATGAAGAGTTTCGAACTAGGACGGAGGAAACAGCTGTCCATTACTCCCAGCTGGTTTTCCAATGGTTCTCTAACCGATGTCAGCTCATGATGAAATCCTGTAACCATTTCATGTTCTATTTTGATGCTTATTATTATTATTCCCTTAGGTTCCGGATGGGACATAAGGCTTCAGCAGCACATCTGCATTTCGTCCTGTTTTCTGCAGTCGTCTCCATCTAGTCGCACGACTACTCATAAACTTTCATCTTCTCCTCCTCACACGATCTCCTTCACGTCAACCTTGAACTTATGCTGAACTCGTCATTTCCTATTCGGATTCCACTCGACCGATGGCCTCACACGCGATGTTATTCAACACTCTCCTCAGTGTATGTCCGATCCAACTCCATTCTCTTCTACATATTTGTTGACCAATAGGTTCTTGATATGTTCATTGGCAGGATAACTTGTTGCTAAGCCCTTCTGGACATCATTTTGATGCCTACATCACTGACTGATGTTTCATCTGGTATCTATGAAAATATACAGCAATAAACAGCTACTGTCATAGAGAAAATATACAACAGTATGTACCATCAACTTGACACAAATTTCATATTACCAGGCTTCTCGCTTACAGTTTAAATAGAAGCCATCTGATGGTAATTCAATTTGATATTGATTTTATCCGCTTTTAGTCAGTATATAAATGAGTGGAATCTTCGAGAAGCCAGGATTTTTTAATAACTACACAGCTATACGAAAACGTCACAGGTCGAGTGATTCACAATGGGATACTCACCGAAGCATTTGAAGGGAAGACAGGAGTTAGAAAAGACTTCCTACTATCAAAGACGATATTCCAAATTGTGGTCGACTGGATTATGTGGCATAGCATGCATGAAGAGAGAGAAGACTTGAATACGTTGGACTTTGTGGATGATATATGTCTAATGCCACAAGAATTCGTAGACTTACACGGGGAAATCAACAAGCTAGAAGAATAGGTAGGTAGCGAAGACAGGACTTCAAGTGAACACAGAGAAGACTCAGGTGACGGAGATAACCAATCCATAACAACCAGCACCAATCACTGTCAACGGGAAAGATTTGAAAGAGGTTACTTCCTTCACTTATCTAGCCAGAATCGTTTCAACTACATACACCCAACGCAGATGGGGATGTCAGAACTAGAATAAGAAAGGCAAGGCTGAACTTCATCACTCTGAAATCCATTCAGAAATCTGAAGCACTCAGTATAGGGAACAAAATCAAGTTTTCCAACACTAATATTAAGTTAGTTATTCACTATGGGTTAAAAACTTAGCGTGTGCGTCACGAAAAGAATTTTTCTAACAGGCTACTGTAGACTTGTATCAACGACTGTCTTCCCTGAAGATCAGTTGACTGGTCAGATAGAATAAATAACAAAGAACTCTGACAACGAACCAACCAAGAATCTGTTGCTCTACAAACATGCCGTAGAAAATGTTAATGGATAGGACATACACTAAGGAGACTGTTGGGTAACACCGCGCGCCAAGAGCAATGCCTTGAGTTGGACGGGAATGGGGATCAATGAGTTAGACGTGAGTCCAAGTGTGGCATGGAGGAGATTGTATGAGGAGGAGGTGGGAACTCATGAGCGGTCGTAGAGCCCACTAAATATGACAGCAGAAAATCATACAATAACAACAGTGTTTTTAAACAAAGCAACAACTACAGATTTTGCAGAATAAAATGGTACCATATTTTATTTCGTCGCCTTCTCTTCAGCTGCTTACAGGGCAAAAACATTATTAAATGTATCTACAATAACAATTTAACATACTTACACAGAGTTCATTTTAAACAGAAATCAATCGATCGATATACGCATACACTAATAATATATACATATATATATATATATATATGCAATCTTGAACACAATTCCGAGCAATAATAATCATACAAAATGAAAACTTTTCAGTATCTCGCCTTAGGATGAAAAATATCCAGTTACCAGGGCAAAGAAAGACTGATAACTGCTTCTTTCTGAACGCACAAATCAGGTTTTAGGCGCTTGATGGAAAAGGCTTCGGCAAACTTAAGGAGCATTGAACTCTTTTGCTTATTGATAATTTTGAATGACTTTTCCACGTCCACCTAATGACCCGTGTCAAGAAGATGCCTGGCGATGGCACTGCCTAAAGCATTTGTTCCCTTTAGACGTAAGCTTTTTGGTACATGTTCAGAAAATCGTAGATATGCTCTTCTTTCTGTTCTTCCAATGTAACTGCTCCCGCAGATACATGTAAATTTGTATATACAGTTGGAGTTAACATGAGAAGGATATCTATCGATTTTTGATTGCACCAGAGAGCAAGTTGTTCGAAAGACGGGAACGAGCTTAGCTGCAGGATAGGCTATGGCTAGTGATGTACTCAGCCTTCTGTTGATCATCGCTGCAATGTTTTCGCCTTTATAATCAAGCTCAAAGTAGATTGGCTTTTTTCTTACTGTGATTAGTTTTTCATTTGCGACTGCAGATCTTCCATACTTATTGATAAACCTTTGAGGGTACCCATTGCTCTTCAAAGTCTTTTCAAGAAACTTAAATTCTTCCTCTAGTTTCTCTGTAGAGCATATTCTTCTCGCTCTATAGTACAAAGTCTTGACCAGTGCTCGTTTATAGCTATTTGGACAAAAGCTATTAAAATTTAAGTATTGTCCTTTCCATGTGGACTTACGATAAATTGACTTTTGAAGACTACCGTCTTCTAGGCGTTCCATGGCGATGTCGAGGAAGTGGAACTTCCCGTCACTTTCATGTTCCACAGTGAACTTGATATTGGCGTGTGCATCATTGAATAATCTTAGTAGGTGTGAAGCATGACTATCATTTTTGCACACTATAAATGTGTCACCAACGTAACGACAGTAGGAAGTTGTTTCATCGATTGCATGCTTCAATTTTGTTTTCTCAAGATTTGACATGAAGATATCTGCTAAAACAGGGCAAAGTGGACTGCCCATAGCTACACCATCTATTTGTCGGTAAAGAGTGTTATTAAACTGGAATTGTACATCCATGGTACACATTAGCAGTAGGCGTTTGAATTCTGACTCTGGTAGTGGAAGCAGATCAGACTGTTGACAAATGATTTCAATGGTTTCATTGATTGGGATCATTGTGAACAAGGATGTTGCATCAAATGAGACCATGAACTTATTTGAAACGTTCATATGATTCACGCTTTCGGCGAAATGAAATGAGTCTTTTACGGTATGCACAGCTAGACGTCGGCGAATGGGTTCCAACTTCTCCGCAAGCCAACGGGTAACCTTATGTTGAGGAGAGTTGATCATCGAAAGTACTGGTCTTAGAAGGACTTCTTTCTTGTGTATCTTTGGAAGGCCATACATATATGGCAAGCGGGACCCTCTGGGTTTCAATTCATTGTACGTGTTGTTGTCAATCAAATTCTTCTTATTCTGGACAGTATTTACAAAGTGTACAGAATATTCAGAGGAGTTTATTGCATGATATTCTCCCTTCGTATAATATCTTCAAGTAAAATATTAAACTGACATCATATCTTTCCTGTGACACAATGGTCTATGAGCTGAAGCACAAACCATTCCATTATAATATATATATATGCTTTGTCTTCTTCAAGAAATCCACCAATGATATCTAGTTGAAAGCCAATTGTAAGATGTTTAGAAGTACATTTTGAGACCCAAGGAAATAACTGAAGAACAGTTATCTCATGTTGTATTGGAAAACACTGCCACCCAGAATCAGGTTCCTTTTTTTCTTCACGTTCCCCAGTGGAACATAGGGCTTCAAGCTAGAGTCTTGAAGTTTCTGTAGCAGTGTTTCCTTTTAGAGGATGGGGTAGCTAGCCTCATGCCCAACCTTTCCTCTTTACCAATACCATTTCTGGCTTAGCGAGGTAAAGGAGTGCGTCGGCCGGGGATCGAATCCCGGACCATGTGCATGGTCGGTGAGCGTCCTAACCGCTGTGCCACGCACATCAGGCCTCTTACCTCAAGTTTAAGAGGAACATTTTTAATACACACCAGAGTAGACATTACCATTAGAGGTCATATCTTAATCGATTGAAAAAGACGGAACGAGAGAAAATATATGCAACAGAGAGAAGGAAGTTTTTCGTAGCCCAAGTTTTAAGCAGGGTGCTTATTAACAAAATGGAGACTTATTGTTGAAGTTGTGTTCCACTCGGAACCCAATGAAAATGACATTATATATATATATATACATATATATATAATATTATAACTTACATGAACAAAGGTTGTAATATCATTTAATTTTTGAGCACACGTTTTAATTTCCATTTCTTTGTAAATCTTACGACGTCGTGATGCGCATAGCCTATTCCATAATGCACTATCACATCCAGGTTGTTGTTCATGTGATGGATCATTATCTAGTTCATCTACTCCTTCAGCTAAATTATTCAATTTTATTGATTGAGATGATTGCCATATCTTTTCTATGTACGGGTTATGCAGTGTAGAATGTCGTGTTTCATGTTTACCACGATCAGTTTGTTTTCCTGAATGACTTAAAATATTACGCCTTTGATAGAAAAAGAAGAAACAAAATAAACATAATAAGCAACCCATATATGACAATATGAAATACTAAGTGTTTTAAGGAAAATGTTTAAGCACACAAAATACCAGTAAAAAGTATTTCATTGCCTGAATGCTATAACAGTTAATTAATAAATATGGTCAAGATTACAGTCTGTAAGTATCAAAGGAGAACTTGGTCATAGAACGATGAAATACCCATTGGGTTCAGTATATCAGATACTTAAGCTGACTACTTCTATTGTTAGATGATCGAAAGCAGAAAGTTCTTTACTTACAATTAAAATGTCTGTTAATGATGTCGTACCTGTCGCATGTGTGCGTCGGTGGGGCAGAGGGAGAATGCTCGCCAACCACGCCCCCGTGTGGTTTGGGTTTCAATCCCCGGCCACAGACGCACTCCTCTACCTTGCTAAGCCAGTGATAAGACTGGTTAAGAGGGAAGGTTGGGCATGAGACTAGCGAACCCATCCCGTAAAAATAAACACCCCTGCTACACAAAATTCAAAGCTCTAGGTTGAAGCCTTATGTTCCACTGGGAATGTAAACGAATAAGACACTGGAAAGAAACTGAAATTATCCTGGTATGAACTTTAAATTTAGATTTATTGTAATTACTTCTCCTTTTTACTGAAATTAATGGAAAAACTACTTTAATCAACCTTGAATCTTCCTTGAAAAGTTTTAAGGATCCTAAACAGTTTTAATGCAAACAGGGCGGAGGTACTTTACATGCTGCTGCTGTCTTACATTATAGTATTTTTTCCTATTTAGATAAAGGAGTCATATATTTTCTGTGTATCTTCCTGGACCACACACCAGCTTTTGACTCTGTTTCCAAATATCTTTTGTTAAATAAGCTTCCCTTGACATAAACCGAGTCTTGGACTGTTAACTGGTTGTATTCTTATTTCTCCGACAGAATACAGTATACTATGTGTAAAGGCAAATCTTCTTCTGCCTTGCTTACTGAGGCTGGTGTCCATCGAGGTGCTGTTCTCCCTCCTTTTCTTTCTTCTTAGATGATTTGCCTCTTTTGGATGAAATCAACTCCGTTAAATACTCTGATGAAGTGACTATTCTAAAATGAAGAGCTTTTTGTCGGATATCAGACAGTGGTCTAAGTTAAATGGTCGTACATTAATTCCCTCCAAATGTCAGACAGTTAACTTCACCCTCAAACATAAACGTGATCTACACGCAGTAGTCCGTTCACATGATGCTTGTACAATAGAGGGGACTCATGATATTGAAACAAAGTCAAGCACTAAATACTTGTCCTGGTGATCCCATATCCTGTCGATTTCTAAGAAAATGTTCCGTCCAACCTTATACGTTAAGAAGTTGAGACAATCAGAGAACAATCCACTTTTACAGTTTGTTGACTCTTGCATCTTGCCTATTATCCCTACTCCCCTCAGTCTTTTGGCTACTCAAAAAGGACTATGTCATATTGCACAGGGTATTAAAAATTTTCAGGAGGGCAAGTATTGTGACAATAAGTTAACCTGTTTCTACTGTAGTCTGCAGACATCTGAACTCAAGCGAGAAACGGAGCCTGACTCTCAAGTACCCTCTTTATTCACAACTGCCCCCTCGTATCTCATCAAGTAGGATGAAAAGTCATCATAAATGACTATGTGCTCTAAGTATAAAAACTCAACATTATCCTGTTTAGACAGCGTTATATGTGATAGAGATAGCGATAAGCGTGTAACTTTAACTTCCTATGTAATTAGCAAATAAAATGACTCTTTTATCTTCACAAATCTGTAGTTTATGGTGACGTTATTTCTATTATCTTATTGTTTAGCTTATTAATATTATTATTATTATCATTTCATACTTTTTGTACAGTTTTGAATTCATTGTTACTGCTAGTGCCAAGAAAGTTGAAGTTGTCAATTTCGTTTACCCATACCGTGTAATGTTTTTGCTTTTGTCGAGTAAATTAGATGCGGTATTGTACGAAATAACCTCACCTAGTTAACTAGCTTACGAGTTTTCTAGCCGGTCCCAAGCCCGGATGAAGGTCGGTCGGTCGGTTTTCGACATAGAACTTTGCACATATGTGCGGCAGTTCAAGTCGCCACACTCCATGTAGCACACAAAGCAAGAGAAGGAAGTAGAAGAAATGCATAATATAGACAGTAAACAGAGGTGTGAGACAAAGGAATAGTAATGACGAAGAACAAAACAGTTTCATTGGAAATCATAAGTCACAAAGAGTGGATGCATCTGCGCTGTCACTGAGAACGATTTTGAGCCATGTCACCAATTGTTTCCAACCATTGGTTTTTACCGTCCCGAGGACCCCAACTAGGAAGTCCACATCTTCCTACGTGGCTTAAGCTAACTGTTGTGGATTTCATTGACTGGTGCCATGTTTTCGTTTGACCACCACTAGCTCTTTTCCAGCCTGGCCCTATATCAGCTAACATTGCCTGTCGACGAAGGCGATGACTAGGCATACGTAATACATGTCCTAACCATCTCAGTCGATGTAATTTCACAGTTTCGTCGACTGATTTCCCCGCCTTACCTAGCACTCGACCGGTGGCCAACGTCAATATTGCTCACCTTATTATACCACTTAACACGGGAGATAGAACGCAGACACCTATGATCGAAGACAGCTAATCTTTTCATGTCTTCCAATCTCAATGGCCAGGTCTCACAGCCATAAAGGAAGACGGAGCGGACTGTTGAGCAGTACACACGCCCTTTGGTCGATAGTCGAATATCGCGTCTACGCCACAGACGGCGTAAACTGGCGTATGCGAAACTAGCCCTCTGTATTCGTGCTGAAACTTCGTCAGAGATCAACCCATTGGGGCTGATGGTACTTCCCAAGTAAGTGAAGCGGTCAACGTGCTCTACCACTTCACTTCCTATTTCTAATCTAGGGGTCAGTGAATTCCAATCCTGCAGCATCATCTTACATTTTACAGGGGCGAATCGCATGCCAAACATACGAAGATTGTTGCTCAAGGTGTTCAGTAGACTCTGAATTTTGTCAGCGTCCTCGCCTAGAAGGACTATATCGTCTGCATATTCTAAGTCGACGAGATTATTCCCTGGTAGCAAGTCAATCCCTGAGTCGCTGAAGTGTGTTAGGGTTAAGTCCATTAGGACATATGCTGAAGCCCGGATTAAGAGAGAAGGTTGGGCGTAGGGCTAGCACCCTTACACCACTAAACCTATCAAACTGCTAGAGAAACGTCAACGCACAGACTGTGCGTCGGCGGCACAGTGGTTAGGACTCTCGCCGACCATGCACATAGTCCGGTGTTCGATCCCCTGCCGACGCACACCCGATATCTATGGTCGGCCGATATGGTCGGCTACCGATATCCATGCTGAAAATTCCATACTTGTACTGAAAATACGGTGTGGAATCAAGCTGTAAATCAAAATAAAAAAAAATAAATAAATAATCTTATTCTTCTCTGGAATTGGAAAGGCGAAATGACACAGACGGCTGATGAAAGCCTTCAGGAAGCCAGTCGGCTAACCGATGTACCTTCTCTCGATGAAAGCAAGAGTAAGAGTGGGGACGTGGAATGTCTGTACAATGTACGACACTGAGAAGGCTGCTTAGGTAGCCAACGAAATGAGAAGATACAGCTTAGAATTGCTGGGTATCTGCAAGAGCAGATGGAATGGATGTGGATTATCCAAACTGTCAACTCCGACCTGGTTACCCAGATGACAAACACGATTACACTGAGGGAATGAGTGGCTATCATGATGTCGCCAGTGGCAGCCAAATCCCTAATGCAGTGGGAACCAATCGCCTCCTGCAGGATTATTACAGCAAGATTCAGCTCAAAAGGAAGGAAGGAAAGTCACAATCATCCACTGCTACACACAGTGCGGCAAACACCACGGAACAAGAGAAGAAGGAAGAGTTTTACAGACAACTACAAACAGTAATGTACAACATTCCAAATGGTGACATCAAAATCCTTATGGGCGATATGAATGCCTGCCGAACTGGGAGCAGATAATACGGGAAGAGCACTGATCTTGGGCCGAGAGGCTCTTGCTCGGCAAAATGAATGGGAACGGAGAAATATTCACAGACTTCTATGCTTTCAATGATCTGGTGATCGGAGGCAGAGTGTACAAGCACAAGCAGGACAGTGAATCAGAGGCTTCTAATTAGAATCCTTCAACCGACCAGATTTCATTTCGCCTTCAATCATCATCTGTTACACCAATAATTTTCTCAGATAATCTCGTCATCATTAATTCATAACAAAATACTTTTTTGCAAATAAGTTCACAATTTACACAGTTCAAGATGATTGCGTCAGTGGCTTAGCTGTAGAATGCTCGCCAACCACGTATGTGGTCCGAGGTTTGGAACCCGGCCCACACACTAACTGTGAATTCTAGTGATGGTGTTGCCAGTTCGTTCAAGTAGAGTAGCTAACCAGAAACCGGTTGCGTTTGAACTGATTCTGCCCTTTGAGCTAAGTCAAATCAGCTACACTACTGATCAGCTTGACCAACCCAAAACAAGTGGAATGGGCGTCTTGTGTGTAGATCACTTCTACGTGGCTGGCTAGCAAGTATTATCACCACAGTTAATCAGCAGTATACAGTTTTATGCATTTAGACTATTTCTCGGACATCTGTTCATTACTGATGCAAAAAATAGACGGCCAGAGCTTTGTATGACGGTTTCAAATTATTATCAGATAAAATTCCCACCACAATGTACAGATAACAAACTTAAGCGATAAACTTCAATAGGTGTTAGCAACTTTACACTTAAATTCTCTAATGACTACTGACCGGGTGGATGAATCACATCTGTTAGGATCTAGTCATTCCGCTGAATAGTATCACAGCAATGAATGACTCACGTTTATGAGTTCTCAAGGAAATGTGACTTCTTTCGGTACTAGTTGAGCTAGTGGCGGTCAAACGAAAACATGGCACCAGTCAATGAAATCCACAACAGTTAGTCTAAGCCAAGTAGGAAGATGTAGACTTCCTGGTTGGGGTCCTCGGGACGGTAAAAACCTATGGTTGGAAGCAATTGGTGACATTGCTCAAAATCGGTCTCAGTGACAGCGCAGATGCATCCACTCCTTGTGACTTATAATTTTCAATTAATTTTTTTTATATTTTTTATTTTGGTTACAGCTTGATGCCACACCGTACTTTCAGTACAAGTATGGCATTTTCAGCATGGATATCGGTAGCCCAAATTCAGGCCGACCATAGATATCGGGTGTGCGCCGGCAGGGACTCGAACCTCGGACCATGTGCATGGTCGGCGAGAGTCCTAACCACTGTGCCACCGTTTTGTTCTTCGTTATTACTATTCCTTTGTCTCACACCTCTGTTTACTGACTATATTATGCATTTCTTCTCTTGCTTTTTGTGCTACATGGAGTGTGGCGACTTGAACTGCTACACATATGTGCAAAGTTCTATGTCGAAAACCGACCGACCGACCGAGTTGAGACTAGAAATATAAACTGCCATAAATTTGTTCCACCACACCTTTCTGTCATTTGACTTGTGAAGCTTGGCACTCAACTCCACATTTTTCAGCTGGTTTGCATCGACTAGTGTTGTTTTTTTAAAAGAAAATCACATATACTACTTATATTATATTATTAAATGACTTCACTCACTTTGGACGCTTTTTATAAGCTTTTGCAATAAATTCATACAATGGTCCATGTATATCAGAAAATTCTTTACGAAGATTTTTCTCCATTATTTTATCTTCAGCATAGAGAATTTCTTGTTCTTCTTGAACTTGTTCTAATATTGCTTTTGCTGCTTCTAAATTCTCTGTAATCTTTTTAAGGTAAACACACAGACAGTTGAAGATAAAAACCAACATGAAAATAAACTAATGGTTAAAAATAGTACATTTTATGAGGCAGTGTATTCCTAAGTTGACATTATTCTGATTATTCACTTGAAGAGGTGACAGTAGTATGTGAGAGATACTAACACAGTACATGCGCCAGTAGTCCAACGGTAGAACACTGACCTACCACGCAAGTGGTCCGGGGTTCGATCCCCGGACACCGACGCATTCCTTTACCTTGCTTAGCCGGTAGTAAGGCCAGTAAACAGGGAAGGTTGGGTGTGAGGCTAGCAACCCCATCCAGTAAAAAGTCAACAGCACTGCAGCTGAAACTTCACAGCTCCATTTTGAAGTCATATGTTTCACTAGGAACGCAAAGGAATAAAAAAAATACTTAGGCAGTACAAAATCATGAGTGTACATTGAAGAACACTAAAAATGATGACTGGTTGATAAAATATTGTGTTCTTCATAAACGCGGTAGTAACCCAGATTCGCTCTACTGCAAAGTCCTAAAAGACGAAAAAAAGAAAGTTTCCAGCATACCCTACCTTTTAAAGGAGTGTTTAAGTGAACATGTATAAGCTACAACTTGTTTTTCGGTAGCTGGTGATTAACAATGTAATCCAAGATGTGCATTTCGTCTTATTTGGGGTTTGTCAGCTGGAAGTACCTGAATTTCCAGTAAGTGATGTTGTCCCCATTGAAACTTGGACCTGGTACTCCTCATTTTCAAACGAAAATTAAATTAAACAAATAACAACTGACACCCACTGTACAAGAAGCAGCTTTTGTGACCCAGATGGCCTAACTGATAACACTTTGGCTTTTGAAATGATGGGTACTGGGTTCGAGTCTCACTGGAACACAACACCGCTCACTAAGGAAGGCAGGTACATCCAGCCATTGTGTCGAGTGTCAGTGGATTAGTGATCGATGAGCTTGCCTTGTAACCGGCAGGTCCTGAAGGTTCCAATCCAGGAGGTGAGCGTGTACTGCCGAGGAGTCTCAAACTAGGATGAAACAGCTCTGCAGTACTCTCTGTTGGTTTTCAGTGGTTCTCTAACTGATATTAATCAGTCATCACACTTGAAAAAATTAAATTCCTACAAACTAACTCTTGAGAATTATATATAACTTCTGTAAATTCACCATTTTTAGTGACCCTGCCCCCCAATGTCATTGGCATGTAATGAGGTAACAAAATAAGAAATTAGAATATTATTACTTATCTGAAAGTGAACATATGTCTACCCGGGAACTACATATTCCTGAATAAAAACATTGTAAACTTAAGTAAATTAATTTACTCATTAAAGATTTAACAGAAAGCGTAAGAAAGCGATGCGTCCGTAGTTCATGGGTAGAATGGTCACCAACCAGCAAGTTATCTGGGATTCGATTGCCGACCGACGCACTATTAAACCTCTCTAAGATGACAGTAAGATCAGCAAAAGAGGGAACGCTAGTTGTAAGTGAGGCTAGTAACCCTGCTCCATAAAGATGACACCAGTGCAACCAAAACTTCCTATCCCAAGCTCCAAACCTTATGTTCCTATTGGAACGCGAAGAAATAAAATAAAATAAATGAAAAGTAAGAAATCGACATGGAAGAGGGGAAAAAAGCTTACTTGTACTTGTTGTTTACTCAATTCTTCAATAGATTCTCTAAGTTCATATTCTCTAGTGATTAACTCTTCTTCTGTAATTAGCATCCATTTTAATCTCCATACTTTTAATTCTTCTTGTAAAAGAGCTACTTGAAAAGAAATCCATTTATTAAATAAAGAAGTAAGTTGTTCATCAAATTTTGTTTTTATTTCATCGATTTGCCCGTAAATTTTCTTCAATTCACCTTCTAAAAACTGAAGGAATAAAACAAGCATAAAATTACAGTTATGATTATTATTATTTCCATTGGGTTCCAAACGGTACATAAGTCTTCAACAAAACATCTCCATTTTACCCACTTCTTTGCAGTCCCAAGATCAGCCATAAACTGTCATCTTCTCCTCCTCACATGATCTCCTCCATATCACCCTCGAACCTCTGCCAGACTCGTCATTCCCCATTCGGGTTTCACTCGAGAAATGGCCTGCATCAGGCACAATGTCATTCAACAGTCTCCTCAGCGTATGTTTAATCCATTTCCATTTCCTCCAGAATGTTTGTTGAGCAACAGATTCTTCAAGTGTTGGTTTGTAGGGATTTGATTGATTTGTTACAGGAATTTATCATGAGCTGACATCAGTTAGAGAACCATTGGAAAATTAGCTGGGAGTACTGGACAGTTGTTTCGTCAGCCTGGTTGGGGACTATTCATCAGTGCGTACCCACCACCAAGGTTCGAACCCACGACCTTCTGGTTACAAGGCGAGTTTGGACCCGATTCAATGGCCCATGAATTCTGACTTCTGCCAATTCACGACATAACGCGACCACTAGCCAATATCTTCGGCGAGTATTTGTCCTCACATTCGACCTGGTGGACCGCGCTGGTCACGACATCTCACTAGAACCTACCTGCATAGGGTCAGTCACTAATAAGCATCACACTGATATTCAAACAGATTCTTGTTTGGCTTTTTCCCAGAGATTCTTGCTGGTGACCCTTTATAGCCGGCCATCTAATCTCCAGTATGGAGTATGAGGGGGGAGTTGTTGCTAAAATTCTGCAGTAGCCTGTTGGAGATGCTTTTCGTGACTCTGAACGGTGCAGAAGAACCGATTTGACATTAGTGTTAGAAATTCAGACCTTGTTCCTTATATCAAGCGCAACAGATTTCCACACTGATTTCAGATTAATGAATGCCTGCCTTGCTTTTTGGATTCTGTTTTTGGTATCCTCATCTTTGCTGCCGCCTGTAGTTGGAGCAATGCTTCCTAGACAAGTAAACGAAGTGACATAGTTCAAATTTATTTCGTTGATAGTGATTGTTGCTCCTTATTTTTCTTGTTGGTTGGTTACCTTCATCGCCCCCGTCTTCTCTACGTTCACCTGGAGTCCTGCCTTCCCTGCCTGCCCCTACTTTCTACCAACTTGTTGGTTTTCGCTTGTAGAACTTCAAGCTTGTGTGACATTAAACGTACACCGTCCGCAAAGTCCAGATCTTCTAGAGTCTTCTTATCGGTGGTTCAACATATCCTCTTCTTCTCGTTACCCAAGAACGGTGTGCCGCGTAATTCATCAGTGATAATCAGCAGTCTTGTTTTCCTTCTATCTTCACTTTAAAGGCTTCACTGAGTTTTCCGATGTGAACCACTTGACATGTGGCATTGTCATATATCCAGCTGTTGAATGAGGTCGAATCCCTGTGGGTGCATACTGATGAAGAGTCCCAAACCAGGCGGACGGAACAACTGTCCAGTACTCCCTGCTGGTTTTCCAATGGTTCTCTAACTAATGTCAGCTCATGATGAAAATCCTGTAACCAGTCAAATCCCTACAAACCAACACTTGAATAAAATTAAAACATTGAGTCTTAACAATTAATTCCACAGTGAACGACGCCATTTCATCAGTTTTTAACTGTAAAAAGCATTATCTAAAACAATATTGAGCACATTGGAGTAAACAGTAAATTGATAGTACTATTCAGGTATATATACTGTAATACTTTCGGAAAGAGATTGTACAGTTATATTTTGGATGTTGATCGGGGCCAGTGTAAGTAAGTGACTAGTGCGAAACTGACTTCAATCATTTTCCAAATTAATATCACTTCAAGTTGAACAACATCTTATATAATTGTTTGTTCGATTTTCCCGCCAATTCACTGAGCAGAAATGTCGACATTACCGACATATCAAGAGATATGTCAAATATGTCGATCCAATCAAGAAGACAAGAAAATTAAAATTGAATTGAAAACAAACAATAATTGCAGAAGAGGTGGTTCTCTTGGTTCAAATGGTCTAGTAGTTAATGCTTTGGAGTTTGAAACAATGGGGATTGGGTGCGAGTTTCACTGGGAGCACCAGTGTAACAGCAGAAGGCAAGACACAGAAGCCAAGGTATATTTTCAAGTGATCAAACCGCTATTTATATCTATACAGTTTTATATCCTATAACCAATCACTGAGCGTGTGATTCGGGCTTACATTAAACGACATGAAATGGAATGTTCAAATATACATAGTATTCTGTTGCTAAAGCAGTATTCAGCTGTGGGAGTATATGAGAATAATATTCCTTTGAAACACTGTCTATATCACACCACCACTCACTGGAGAATGCAGTTACATCCAGATGACGAGACCCAAATAGACACAGCGGAAATTTGCATCTTGGATTCCACTGCTAGTCACCATCCTTCAAATTACCTTACACAACTCATGAAAGTCACACCGAGGATTTGAAGATTCTTTTAAGTAGAGACAGACAGATAAGGTTATATGGAACTTTGCACAAAGTATAACAGTCCAAACCTCTATATTACTAAAAAGCACACATTATTAACGAGAACACAGAGATGACAAAACCGACATGGAGAAATATGACCATGAGAGAAGAACTAAACTCTGATTAGTACAAAATCTTTATCGATCCTATGATAGGAGAGAATAGATAATCTCTGTTTTTATTGATTTTATCAGTTCACTAAAAAATTTCACTAAACACACTGATTTCTAGCTCATCGATAACCTCATCAGAAAAAAATCCGCCACTGCTTCCACGGCTCAGACCAATAGACAGAGATTTTAAGTATTGGTTTTCCGTTTCAACTGTATGTATGTTGAAAGATTACGCTAAGATGTTTGACTACCAATCGTATATTTTAAAAATTAGATATTACTGTTAAATTCTAACAACGATAAATGCAATTATTCTCATATATATATATATACCTGAAATAATGAACTTCAACTAACAGTGTGTGTGTGGGGGGGGGAGTAGAAGATAGTATCCCAGTCCCACAATTACATCAACTAATATTTTACTGTAAACATTCATGATTTCTATGAATAATTAATGTTAATTATCTATTTTACAATTCAATGATTTACAAGTCATATTTGTTTATGGTTATTATTATTTTTACGAAGAGTAGTTTTGTTAGTAATATATTTGTAAAGTTATTTCTATACAATCTTTTATTGCTCTTTCTATACCATATAATATAAAGAAGAAGGCAGGTTAGAAAGGAGTATTGCCTTACTGTCAGTATTTCAGAACTCCTACGTGTAGTCATATTTATCATAACATTTGAGTATTTTTATGCAAATGAAATCTGTGATATACTACGAATAATTCCTGTCATCATTCATGACAAAATTTAACACAGTAGCCTAGGGAAACCACCAAGATATTAGGCAGACTGACTGATTTCAACGTAGAACTCTAGACAGAGATGCAGCAGTCTAACTTGCCAAGCTCCATGTATCATACAAAGTAAGACAAAAAAAGAGAAAGCAAAAGAGGTTCAGAAGGACTTTAATAAGCAGAATTGTGAAGAAGAAAGAATAATAACGCAGAAAGACAATAGGGGACGATTTTGAGCAATATCACCCATCGGTTCTACGAATCCCAAGGATCCCAACGATGTGGCCTACACTTCCCTACGTGGCTCAAACCAGCTGTCAAAGATTTCATGGACTGACTCCAAGTTTTGGTTTGACCATTACTAGCTCTTTTCCAGCTTGACCCATCCTATGTCAGCTAACAACACCCGTCGAGGAATGTGATGCTAGTTATGCATAACACGTGTCCTAACCATCTCAATCAATGTAGCCTAACAACCTCATTGATGACTGTCCCTCCTTACCTAACACTCAATGTCTAACCTCAATCGTACTCACACTATTATTACAATCTAACATGGGAGATAGAACGCAGAAACCTATGATCGAAGACAGCTAGCCTTTTCATATCTTCTACTTTCAATGGCCATGTCTCTCAGCCAGAAGGCAGAACGGAGGAAGTACATCCGCCCTCTGATCGAGAACTAGTCGGATGTTAAGCCTACGATAGAGATAGCGTAAGTTGACAAATGTTTCCGTGCTGAAATTTCGTCAGCAATCCATCTACTGGGGATGGTGCGAATTCCCAAATAAATGAAGTAGTCAACACGTTTTACCACTTCACTCCCTATCTTTAAGCTGGGAGTCGATATAGTTCAGTCCTGTAGCATCATCTTACACTGACAGGAGCAAATTTCATGTCAGACGTTCAAGAAAATTTCTGCTCAAGATATTCAGAAGACTGCATTTCCCCGCATACTCTAAATCAATAATATTATTCCCTGGTAACAATTCAGTCCCTGAGTCGCTGAAATCAGTTAGCGTTAATTCCATTAGTACATCTCTGATGAAATTAAACGGGAATGCGGAGGTAGAGTGGGGAAATATTAGGCAGTGATTAAACTGAAAGAGATTTATTACTCGAATCGCTATAGTAATTCTGAAAATAAATGAAACTGGATATAAATTTTATTTTCCACAGATGGAAAACAACGTGGTCTTACCTTCTTGTATTTTTCTCTTTCTTCATTCAACTCTTTCACTTTACGCTCGTATTCAGCATACATACGTTTATCATCATCTGTCCAATGAGCTATTGGTTTACCAGTTAATAAGAAAGCTGGTTTAGGTATATCCTTTTTGAGTTGATCTTCTTTTTTTATTTCTAATACACCACCCATCATATCTTCTAAACCTCTTTCTCGCCAATTATCCAACTTCTCCCTTCTGCGTCTTTCTTCTTCAGCTAATCGTCTAGCTTCAATTTCAGCTAGCTGTTCTGGTGACAGGTATTTTTCAACTTTTATTTCAGAATCTGTAACAGTCAACAGTTGTTCCGGTTCTTCATCTTGGTCAAATTTTGGATCAATAAGATGTTTAAGTGCACTGGTCTGTTGAAGATCCGTGTGGATTTTACGTATTCTACTTAATTTACTTCGAATTAATGCTAATTGGTCTGCTTTCTTTTCATAAACTTCATTAAATTCTTTATTGAAACATTCTTTCATTTGATGAATTGCTTTCTGAAAAAAAAGAGGTGTTAATATGTTTTACTTTTTTTAGTTGGTTGTAAGTATGATTTTTATTTAAACTGTTTGTTAATGAAAAAATAAATAACATTATTACTGGAAATCATATATTTTTAGTAATTTATATTATGTGAAAAGATTAACTTTCAAGTATTGGTTTTGTAGGAATTTTTGTTTGTTTGATTGGATTGGAGGATTTCATCATGAGCTGACATCAGTTATAGAACCATTGGAAAACCAGCAAGGAGTACTGGACAGTTGTTTCGTCCGCCCGGTTTGGGACTCTTCATCAGTACACACCCACCGCCAGAGTTCGAACCCAGGACCTTGTGGTTACAAGGCAAGCGACCTCATAGACCATTAAGCCACTGGGACCAAACTCCCAGGTTTTCCAATGTTTCTTAAACTAATATCAGCTCGAGATGAAATCCTCCATCCAATCAAATAAAATCCCTACAAAATCAACTCTTGAAAATTAATCTGATGCTCACTAGCGACTGGCCCTATTCACGTAGGTAGTTACTTGGGGTTCTAGTGGGAAGCCATGACCAGTAAGGTACAGCACGTTGAAGGTGAGGACAATTACTCATCGAAGAAAACATTTCGAAGTGGTCGCGCTATGTCATGAATTGGTAGAAGTTAGAATTCATGGGCTGGCCATTGGATCGGGTCCCAGTGAGTGGCTCAATGGTCTACGAGCTCACTCGCCTTGTACCAGAAGATCCTGGGTTCTAGCCTTGGCGGTAGGTGCGTATTGATGAGTCCCAAACTAGGTGGATAAAACAGCTGGCTGTCCAGTACTCGCTGCTGGTTTTCCAGTGGTTCTTTAACCGATGTTAGCTCATGATGAAATCTTCCATCTAAAAGATTAACTAACAAACTAACTGACTAATAACACAACATAGGACTTCATCAGTCATGTTTTGTTTGAAACAACTGTGATCTATAATTCACAGTTTGTTAACTCACGCGTCTTATCTATTGTACTTTACTTCTCCCCCCTCCTCCCACCACTTAGTCATATTGCACAGGGTAGTGAAGGTTGTCAGTAGGGCAAGCATCTTGACACTAAGTCAGCTCGCTACCACTGTAGTCTGCAGACATCTGAACTCATGTGAGAAATGGTCTAGATCTATATTGTCTGACTCTCAACATTCTCTCTATTCTCAACTCTCCTCGCCTTGAATCTCATCAGGTAGGACTAGAAGCCATTATAAAAGACTATGCTCGTTTAACCAAGTGAGAAAACTGAAGGATATCATATTTGGCCAACGTTCTGTGTGATAGAGATAGTGTTAAGCGTGAAACTCATAAATTATCATGTTATTAGCAAAGTAATTGGCTCTTTTATCCTCTACTATTTGTAATCTATAGTGACACTATTTCAATTAACTTATAATTTTAGCTATTAACATTATTATCATCATTATTTTACACTTTTTGTACATTGTTGACTTTATTGTCTCTGCAAATACCGAAAAGCTGCTGTTATCAATTCCGTAATATTATTTTTTGTTTTTGATGTTGTCGAGTAAATTAGGTGCAATAATACACCAGATGCTGAGGATCTCACACTGGATCACAAGTACCGTTTTGGAATCAAGCAAATCAATACCACTATTATTTATTAATATTGAATTTACATATCATGGCAAAGATTTGTAGCTCAGCTGGATAATTTTGGTGTAGCTGTGTTCTCTGAGCTGGATGGTTTGGTTGCGAAGCTTTCATAACCTTACTGGGCAACAACCTCACAGCATACTTCAACTTAAAGTGAATTTTAAAATTCCCCCACTGAAAACTTCGTAACTAAACCATCCTGCTCATAGAACACAACTACACCAAAAATACAGAATTTCACAAATAAAGTCCTTTTGGTGGCTTCACAGAGTGACTTTTGCTATCTAAAACATTGAAAGAAGAAAAAATGAAGTTACCATTTATTGATATACATATACATACTTCTTAGTTATTCGATCATTTTCATATTCAAAGTGTAAAATGTGCTACTGACAAAACTTATAAGTAGTACATAGATACAGACATAAATATGGATATGATCTATATAAATATCGATTGGATGAGAAAGGGATTTAATGGCGAAGAGAAGAAATGAAAGAGGCTTGTAGAACAACACAGAAAGCATAAAAAGAAGACAAAGAAGCACAGTAGGGAATATATGTGCAAATTGTGATTCAAATATATGGTAGGGGTATTTTGCTTGTACTTGTACATTGAGTAGCCAATAAACAATTGCGTTACCGTATATTCTTGTGTTCTGCCAGTATAGAAGTGCTACCTATTTAATTGATTAAAGTTAGTTTGGGCATAGGACTAAATTAATGTCATATCGACTGTTAACAGAATCAACATCTTAGGAACTTGTGTGGATGTGAATGAATTGTCTCACTGACATTTCAATGATTCTTAACCGCTTCTGTACACCATCCGGCCAAGTTAAACTTTAATCACCACTAACTATCTACCAATGGAGTGAGACCGCACCAATGACCTTGAAACGCTCACTGAGTGAGCAAGTCAGTGAAACCTAGCAAATACTGTTTTCATCATCAATAAAATATGCTCACCGAAGTGTTAGGCTATTAAATGGGATATCTCGCAAGTTTCAGCTTAGGTTTGGCAAAGTTTTAATTACAGCTTAAGCCAAGGACAAGTTAAGGTTAGGCGACATTAGGGTTGGTTCGAGTCAGATTACAGTTAGTTTAGGGATAGTTTCACGTTAGGGTTAGGTTCAGAAAAGATTAGGGTTATTATTGGGGTTAGAAGACTTAAATAATTACATGCATAGAATGTAGTTAAATTACTCTGTTGATATAAGAGTAAAACTTGTGTACTGTGGTGGTAGAGTACAATTCCATTGTGGGTGAAATTTATTTTGATAAAGTCTCACAGTGTTATACAGTAATATTTACTGATGACCACGTTTTGAGCACAATTTATTGCTCAGTAAGTATTACTGTATAACACGACGTGAGACTTTATCAAAATAAATTTTACCCCCAATGGAATTATACTCCGTTGATACTCCAACCTAAAACTGAGAGCTATTTCTATCACATGTGAGAGGAAGGTATCCTCTGTAACACTTTTCTACAGCTTTTATGAATTTGTTTCCATAAATATATGTATTCCATACACAAAAATGCCTCCTTCACATGACTGGTGTGTTCGAGGTAATTTGCTGATTGGTAGTTAGTTAGTGGTGATTAAAGTTTAACTTTGTCCACCATCCAGACGACAAACTGCAATCTGTATCACCAATTTTCCCAATCAAAGACTTCATAGATTGGTGCTATTAACAGTGTCTTAAATGGGTCAGTTCTGCATAAAATCTCAAAAAAAGCGGGTTCGAATATCAGAAGGAACATGAGTTCCATAAAAGTTACAGATACGCCTTGCTGACTGGTGAGTGCCAACTAGCACGAAACCTAGTTCGAAGGCTTCCTGCCGATTGCCTCCAACTATCTAATATTATCGAAACAAGTATACTTTTAACATATGTCTAATTGCCACTAGACACCTACAATTTATGGAAATACTAGCTTAAATAATGATCATAGTTCATACAAATGCAGAGATCACGTAAAGTTTATATTATTCTCCATTTCACTTTTATAAAGTCAAAGCTACCTTCTCACAACAAACTACATTTAACTTTTCGCATAAAATTACATACTACTGAATAATTGAAATGAGTAGTTGTATGCCGCTCATATTAACCAGTAGCACTTGTTAACCAGTCAGATAGAGGTGATTTAACCACCACGGAACGGCTATTTCGCTCGTTCGGAGCTGAAATCATCAGTGATGTGCTCAATTCGACTCAGCTCAAAGGGATGGCCGAGCGAGTTCAAACCACCTGATTTCTGAGTATCTGCTTGGTCGAACTGATGATATCATAAATGAAATTCAAAATTTGCAGTGCACCCACTAATCGATGGGTGAAATTTTTTACATCGCAGTTTCCTTTAGAAACCAAAATTATTCAGATCAAGTTAATCATTATTTTGTATGTTAGAGGTTTCAGTGGCATTCCAGAAAATTTATAAGTCCCAATACTATTAAAAGCTTTATCGTGAACAATATAAAGTCAGTGGGAACTCTGAAGTCACTTTTAATTTTAATACACAATCTAGAAGGCAAATAAGATGGAAGGTAAATTTTGACTATGAATATCTATTGTGTATTCTGTTGGTAGTTAGTCAAAATCAAACATAAGAGTGGAATGTAAGGATCGCTGGCACTCAAAGAACAATATTTTCTAAGAAAAAATTTGAGTGAATTTTAAAGGCCATTAAACATTTTAAGAATCATGTTTGCAGATAAAAAAGTTAACTAAAGGAATGATGAGTTTCTGTAGCATTTCATATTGAAACTTTAAGACAAAGCTGCCTACTGTCTACTGATCGCAGTAGACTGAATAGTACGACAGACAGTGGGCAACCAGGAGACAGACATAAAATGAACCCTCACAAAAAACTTGGAGGATCCGGATTTCGATGATGATATGTTTCTGATTTCCCACAAATTGGAAGATACGCAAGTGAAAAGCAACAAGTTGGGAGAAAAAGCATCAAAGATAGGAAATCCTTCAGGCCTGGCCAACAGCAGCAGCAACAACAGCAGACAAAAATCAGTATAAATGTCAGAAATTTGAAAGAAGCAATCTCCTTCACCTACCTACTCGGGAAGCATCGTTTCACCTACAGGCAGGCGGAACTCAAAGCGAGGATCAAGAAAGCAGGACAAGCTTTCATTATTCTCAAGTCTATGTGGAGATCAGCAGCACTCAGCATGAAAAGTAAGATCCGGATTTTCAACTGCAGTGTGAAGTCAGTGATACTTTACTGATGGTTCAGAGAGTTGGCGCCACATCACGAAGGCCACTTCGAACAAACTACACACCGTCATCAACAGCTGTCTTCGCTCACTACTTCACCCAATATCAGATGGCCGGCCAGAAAAGATCAGCAACAGGGGGTGATCTCTGAGAACGAGTTAACCGGGAACCAATCGTGCAACAAATATGCAGGAAGAAATGGAGGTGTATTAACTATACTCTGAGAAAACAAGCCATCAAGTGACATCACACCCCAGATTATCGCGCCAGTAGAACCCTACCGATTGGGAAGCAGCGAGTTGGTCGTCAGTGCGAGGGTAGGGTGACATAAAGGAGGTGATGCGAAGAGGAGATGAGAGCATGTGGACAGACGTAAATCTAGGTGATGAAAACGTTGGTGAAGAACCGAACGCAATGAAGATGTGCGGTTGTAGTCCTATTTTCCTCTAGGAACTAAAGGAGACAATAATATAATAATAGTAATATAATATTCAGATAAATGTTATACATTATTTTGGAGTAGATTATCCACTTTTCAGAAACTTTACAGTTGCAAATTTAAGAAATCCTCTAATTTCTTCATTAATCTATCTCCACCCACTTACTTTAGTCAATACTATTTGATAAACTTTTTGCATTCTTGTATACAATTCCATTTGGCTGTAATTTTGCTCAGTTGATCCGCCAAATTCTTTTGCTAAATATAAAGAAAATAGTATAAGTTTATGAAAAGACTAAATATATTTCATGCGTAATAGTGTGTGATAGGATAATTTGTTTTGAAAATCCCTTCTGAACGATCCTAATTACAATACTGGTACTTGGGTATTTCAACTTTGTAATTATTTTCCTCTTTCGCTTTAGGTTATGTAGATCATCGTTGTGGCGTTTGTATGATAATAATAATAATAATAGAAATAATATTTTTTTTTACGAGTTGATCACGGATTGATATCAGTTAGAAAACCATTGAAAACCGAGGTTACTAGATCGCTGTTTCATCCTAGTTTCGGCATAATCGGCAGTACGCACCCACTGGGATTCGAACCCATAACCTTCCGACCACAAGACAAGCTCGTATACCATTCAGCCACTGGGATCGGATTCAGTTGCTGATGAATTCTAATTTGTACCGATTCGTGATTTGGCGATAAAAAAACATAACTAACCCTTACAAACCAAACTATAGAAAATTAATCTGATGCTCGCTAGTGACTTACTACAGGATGGAGTTTCCTGGAGTTCTAGTGAGAAGTCATGACCAGTGAGGTCCATCCAGATGTCACGCGTGAGGATAGACGTCCCATCGACGACAATGGTTGGGGTCGCGCCAATTATTCCCAAACTAGGATGAAACAGCTAACCAGTAACCCCTGGTTTTCAGTGGTTTTTTAACTGATATCAATCAGTGATCAACTCGTAAAAAAACATAACTAACCCTTACAAATCAAACTATAGAAAAATAATAATAATAACAATAAAGCCAAGATGGTGAATATAACCCACCAGTTTTTGAACAACAACCCAAAAGAGAGAAGTATTTTAACTTCCCAGCATTTCGAAGCTTTGGAAGAGCTACGGGAAAACCCTAATATAATAATTTCGAAACCTGATAAAGCTTCTGGAGTCGTCATTATGAACAAAAGTGACTGCAAATCCAAAATGCTATCTATTCTTGATGATAAAAGCAAATTTAGCCGTGATCTTTCCCCAGAAGATATTCAGTTGTTGCAGGGCACATTGACAGCTAATCTAGTGAAGCTTTATCGCCTAAATGCTATAAGTAAAGATACACTTGACTCTTTTTATTTATTTTATTATTTTATTTTTATTTTTGGTTACAGCTTAATGCCACACCGTATTTTCAGTTATTATTATTTCCTTTAGTTCCTAGAGAAACATAGGGCTTCAGTCATGCGTCTCCATTGCGTTCGGTTCTCTGCTAGAGTTTTCACCTGGCTCCAGGTCTGCCCACATGCTTTCATCTCCTCTTCACATGATCTCCTCCAGGTCAGTATGGAATTTTCAGCATGGATATCGGTAGCCCAAATTTCGCAAGCCGACCATAGATATCGGGTGTGGGTCGCCAGGGGATCAAACTCCGGACCATGTGCATGGTTGGCGAGAGTCCTAACCACTGTGCCACCGACGCACAGAATGTCAATTCCCGTATGTGTATTGTTTACCAAAAACACATAAACCCAATAATCTTCTACGTCCTATATTGTCAGTGTGCAGATCCCCAACGCATAAACTTGCTAAATGGTTAATAGAATTATTGCAACCAGCCCAGTCAAAACACAATTCTGTAAGTATGTGTTAAAAGATACATTTGAATTGGTTGATTTTCTTAACGATAGTAATATTAATGTTATGAATAAGAATATGTACTCTTTTGATGTAAAATCTTTATTCACTAATGTCCCTTTGCTTAAAACAGTTGATATTTTGTGTGATTACCTTTCCACACACAATTTTTTCATCCCATTCCCTATATCTTATTTAAGGGACTCATTACTTCTATGTACTAGCAATGTTAGATTGACATTTGAAGGCGATCGTTTCCGCCAGGTTGATGGTGTTGCAATGGGAAGTCTGTTAGGTCCCCTTTTAGCAGATATCTATGTGTTGTACATTGAGAATTTATCGGATGATTAAATCGAAAATGTGCCACTTTATAGAAGGTATGTAGATGATATTGTAATCATCAGTGATAAGTCTTGTTCTGCCACCTTAATTTTAAATCGAATGAATGAAGTTCAGAATAGCATATCAATTACGTCTATAGAAGAGGAGGATAATTGTTTATCTTTCCTAGACATATTGCTTAGTCGACGACTTGATGGGTAAATAAAACTATCTATTTATAGAAAACCTACCTGGACAGGACACTATCTTAATTATGAAAGTTTCTACCCTGTTCGGTACAAGAAAAGAGCCTTAGTAAGGAACCCCTTCAGTAGAATCCAATGAATATGCACCGAAGACACACTTGATGAGGAAGAAAAAAAGCTGGCACAAACTCTGGTTGACAAGTTCATCAGGAGATATAAAGTAGTCAGTACACCAAGACCCTATGACAAGTCCGTGTGTGATCAGATTATTCGAAATGTGTTGCGCAAATACATTACACGATTCAGACAAACTACGTCTTCTAATTGCTTTGTCTTAATTCATAAAGGGAACTAATTGTTTTAAATAATATAATAATGATCTGCTTTACTCCAAAAGAAAGTACTCATAAGACGGCGTTAAATTTCCAGCATTTGTCACAGTTTTGCACATAATTTACTAAAAATATAAATAAAATTAACCGCAAGAACTTTTCCACATTAGGAATAGTGTAAAATATGTGCAAAGCATAAGATGAGAATAATAACTATAATAGCGGTAATAATAACAGTGGGTTTATTTCAAACAATACTGTCGATATAGTATGGAAATTTTTATCAGTTAACTGTAAAACTTGATGGTACAAGGATGGAGAAAATTGTTGATTTATTTACTAGTGGAAAGAAGGCTGGTTAGTTCGCGAGTGATACTATTTTTATCACGTTAAATACGTACCAAATACGGTATAATGGAATTTTCATACCTAGATTTGAGCGAGTAAAATCTTTTGAAATGACTTCTTGTCTTACCTGAGGAGATGTAGGGTGAAAGCTGAGAGTAAAGTGGATACTCACAGTCTCACAAAATTCCTTTAGCAAATTTGTTGCATGAAATCAAGTGCCCATCACTGATGATACCACTACTCGCCCTACTGACAGTCTTCAGAGTTCTATGAAGTATGACATAGCCTCTTTCAAGCAACCAAGGGAAGAATAAGGGTGAACAATAAAGAAGAAAAGGTTAGATGAAAGAATTGACAAAGTGTAAGAGGAGGGCATGAGTCATGTTCCAGTACCTCAATTTCCTTATTATTTGTCTTTCTTCCTCTTTAATCTCTAATTCTGATGCTTCTCTTTGTGGTTTTGTGGTGATGATATTATTGTTTTGTTTGAGTGATTCAAGGTGATTCTGACCTTAGACTGTCACCGGGAATTATTTAGTGTGTAATTCTTGCTGACAAAGTTTTGATCCCACCTTGTTGGGAATATTTCACTCGATTTTATGGTACTTCTTACAGCTGAATTTTGGTTAACTAATTTTGTTCTGCGTGCGTCGGTGGCACAGAGGTAGAATGCTCGCCGACCACGCAGGTGGTTCGGGCTTCGATTCCCGGACGACGCACTCATCTACCTCACTAAACCAGTAATAAGACTGGTTGGACATGAGGCTAGCAACCCCATTCCGTAAAAGTAAACACCACTGCTACCGAAACCTCGAGTTTCTAGCTTGAAGCCCTATGTCCCACTGGGAACGTAAAGGAATAAAAAATTTTGTTCTGCAGTACTTATTTTGTATTTAAGAACTAATCTGATCTGTCCTATAGCTGCCTAAAGGCGTTGTTGAGGTGATTTCGACCATTTGATATGTTGTTGTTGTTAAATAGTACCTCGGATTTTGTCGCAGATAACCGTCTTTTTGCTGTCATAGGGGGAATCTGGTGACTATGAGTAACTCATGGAAGTTTTGGTAGGCCATACAGTAGAACGTAAAGATCGGTTTCCTGCGTTCAGACCATAACACGTCGGTTTTAGTCGTTACAGCAGTGTGCAACGCAGAAATATTTTGTTTAAAAATTAATATTTGTTCTTGTATAAGAAACAGAAACCCAGGAAATCGAAAACATTACGAATCCCTTAATATTTCATCACCTGAGTTACCAATTATGAAGGGTATTTACAGTGAAAACGTTTTGTCCTCCTGAGTGTAGCACTTTACTCTAGCTACTATTTCCACATATCACGTTTTCAATGTCAATTAACACAAACTTTGAGTGCTTAAATGACTAATAGTAGTAGTAGTGATAGGCACAGTCAGAATATACTGTTGCAGATATACTGATATCTAAAGTAGAGTTTTTCTGTATTAAAAGGAGTTCAAGTGAGTAAATATGTCACATAGAACAGTCTGATTAAATCTGCTGTACACTTAAAGACAAACTTAATTTTGAATACTGTAAATATTCAGATATGAACAGTAAATAAACAAATGAAATCTGGAAAAAACACTCTCATATTGTAGTGCTCTAAATTCTAGAAAAGTTAACAATGAAGGATGAACTTACCAGTACTTCCAGCAAGAATGCGATTTATTGATTTCTCTTCATCTTCCTCATCGTCTACTTCTTCCTTTTGTTCAGGGCTTGGCTTAAATTAATTTTTAAAAAAAGTGAGAAAGCACAGATTTGGTTAAAAAAGATGTCCAATTTATAAATACTGACTAAATTTAAGATTTCTTATTTTGTTTTAAGTAGGATCATACGGAATTCCTCCAGAAGTACTGAAAACGGATCCAGAGACTGCAGCGGATGTGCTTACGTCACGATTGCAAAACGTTTGGAAGGAAGGAAAGGTACCTACTTGTTAGAAGAGAGGCCACCTTGTCAAACAATCAAAGAAGGGTGATTTGGGCCTTTGAAAAATCTGGAGAGGAATCCTAATTTGTCCACGACAAGAAAAATGTTAAGTCACGTAGTTCTAGACAGATTAAAAGATGCAATGGATACAGAACTTCGCCAACCAGAACAAGCTGGATTCAGGAAAAGCAAATCATGTGCTGATCGAGTAACAACTCTACGCATCATCACCGAACAAAGCATAGAATAGCGGTCAAACATCCACCTCAGTTTCATGGATATTGAAAAGAACTTCGACAGCGTTGATGGAGAAGTGATTTGATAACCGCTTGAACACCACTGAATGCACCAAACGTTTATTAACCTCATTCAACAGCTACATGATAATGCCACACGTGGGAAAACTAGGCGAAGCTTATGAAGTTAAGGCAGGAGTAAGACAAGGCTTCCTACTATCACCGATGATATTCTTGAGTGTGCTCGACTGGATCATGTGGCACACTGTGGGAAGCTAGAAGACAGGAATACGTTGGATCGATAAGAAGACTCTAGAAAATATGAACTTAATCAACAGTTTATGTCTAATGCCACATAATTTCGAAGACCAACGGGTGAGAACCAACAAGTTGGCTGGAAGAAGAGGTAGGTGGTGAGGACAAGACTTCAAGTGAATATCGAGAATATGGAGGTAATGAAAACAACCAACCGATAACAACAACAAGCGCTAATCCCTATCAACGGAATAAATTTGAAAGAGGTTACTTCCATCACTTATCTACGCAGCATCATTCTAATTACAGGCAGCGGCACGGATGAGGATGTCAAGGGCAGAATCGGAAAAGCAGGACAGACAAGATTCACATATTCAACACTCACGTCAATTTAGTCCTTCTGTATGCTTCAGTGACTTGGTGAGTCACCAAAAGCATTTCTAACTGGCTTCAGACTTTTATCAGCAGTTGCCTATGATCGATAGTGAAGATCAGATGGCCGGTCAGGAAGGATAGAGTTCTAATCTTTTCAGCCAGATCTTAAGTAATAAATATGAGTTATGACTCAATATACAAAGTCGTCAATAATAAGTGAAACATACTACATAATAATTAGTTTCAGGATTTCATCATGAACTGAAATCGGTTAGAGGACCATTGGAAAAGCTGGGAGTACTAGACAGCTGTTTTGTCCTAGTTTAGGGCTCTTCATCAGCATGCACCCACCACTAGGGTTCGAACCCAGGACCCTCTGGTTACAAGGCCAGAGAGCTCGTAGACCACTAGGCTACTGAGCCCAATCCAACGGTCCATGAATTCAAAATTCTACCAGTTCACGATATCGCGCGACCACTAACGAATGTCACCCGTGGCGACTATTTATCCTCACATCCTACCTGCTGTACCCCGCTGGTCACGACTTGCCACTAGAACCCAGGCAACTACCTATCTGAATAGGACCAGTCACTAGTGAGCATCAGATTAATATTCAAGTATTGGTTTGCAGGGATTTGATTGTTTTCACCAAAGAACCAACACTTGAATGATAGACATTGAACAAAGAGAACTCTTTTCGATAAATTCATCATCAGGTTCTACAATTATATATACATTATAATGAATGAATGAATTAGTCTTATGAACGACATTAATGTTTAAATAACTTCAAATCAATAATATTGATAAATTACAGCTGAACATCAAATAAACTGAATGTCAGAAGAATTAGGAAAGGTAATGGTACAAATTCATGAGTTTATAGTCTCTACTGAGGGCCAGGGCAGTAGTAGGGGCTGGACTTGTTTCTTTTGGACACAGAGCGCTGGTTGTTTGAGGCGAATTGCAATAGCCTCTGCTGTTTGGAGTAAGCGGTGCTTCGAGGATTTTGGTAGTTTGTTGGGCACCCGGTATATTATGGAGAAGGATTCGTCTACGCTGGCTTTGTGACCGGTTTGCACCAGATGGTCTAATATCGAGCTGTTAATACTTTTAACTACACCTTTGCTTAGCCATAGTGGGATATGTTCTCGAGCACGAAAAATCAAGTTCCTAGAGCAACGGCCAACATAACTCGCTCCACAAGCGCAGTTGAATTGATAAATACAATTTGAAGTGGCCAGTCTGGGTACTTCATCTTTCAGTCGAGGTAGCACCATCGGTCTTGTAGAGAATAAGATGTGTAGTTCGCCAGCATTAAAAGTCCTTTGAACTGCTTTTCTTAATTTCTTTGTAATTAACTCACTTGGTTTATCGCCCTTGAATTGTAGTCGTATATAAAGGGGCTTCTTCTTTACAGATAGTGGGTCGTCCTTAGTAACGGTAACTTTAATCTTGGTAAGACATTTACTTACAGTACAAGATCCTTAGCGTATTGGATATACAAAAGCTTCAGGCAAAACAGTAGTCTAAAGCATATCATACGACGGAATTTTGTTCTGTCTGAACTATGCACGAACCCCCGACGTATTTATCCCTTCGAAAGAAGACCAAGTGGTATGTTGAAAGCTATTCAAAAATGTATGTGATGAATACAGATTGTGTTTCAGGGATGTAAATAGGTGGTGATTAGAACAAAGTATAAGTGAGTAATTTTGACGTATTATGCTCTGTGGAAAATTAGGTAGCCCAGTTATTCAAAAAGGCTATTACCCTTCTAATAGCAAACGTCTATGAGTTTTATCCTAAATAGTAACAAACATTGATTATATAATTGGTCAGTACTCAGCGTTAAACAACACATGATATCACTTACAAATAGATGACTGAATGATTCCATGATGAAAATACTAAATTAGGCATTTTATGCAACATCAACTAACTAATAGTGGGAAGCCGTGACCAATAGGGTACAGCATGTTGAAGGTGAGGACAATTACTCATCGAAGAAGACATTGCGAAGTGGTCGCACTATGTCATGAATTGGCAGAAGTTGGAATTCATAGCCTGGCTACTGGAACGGATCTGAGTGGCTTAATGGTTTACGAGCTAGCTCGCCTTGTAACCAGAGTGTACTGGGTTCGAACCCTGGCGGGTGTGTACTGTTGAAGAGTCCCAAACTAGGACGGAGGAAACAGCTGGCTGTCTATTACTCCCAGGTTTTCCAGTAGTTCTCTAACTGATGCCAGCTCACGATGAAATCATCCAACTAATAAAAAGAGCTAAAATCAAAACTGATTACAGCAAAATGTTATTCATCGCGAAGGTACAGGTGAAAACTAACCTTTTTCATTAAAACACTCTGAAATAAATGTGCAGACAGTGATTCTCTTTCTTCTTCTACAGCTTTGATTATCTTCAATCGAGCTGTAACTGTAGCAAATGATCGTTTATCATTGCTTGTTAAATGTTTCAATGGATAATTGGTTACTGTGATTGGTAAATTGAATGCCTTTAAACATCTCCCTTTAACACACATATCATCCCAGCATTCACGTTTAATAGCCTGCCAGACAAATTGTTTTCCTAAGTCTTTTAAGTGTATTTCTTCTCGTAACTTTAGAAAGAGAAAACAATAATAGAAAGATATATAATTGTTTAACTGGAGATATTCTTTAACAGTAAATAAATGATAAATAAATTTCCTAGTGTGGCGTGTGCTACTGATAAGATTTACAAGTAGTATATAAAGAGAGACGTTCATCACCATGAAAATATCAATTAGCAGGCAGATAGATTTGATGTCAGAGAAGGCAAATGATTCAGCGATGCGGATAAATATGATAGACGTGAACAGGAAGACAAAGAAACACAAGATGAAGGACAGAAGTAACACAACACGGAGGATCTGTGCAAATGGTGATTTAAAGATAAGGTGTATATCATTTCCCATAAAAGAATTTTTTATTCCCTTATGTTCCCAGTGGCTGGGGATCAAACCCCGGACCACCTGAGTAGTCGGCGAGCATTCTACCGTTGTGCCACCCAATACAGGGGAACCAAATTCCAAATCTCTGGCCTTCTACCGTTACAGTAGTGATTTCACTTTCGAAAATCCAGACACCAATATCTACACAACCTCATACAGTTTTGTATTTCTGTTGTTATAAGGGGGATATTCTGGAAAAACGCTACATGTCCTGAGTTCACTAGATATTCTGTTACCGAACATATACACACCTGAGTTCTTGATTTGCCAGCCGGGGTGGATAGTGTTGCCGAAAGCATTTTATAAGCGGACGCATGGTACGGCCAAAATACTCAGCTCCACAAGGCCAAGTAAGGCGGCTCTATGAGACAGCTTCTATTTCACGTGCTGATTAAATAGTTTCTTCCAGGAAAATGTCAATCGTAGGCTGGTGGCGAGGTATGTTTTACTGGGAGATTTCCAAATTCGTTTACGGAGAATTTCCGCTTCAGTATCCCTTTTAAATTGTAGATTAAGCAGCAGCATCTCTTTGGGGGAGACTTGGACCTATTCAGAAGCTTTCTTTGATTTTAGATCCGTGTCTATGAGTCTAGATGGGAAATCATTTTCCATCGAGATTCCTCTGAGATTTCACAGTTCCCCGTCAATACATTCCTCGGTACATTTTTTCGGGATCTTTGAGGAAAGAGAATATATTAGGTTTCTGTTTCTGCTTAGAGGTGAAAACTGATAAACATTCCTTTCTGTGTGGACTTTCTGTATATGAATCTCCCCAGCTAGTTATCAGCACTTCTTCACCACCAGTCTATGAGTGATGCCTTTTTCCAAGAAACTATTCAGCCAGCAAGTGAAATATAATATGTATTTACCAATTCACTTGCTCTTGTGGAGTTGAGTACATTGGTCATACCATGCATCTGCTTGTAAGACGCGCTCAGGAACACTATCCAGTCTAGCTAGCAAAGGAAGAACGCAGGTGACTATATATGTGCACCGAAGTGACTTAACACAGGGATTTACAATATCCGTTGAACATTGTAAAAACCTTTGATTTCCAGTTAACGTTGAATACTGTCATAAAATATTATATGCAGCATAAATTTTGATAGAATTTTCTTAATACTCACCTTTGCAACAGTTTCTTTCGTTTTATCCAATATTGCGCTTTGTTCTTCAGAATCCAACTCAAATTCTAGTCTACCAATGCGTTGCATTTCAGGAAGATTTTCATTTTCGTCGACCATTGCATTCACCTAAACAATTTGAAGCAATTAAAACTAAATAGTCAGGCATTTATAAGTTTTATTAGCTATTAACATGTGAATGCATAACGGAGAAAATATAAAGTATCATTAGCCTAGTAATCTCAGCGATCACTAGTCATCTTAACTAATGAAATACAACAAGAATAGGGTTTAGATTCTGAACATCCTATCTAATTACTACCATCCATCCAGTTGAATGGCGGATTTATGCAAACCTACCAATAAAGCATGGACCTTTAAGATATGTAACACAGGCAATAATCCCTTCGTCGGTGGCACAGCGGTTAGGACTGTCGTCGACCATGCACATGGTACGGGTTTCGATTCCCTACCAGTGCACACCTGATATCTACGATCGGCCTACAAAATTTGGGCTACCGATATCACATGCTGAAAATTCCATACCTGTACCAGAAATACTGTATGGTTTCAAGCTATAATCAAAAAAATTATTTAAGATTTACAGCCTCATTAACTGACTTATCTTCCTCACCTGACAATGATTGTCTAATCCTAACATTATCTATAGCGTTTCTCAACCAAACGATGAGCACGTGACTGAATAAATATAAAGTTAAAAGCATCCAATCTCTTAATATTTTCTACCTTTGATAGGAGCAAACCTTCATGTACTCATGGCATTCAGAAGATTCTGCATTTTGTCCACACTGTTTATCTAAAATGACTATAATATCTGAGTAATCTAATCGACTGGATCCCTTCTTATCGTCATATAAAGTGCAAGTAAAAATTTAAACCATACAGACCCATCTTCATCATTAAATTTCTAGTAAAATGAAGACAAGAGTGGCAACATCTCGGAGAAGAAAATGATCTGTTTTAACTGCTGGAAATACATTTTTTTCGAAGTTTGACCTCGGATTGATATCGGTTAGAGAACCACTGAAAACCGGCAGAGAGTACTGGACAGGTATTTCGTCCTACTAGTTTGGGACTCTCCAGCAGTACACACCCACTGGGATTTGGAACTAGGACCTACCGATTACAGTCCAGTTTCTTAGACTGTTCAGTCACTGGGACCCGATACAATGGCTCAGGAATTCTAACTTCTACCAATTCGTGATTTTAGCGTGACCACCAGCCAATGTCATCCGTGGCGAGTATTTGTCTCCACTGAACACGACGTCTTGCTAGAATTGCAGGCAACTTCATCCGATAGCCAGTCACTAGCAAGCATCAGTAGGTACATACTGCCGATGATTCACAAACTAGAACAATGAAAGCCGTCCATTACTGACTATTGGCTTTCAGTAGTTCTCTAAATAATATCGATCCGTGATCAAACTTGCAACAAATCAAATCGCTGCAAACCAAATCTTGAAAAAAAATGTTTTTTTTTTGTAAGCTCAAGTAGAGTGTATTAATTTGTATAATGCACTTTATCTGCAGTAAAATATTTCAAAGACACTTGCCGATTGACAAAGTTGAATGAATTTTCTTTACGTCAATAAATATGGCAGGTGTCGGATATTGGGAGATATGTCTATCTTTCAGAATGTGTTGTTCAGTCAATATTCGATTGATCTACACTGATCCAATAGTGAAACTTGAGATTGTAACAGCTGACTTGATGATAATTTCCCTGAATAACAATAAATTCTAAAGGGTCACCCAAATGCTTATTTTTTTTCCTTCACGTTCCCCAGTGGAACATAGGGCTTGAAGCTAGCGACTAGAAGTTTCTGTACCAGTGTTTATTTTACAGAATGGAGTTGCTAGCCTCATGCACAACCTTTCCTCTTCACCAGCATTATTTCTGGCTCAGCGAGGTAAAGGAGTGCGCCGGCCGGGGATCGAATCCCGGACCATGTGCATGGTCGGCGAGCGTCCTAACCGCTATACCACCGACGCACAATACTTGTTTACTGATTATTATTATTCCCTTGAGTTCCGAGTGGAACATAAGGTTTCAAAAACACATCTTAACCTTCTTCTATTCTCTGAAATCCTCTTCAGCTGGCTCATCTCCTCCTCGCCACACGATCTCCACCGTGTCACCCTCGCACCAACAACCCACTTCTCGGCACTGGGGTTCAGCTCGAGCGATGGTCTGCATTGCACGCGATTTCATTCGACAGCCTCCTCAATGTATCCCCGATTCATCTCCATTTTCTCCTACATATTTGTTGAGCAATAGCCTCTTGGTTGATTTGTTCCCAGCCAGGGTTTCTTGTTACTAAATCTTTCTGGCCATTTGAATTGCGCGTTGAAGTTTCTATAGCGATTCCTTTGGTTTTATAGGGTACGGTCGCTAACCCCACGCCCAATCCAACCTCTTTACCCAAGTTTGGGACCGGCTAGAAAACTAGCGAGCTAGTAAACTAGGCGAGGCTTTATTTACTGAGTGATGATAGTCAAATACGTAAAGTTACTCTCTTATATGACTTAAGGAAGCCTGAATGATACAATACTGTATTTAGATTATATTACCGAAAAGCTAACATGTGTGTCTAAGAAACCAGAGAATATTTTCCATCTCCACATTAGCATAAATGGGTACGTGAGCAGGAGTTCTGAAATCGTCCTACAGGTAACTTAATATCTTCACATTTAAACTAAGTAATCGCATAACATAACTTACTGTTTTCCTTATATTATTTAATTCATTAAGAATATGTATCTTAGTATCTTTATAGGCTAGATCTTCAGTAGTCTGCACATCTATCTGACATTGTTCTATCCATGTATTGACATGTGGATCAATATTGTCTATATAACTGGAGAAAATTTCTGATTCCGTTCCAGTGATATCTTCTGTAAACATTGGTTGTTCATCTAGTGTCATAGCTGTACTTGATCGAATCATCATTGTAGGTAGATTTTGACCACTGATAACATTGTTAACATTTGAAGATGCTCGACTGAGTGTTGTTACCTTATAGTCTGTCATTCCTTTCAGTGAGGTCAATTGTTCAGATAATGACTTTAAGTTTGCAGATGTTGAAGTCTTGGAGCATGTAGAATCTTTTCCACTAAAATATTGAACAAAATCAATGAAAACTTTACTCATCACACCTGTTAAAAACTATAAAAGGATATTTATCTGAAAACCATCAATGGAAGGAATAAAAAGAGCAATTTTGAAGTAATTACATAATTGTGATTGAACAGGCTTGTGTGTTCTTAACAAGATAACTTAAAACAGACAGCGTGTGTATACGGTTGTAAGGTAAAAATAAAGGATACTTGAGTAAAAGAGTCATTTTAAGTTATTTGCTGGTGGAATTTTGACGGAGTTGAAGGAACACAGACTGTTGCCTACTTGAGAGATTGCATATTTAATAGTCTTTTCTTTGTGGTAACACATTATGAGTATTGTTATAAATGTTTCTTTGGGTTCCAAGTGGAAAATACGACTTCAACATCACATCTCCATTTCAACCTGTTCTCTGAAGTCCTATTCAGATAGCCCTACGACTGACCTTGTACTTTCATCTCTTACTGCTCATGCAATCTTCTCCATGTCATCCTCGGGCTCAAGCCCAACTCGTAGTTTCCTGTTCAGGTCCTACTCAAGCGATAGCTTTGAACGCGATGTCAGTCAAGGGTCTCCTCAGTGTCTGTCCGATCCACCATTCTCCACAGCACATACATGTTGGCTACTAGGTCCTCTGGTGGTTCGTTTTCAGAGTTTCTTACTACTTTTTCTTTTTGACCAGCCACGTGATCTTCAATGTAGACTCAGCGAAGGCAGTTGTTGATGAAAGTCTGAAGAAGACCGTTGTAAATCATTTTCCTAAGTCGTGTGCCAGGTGTCTGATCCATATAGAAGAACTGACTGGCTAACACTGGTGTTGAAAATCCAGATTTCCCTTCCCTAAGCTGAGTGTTGCAGACTTCCAAACTGATTTCCGATCAATGAATGTCTGCTTTGCCTCTCCAATTCTGGCTGGCTTTGAAATCCTTATTAATGCTGTAGTCTGTAGCTGAGACGATGGCGCCCAGATATGTGAAGGAAGTGACGTGTTTTAAATTTCTTCCGCTGATATTGATTGCTGCTTGTTGTTGTTTTTGGTTGGTTAGTTATCTTCATCACTTCAGAGTGACCTGATATAAACTAATATTCAAACGTACTTGTCTTTTTTATTTACTTTCGTTGACACTAATTATACACACAGATTTATGCAAGCTTTGGTTATCACCTACCCCTACCCCATAAAACCAATCAAACTGCTACAGAAATTTCAACGCACAATTATTATTATTTATTATTGTTTCCTTAAATTCCTAGAGGAACATTGGGCTTCAGCCATGCGTCTCCATTGCATTCGGTTCTCTGCTAGAGTCTTCACCTGGCTCCAAGTCTGCCCATATGCTTTTATCTCCTCTTCACATGACCTCCTCCATGTCACCCTCACACTAACGACCAATTCTCCGCTTCCCTTTCGGGTTCCACTCGAGTGATGGCTTGTCTAGTGATGTCACTTGATGGTTTCCTCAGAGTATGGCCAGCCAATCCATATCCATTTCTTCCTGCCTATTTGTTTCACAATCGTTTCCTGGTTGGTCCGTTCCCAGAGATCTCTGTTGCTGATCTCTTCTTGCCATCTGATCTTGAGTATTGAGCGAAGACAACTGTTAATGAAGGTCTGTAGTTTGTTTGAGATGCTCTTTATGACGCGCAGTGCAAGTCTCTGATCCGTATAGTGAGTAGCACTGACTTCACATTGGAGTTGAAAATCCGGATCTTACTTTTGATGCTGAGTGCAGACATTAAAAATACAAAAATTATAAAAAACAAACTTATTCTCCGCTCGAAGAGGAGATGCGAAATGACACAGCGGGCTGATGAAAGCCTTCAGGAAGCCTTTCAGCTAACCGATGTATCCTCTCTCGATGAAAGCAAGAGTAAGAGTGGGGACATGGAATGTCCGTACAATCTACGAGACTGGGAACACTGCCCATGTAGCCAAATAAATGCGAAGATATGGCATAGAAGTGTTGGTTATCTGTGAGAGCAGATGAACTGAATGTGGATTATCAAAATTGTTAATTGGAGAGTCAGTAATCTACTCCAGTCTGCTCACTCAGACGACAACTACGAGCACACAGAGGCAGTCATTGGCTATCGTGATGTCGCCAGCGGAATTGCCAAAGGCCTAATGCAGTGGGCACCGAATGTCTATCGACAAGTGACGTTCAAATGAACTGACCTTAATTTTCATAATTTCCGACTATATATATTTTGATGGTTAATAAAATTCGGAACATTCTGCTGAAGAAGCTGTGGTTTACACAGCGAAACGTTCAGAGAAATCTTGTTTTGATTTTTTTCTTAAACACGCTGAGCTAAAAATCTTCTCTTTTATTATTCTAAATAACTTATGTTAAACATTCATCTTTAATATGATTAACCAGTAAAAAGGCTTAATTTTTATAAACACATTAATTCTGGTTTGGTTGTGCATATTGAATGAAATACTCAACTAATAATAAAAAGAATTCAATGACTCATAAAAGAATCTGCGTGCAGATATTTTTTTTAGAAGAGATCGAGCACACTGTAACACTCCAGTGCTGAAAAGAGCAGAAGAGAAATACCTATCAACTGTCTTCAAGGAAAATGAATACCCATACAGCGATTTCATCAAAAATGTTTAAACTCAAATCAAAATATCGACAAGAAACCATCCTCAAGGACCATACGAAAAACCGTCTTACCATAGATATAAAGAATGTCTCTGAAATAACGGCTAGAATACTAAAACCATTTGATATAGACATTGCACACAGATCAACTAAATCACTTCATTCAGTACTGCCATACTAAAGGATCCAGCAGCAAAAAGATAATAATAATAATTGTTATTATTCCCTTGGGTTCTGAGTGGAAAATAGGGCTTCAACAACACATCTACACTTCATTCTGTTCTCTGCTATCCTCTTCACCTGGGTCCATGATTGCCCATAATCTCTCATCTCCTCCTCGCTACACTATCTCCTCCATGTCACTCTCGCACCGACCACCCACTCGTCAATTCCCATTGAGATTACACTCGATTGGTCTGCACTGAGCGCGGTGTCATTCAACGGTTTCTTTAATGTATGCCCGGTCCATCACCATTTTCTACTAAATATTTGTTGAGCAATCGGCTCCTGGATGGTTTATTCCATGAGTTTCTTGTTACTAATTCTTTCTGACCGGCCATTTGATCTTCGATATGGAGTCAGCGAAGGCAGCCGTACGCCTATTTGTCCACTGTGCCTTCCGATTCACTGAGCCACGTAAATATCAAAAGACAATGGCTGGCCTGTCACTGTAAGATATTGTATAGTCTAAGAAATAACACATGATATTAATACATTTTATTTGCCACAATACAGTCAGCTGATAGTCGTGAGAATAGGTTGTTCTTATTGGCTGAGGATAGCTATTCTCAGCCGTTGGCGATCCGACAAAGACCAAGGTGAGACAAAAGACGATGAATTGATTACACACTAAACCATAATATGCGTGAGAAATGATAGATCAATATAGTTACTCCAACACAAGATAAATTATACGATTCGTGAGAAAGGATGATATACTATTTTATGCTGGGTCCTATCATGAGTTCAGAAGATTCCCAAAATGGCTTCAGGTTGATGAAGGCGTATCTTCTGCTCGGCTATGACATCTTCATCCATTCCGACTGACCGTGGTTGAAACCGTGCTTCCTTGCCAGATAAGTGAAGGAAGGAGGTCACCTCTGTTAAATCTCTCCCATTGATGGTGACTGGTGCCAGTTGTTATTGCTGTTGGCTGGTTGGTTATCTTTATCACCTCCGTCTTCTTTATGTTCACCCGGAGTCCTGTCTTCGCTTACTGCTTCTTCAGCCAGTTTGTTGATTTTTGCGTACAAGTCTTCGAGTTTGTGTGACACTAAATGTAAATCATCCACGCGCGAAATTCAGGTCTTCTAGAGTCTTTTTATCGGTCAATACCATTTACAAAATAAATTGCTGGAACTGCGATAGACGTTACATCGATCAAAGTGCGTGTTCCCTTCGAATCAAAATCCAAGAACACTAATTACCTGTGAAAAAGCACGGCATATATACCTTCGTATTGATGCATGCAAATAGTTACGTACAGTAGTTTGATTGAACGGGGTAGAAATTTCAAGTAGAGGAAAAATAAAAATTGCCATAGAATTTCTAGAAGCCTGGTACTCAAATGAATTAGCAATTAACAAACACATTACTATAGATCAAATTTACCAACTCATAAGAAAATAAATCACATGACAAGAAATTTAAAATTCCAAATCAATAAAAACTGTCAATAGAGATGCAAATTACCAACCAATAACGACAATGTTTATCAGGAGCTACAGTGGTTATATCACTCAAGGAGAATTCAAATAAGTTCATTTCATACTAAAGCCTGAACTGAAGATGTTGTCTAGAAGGACAACGAAAGCTCCTCAATTAAATCAACCACCCTCAAAGAACACAACCAAATCAAAATCATCTACTCGAGTTACAAATCTTCTCTAGTATTTCAAAGACTATAATTCAAATAATTAATATACGAGTAACATAATTTGAACTGCTCAATGTTTGGAAAGAAAGAAAACGCACAGGTTAGACATGACTTCTTAGCAAAAGTGTATTCGATCATAAAATAAATAAACGTACTTTAATTTGATTTTAGTAAGTAAACCATCACTGCCACATGTGATTAGAGTGTTTAAATTCTTGTAGAATTCTGCAGCTATTACTCCGCCTGAATTACATTCATGAATATTTACACAATGGAGTAGTGTAACCTTCAAAATACAATAATAATAATAAAGAGAAATAAAATATATAAAATACACTTATATAATAATTTATATTTTAAACTCTAATAAATTTACAAAAATAGAACAATTTGGTATTTGATAGAAACAAGACCATGATGGCATGTATAGACAACTGATTACTTTTGTTCAAGTATTGATTTGTAGGGATTTGGTTGATTGGTTACAGGATTTCATCATGAGCTGACATCAGCTGGAGAACCATTGGAAAATTTGCAGGCGAGCCAGGTTTTCCAGTGGTTCTCTAACTGATGTCAGCTCATGATGAAATCATCCATCCAATCAAACAAAATCCCTACAAAACCAATACTTGAAAATTAATCTGATGCTCACTAGTGAGTGGCCCTATTCAGGTAGGTAGTTACTTAGGGTTCTAGTGGGAAGCCGTGACCAGTAGGGTACAGCAGGTTGAAGGTGAGGCAGTAACTCATCGAAGAAGACATTGCAAAATGGTCGCACTATGTCGCGAATTGGCAGAAGTTAGAATTCATGGGCTGGTCATTGAATGGGGTCCCAGTGAGTGGCTTAATGGTCTACGAGCTCGCCTTGTAACCATTAAGCCACTGGGACCCAATCCAATGGCCAATGAATTCTAACTTCTGCCAATTCACGATATAGCGCAACCGCTAGCCAATGTCTTCGGCGAGTATTTGTCCTCACCCCAACTGGACACGACTTCTCACTAGAACCCCAGGTAACTACCTACCTGAATAGGGCCAGTCGCCAGTGAGCATCTCATTGATATTCAAGTATTGGTTATTCTTGTTATTTGATGAATGGTAACTACCCCAGGAATCCAGAATGTCAATCTCAGCCTATTTGCCACTGGTCAGTTGGATGTACATGCGTGTTCAATGAGAGATGCGTTTTTCACTGAGACTCAAACCCAGTCCACAATAATAGGCAAAATAAGAAGCAACAGCTGTCCACTGCACCCAACTGGTTTTCAATAATCTCTCTAACTGATGTTGGTTCTATTTTCATTGGAATTTCTCATTAAGCTTCCTAAATAATCACGTTAACGTCTTTTAAAAAAAAAGGAAAGTTTGTTTCCAAGCATGATAGGCATGTGCATAACATTATCAATACTCCTTTTCGGAAACACAGTCTTGACTCCAAAGGGGAGTTGTGATATGAGATGACATCAGTCAGCGTGTCTACGAGAGATATTCACCGTTAGTATTCTCTCTTTCTTTACTCATATAACAAACATTACGAAGACTGATTTACTACTTAAAAGACGACTATTTTCAACTAGGATTATGCAAAAATAGGCATCGATATGTTCAGAAAAAATACTAAGAAAACGAAGAATCAGGTTAATTAGTTCCCTTTATGCAATTCGACAACACAATAAGAAGACGCGGTTTATGTGAAACGTATAATGTATTTGTGCAACACATTTCGAACATTCTGATTACACAGGTACTTGTCATACACAATTTTGTAGAAGGCATGAATAATTATGGTGCAGGTAAGATTGTGTACAGGTCAAGGTCACAAATAATGGGTAGGGACACGACTTAAAGAGGACCCATCGATTTCTGCAGGTTAGGGCTACAGAACATATTCCAAAGTGACTGCAACAACAAATAAATCACCAGATACAACTGATCCCGGAAATAGATGTTCAACATCATCTATAGCGAAGCACATTATAGAAACGGGTCATAAATTTGATTTCAACAATGTTTTTAAGCCCATATATAAAACAAGATTGGGTCACATACTTAAATTCGTTGAAGCCTTGGCCATAAAAAGACTCCAACCTGTCTTATGTGTCCAAAAGTTATTTCCAAGTATCGGTTTTATAGGGATTTAGTTTGACTGAATTGGAGGATTTTATTATGAGCTAACATCAGTTAGAGAACCATTGGAAAACCAGCTGGGAGTACTGGACAGCTGTTTCATCAACCTAGTTTGGGACTCAATACGCACACACCACCAAGGCTACAACCCAGGACCTTCTGGTACAAGGCAAGCTCGTAGACCATTTAGCCACTCACTGGGACCCGATCCAATGACGAGCCCATGAATTCTAGCTTCTGCCAAATCATGATGTAGGTCCTTCAAGTATTCGTGGGCCGTTGGATCGGGTTCCAGTGGCTTAATGGTCTATGAGCTCACTAGCCTTGTAACCAGAAGGTCCTGAATTCGAGCCCTGGAGGTGGGTGTACACTGCCAATGAGTCTCGAACTAGTGGGACGAAACAGCTGTCCAGTACTCCCTGTCGGTTTCCAGTGGTTTTCTAACTGATATCAATCCGTGATCAAACTTAAAAAACAGTAATAAGCATCTTAACAAGTTTCTACCGTATTCAGTCTTGATTTCATGAAATCGTTTTCCGTGTTACATCCATACTCTAACCAGTTTGCATTTTTGTTGAGTATTAATCGGTCCTGGGTTTGACCACTGAACAACGGTAAGTCCGGTAAAGAGAGAAGGTTAGGCGTGAGGCTAGCAGCCTCATCCCGTAAAAAGATGAAAACCACTGTGCTACGGAAACTTCAAAGATCAAGTTTGGAGCCCTATGTTCCAAAGGAATAAATGACAAACAAATAGTAGTAACAATCCACAAATACCTATAAAATGGGTCAACTTACATTTGGATTCATGCTTATTACTTGAACTGAACCATCAACAGAATAGGCTAGCAGCAAATCATTGCTCAAATCTCGTGCAAATTTGATATTTTGTGTTGAACAAAGAACAGTAAAACCAAATGATGGTTTGATATAAGCTAAATTTTCTTCCTGAAAGGAAAAAGAAAAGTGAGATCATATTCCCCATTATATATTTTAGTTAGTACTGTAATGCCATTAAATAGAATACAATAATATAATAATATTAACGGTAGAATTCAACAAGCCACAACTGTCTAGTGTTCAGTCAACGTATCCAATAGATTCCTACAGAAGGTTAACCGCGACCCTGAATAGCTCAGTGGTAACGTCTTTTCTTTGACAACAGGACCGAATGATGCAGGTTTGAAGGTAACACGCCTTGATGACTGGTCAGTGTCAACAAGCATGAAGCATATCTAGGTTAGGCTGAGATTCCTTACAATTGCCTCCAACCAGCGGATAACAACATTGTCAGTTGTTTAGAAAAGCTTACAGTCATAAGACTTTAGATGAAATCCTAAATGTTAGGTCAGCTGGTTTAAACTACTAAAAAGACAAACAAAGAATTGCTCTCCGAGTGGTTGGTTGGTGCACTGGATGCAGAACTCCAACAGGAACAAGATGGATTCAGGGAAAGCAAATCATGTGCTCTACATATCATAACCGAACAGAGTATACAATGGCAGTCAAACCTCTATTTCAATTTCATCGACTTCGAAAAGACCTTCGACAGCCTTGGAAATAACTTCAACACTTAGAAGTGCCTCAAATCATTATCAGCCTTATTCAACAGGTATATGACAGTGCCACGTATCAGGTGATCCACAACCGAAAATTTAGATAGGCGTTTGAATTGAATACATGAGTAAGACGAGGATGGCTTCCTACTATTCCCTTTGATATTCCTAATCGTAGTGAACTGGACTGTTCGTCGGACTGTGAGGAGTGATAAGACAAGAATGCGCCAAACCAATAAGAAGATTCTAGGAGGTTTGAACTCCAAGGATGATTTATGTCTAATGTCACATAAATTTGAAGACCTACAGGCGAAAACTAACAAGTTGGCAGAAGAGGTATGTAGAAAAGACAGGACTTCAGATGAACATAGGGAAGACGGAGGTGATCAAGATAAGACCAACAACAACGATGAACACCAGTCACTGTCAACAGGAGAAATTACATCCTACTTATCCAGGCACCATCGTTTCAACTACAGGCTAGTGGAACGGATGAAGATGTCAGAACCACAAAATGAAAAGCGCAGAAGACCTTCATCACTCTGATATCAGTTTGAAATTCGTCTGCATTCAGTAAGAACAAAAAACGGTATTCGGATTTGCAACATCTGTGTTCAGTTAGTTCTTCTCTACGGGTCAGAAAATTGGAGCATGCGTCGCCAAAAGCGTTTCCAACGGGCTCCTTCTCAGATTCTGTACTGGAGATCGGATGGCTGTCCAGAAAGAATTGTAAACAAGGAACTCTGAGAATGAGTCAACCAAAAGTCTGTTACTCAATAAGTATGTGAAAGAAAATGAAGATGGATCGGACACATGTTGAGGAGATCATCAGGTAGCATCGTACACCAGGTTGTCTCTCTATTAGGAAACGATGAGTTTGGCGTGAATCATTGTGTGACCTGGAGGAGACCGTACGGGAAGGAGATGAAAGCTTATAGGGAATCGTGGGGCCAGCTGAAGACGACCACAGAGAACAGGAAAAGTGGGGACGTGCTGTTTAGACCTTATGTTGACAGAAATAGTGAGTGAAAAACTGTTTACTAGCATTTTTTCAACAACAACAACACTAAACAACACTATACGAAGAATAACAGCGATAGAACTTGAAAACAAAAAACTATAAAATTAACAGAACTCAAGGTAACACTGAAAACCTCAGTTGCAACTGATGACTTCTCAGTAACACATTCTTCAAATGCTAATGTTTCGTTAGAATTTGTTGGTTGTACAGCAGTATCAGATGGATATTGTTTGCCTATCGACTTTTGACGTGATGATCTATACTTGTCAAAATAACTGCTCTGACGATCATTTGATGATCTAAGAAAGGCGGAAAATTCACTTGACCTCTGATTCAATTCGTCATTTGGAGTAGGTACAGTTGAACACTGGAACGTTGTCTGTTGTTTTGTTGTTGTTGTAAATGATGAATACGTATACATGATATTAAATACAAATTAAATAGCACATTAATGTGTTTTGTTTTTCATTATTTTTGCTGGAGTTTATTTTAAGAAGTTTAAAGAAAAGTATATTCTATCTAATTTTTGAAAATCTGACTGATTACAAGGATGGATTTTATCACAAAGACGTATCGGTTGGAGAATGACTGAGTATCAAGAAACAGTGGTTCTAACTGGATACCCCTTTAGCAGCGTGAATTTCAACTTCTCAGTTTGTCATAATAAACCAAGTTTTGATAGCTTAATTGAAACCTCTGTAAATTATTGGATTGGAGCATATCATCATGAGCTGACATCAGTTAGAGAATCATTGGAAAACCACCAGAGAGTACTGAACAGATGTGTGTTTTGTCCACCTGGTTTGGGACTCTTCGTCAGTAAGCACCCACCACCAGGGTTTGAACCCACAACCTTCTGGCTACAAGGCTAGTGACCTCGTAGACCATTAAGCCACTGGGACTCAATCCAACGGCCCACGAATACTTGAAGGACCTATATCATGATTAGGAAGAAGCCAGAATTCATTGGCCATTAGATCGGGTCCCAGTGAGTGGCTGAATGATCTACGAGCTTGCCTTGTACCAGAAGGTCCTGGGCTCGAGCCCTGGCGGTGGGTGCGTGCTGATGAAGAGTCCCAAACTAGTTTGATGAAACAGCTGTCCTGTACTCCCTGCAGGATTTCCAATGGTTCTCTAACTGATGTCAGCTCATGATGAAATCCTCCAATCCAATCAAACAAAATGCCTACAAGCTTCAAGCTAGTGGCTTGAAGTTTATGTAGCAGTGTTTATTTTTACAGCCTCATGCCCAACCTTTACTCTTCACCAGCTTTATTTCTGTCTTAGTGGGGTAAAGGAGTGCTTCAGTTGCCGGGATCGAACCCGGCCATGTGCATGGTCGGTGAGCGTCCTAACCGCTATGCCACCAACGCACTTATGAAAAATAGTGTCAGTCAATATATGTGTAAAACATTGGTCACTGTGTTAGTACATATTCACTTATTAATTTGTTTATTGGGATAGATTGCAGAGTAAAACAGTATTATTATTTACTGGATGACGAAGTTTTGAACACAACTAATCACTGTTCATAATTATTTCATCCATTGTAATTACACAACTGTAAAACTTGAATTTTATAGTTCCCTTCTCTCTTTTTCATTTATCGTAGAGGTAGAATCTTCCAAATGTCTTGGTGAACAGGTGATGAATCGTTTCTATTTCACATATTCTCAGGTAATTCGATAAATAAAGCTTCCATTATCAATCTGATCACCTCTACACAGTTATATTCGATTTTAAAACTGTCATCTTATCCAATCCCATTGTATGGTTGTGTGTAATTATATGTGGTGAGTGCTATACCTGAGCTATTCTTCAGATTGCTTATCTTATTAGAGTCGACTGATCTAGATTTTTTCGTGCATTGGTGGCATAGCGGTTAAGACGCTTGTCGACCATGTCGACCGGCCGACGCACTCCCTTACTTCGCTAAGCCAGAAATAATGCTGGTGAAGAGGAAAGGTTGGGCATGAGGCTAGCAACCACATACTGTAAAAATTAACACTGCTACAGAAACTTCAAGTAACTAGCTTGAAGTCCTATGTTCCACTGGGGAACGTGAAGGAAAAAAATCTAGAATTTGCTAGGTTTTTGTGCTCCTCTAGTCTAATTCCCAAAAGTTCTACTACTCTGATCAATTAATTTGAGCTGACGATCATTCCGGGTTATTAGATAAACTAAGTTGTTTTATTTAATTGGTTCCACATGATCCACTAACCGACAAAGTTTATTTCTAGGTGAGCTTGTGTATGACTGAATGCCACTTTTATTCCTGCATTGTTAAGAATTCTGCGTAAGATTTCTGAGGATCCTTCTTTGAAGTACTACTGATGATGCTTTAAATTCATAATTATTATTGGTGTTGTCATCACTCTGCGTATGTTTGTCATGTATGTCATCCCTATTATTATTAGTCTTACTTTAACAATTTCCTATTTTTTAAAAGAATGGTTAATGAACAAAGAGTACTCTTTTCGATAACTTCATCATCAGGTTCTACAGTTATTTATACATAATAATGAATGAATGAATTAGTATTACTAACAACATCCACATTGTTTAAATGACATCGAATCAATAATAATAATATCAATGGATTACAGTTCAGTAGCTTCAACATAACAATACACTGAACATCAGACAGGCAAATTAGAAAAGATAATAATACAAATTCATGAACTTATAGTCTCCACTGAACGCCGGTCAGGGCAGTAGTAGTGGTTGGACTTGCTTCTTCTGCACACAAAGCACTGCTTGTTTCAGGGGAATCGTGATAGACTCTTATGTTTGGAGTATGAAGTATCTGGGTGCTTTTGGCAATTTGTTTGTTAACCGGTAGATAATAGAGAAGGATTCTTCAATGCTAGCTGGCCTTGTGGCCAGTTTAGACCAGGTGGTCTAAAATTGAGCGCTCTTGATGCTTCTCACTACACCCTTACTTAGCCACACTGGTAGATGTTCCCGATCGAGAAGGAAAAGCCAAGTTCTTAGAGCAATGACTAATATAACTGGCTCCACAAGCAGCGCATTTGAAATGGTAGATATAATTGGAAGTGGCTAGTTTAGTTACTTTATCTTTCAATCGGGGAATCATCATCAGTCGTGTAGAAAGTACGACTTGTAGTTAACCAGCAGTAAAAGTTCTTTGAATAGCTTTTCTTAACTTGTTAGTAATTATTTCACTAGGTGAGTCACCCATGAATTGCAGACGTATATGTAGAGGCTTCTTATTTGAAGATGGAGAATAGTCCTTTTCTGCTTTCTTGGTTATGTGTTTCTTGATGAACTTTTCTGGATAGCTATTTTCAATTAAGGTGTCATATACAGTCCTTAGTCCATCTTCAATTACTTCTTCTGGGCATATAGGTCTAACCCTGTGGCTGAGGGTCATTGCTAAATGTCTTCTGTACTGGAGAGGAACGAAGCTATGAAAATGTGTATATTGTCCTGTCCATGTGCTTCTCCTGTGCAAATTTCTCCTTATACTACCATCTGGTTTTGTTTCCCATTTAATTTCTGATTGATTTATGAGGTGATTATTAAGCTTCAGAGCTTCTCTTATGTGCCTCACTTCCTGTCTTTGACTGTTTGATGCCATTTGGTCTTTTGCCCTATTAATTTAATATTTTACTAATCTATTTTTGAAGGCTTGGCATGGGATGAACGAAATCCAAATATCAGTTTGTAATGTTTGGGTTTTCAGTAAAAAAAAAACACACCAGTGTTTAACTTTTCATCTTGCTTCCTTTTAATGCTACAGTCTGACATCGGAAGCTCCCCCTGGCTAACTTTCCAGTTCATAAGTAAATTAAACTGCCTCTATCTTTGAGTTGATATGTTCGAAAAATCTATTTATATCTTGTGTTTTTAGTACTGTGAGTGTGCCATCAACATAGCGACTCCCTCAGTTTAATTTGTGCATTTTTCATTGGAATTGAAATACTGCAGAAATCAGACATAGTTACCCTGCTAACATGAAATCTTCTAGTGATAAATTAGTTCTAAGACCAAGTTCTTGGTCTATCTATATATATATATATATATATATATATATATATATATATATATATATATATATATATATATGTGGTGAGAGCAAGCTGCTAGCCAATTGGTAGACATTGATCTACGCTGATTGGTAGAAATTAATCTAGGCTGATTCAACGATCAATCACAGCTGACCTTGACGTGGACAAATATGATTCGCAGACAAGTGGCTCGCATTTCCGAGAAACATCGAAAACGAGAAAGCAGAAGACTGCGTTTGTGTGCAAACAACCAATCAGAAGACCGCCTTCTTTCTGCGGGCAGAAGCCTATTAATGTACGTAAAATACATATAAATACCTGTTGGTTTTCGTAATAAAACTGATCTGTTGCCTGGCCCTTGTCTTCTGTTGTTACATATATACATATATATATTATATATAGCTATCCTTCTGACTGTTGAAGGATTTCTCCTGAAACTTCGTGTTTGAGTTAATTTTACCAAATAAAGGCTACTTCACAAGTAAGTAAGTAAGTCAAAGTATGCAAAACCCTTACCTTTTGTTTTTCTGTTATTTTAAATAATTCTAGTGTATGATTTAGGGGATCAGCTGCAATCAGTAGTGGATTATTCGACTCAATCAATTCAAAAGATGGCCAAAAGCAAACACCAGTCTTTGGTTGATCTAACTGAAATTTACAAAGCTTGATGACATCTTCTTTTAGTTTTCGGCAATCATCTTGTAAATATTTTTGTGGATCTGAAAAAAGCAATAGAATATCGGCTGAGTTAATACCTCAAATTGTTCAAGAGTTTGAGTAAGAATAAAGGAATGTCAAGTAAAAGAATCAATATATATATTAATGATTATCCTTGAACGAGCAGTACTTATACAGTAGGGTTGAATAAACCATATTTTATTTACTTTATTTTTTCCCTTTCCACACCAAGTGGAACATAGGGCTCCACAATTCAGCTTAGAATTTTCACTAGCAGTGGTCTTCTTGATATCATTACGAGCAATAGTTTGTGGTCAACACGTCATCCGTTAGTATTACTGTATAACACTGTGTGATTTATCAAAATTAAATCTTATCTATAATGGAGTTATACTCTACCAAAGTGCCCAAGTTTTATACTTATATCAGAGGTGTTCCTCTTTTCTTGCGACGTGGGATTACTAGCCTTACACTCAACCTTCTTCCATTACAAGGCTTACTGTTGGCTTACCATCGAGGTTTAGGGGTGTGTCAGCCGAGAATCGAACCCCCGACCATGTAGGTGGTCGGCGAGCGTTCTGCTGATAAACCATCGATGTACAGTTGAATAAACTAATTACTGGTAAAGGTATGCGTATCCGATGTTATATAAAGTTTGACGTATATGTACTCCTAGAGCGTTATTACGAGACGTGAACTCAAATAATTTCTAAGTTTATAAAAAGACCTAAACCAGATTTTGGTATTTAAACGATAATAAATTCTACTAACAAGGTCATAGTGCTGACTGAATTTAGCTAGTGAATTCCCCTGTCTCATCAATAAGTTAAAATGCACTTTATTGTAATGTGCTGAGTACGATAACTACATTATTATTATTGTTTACTTTAATTCCTAGAGGAACATAGGGCGACAGCCGGTTCTTTGTTAAAGTTTTCACCTGGCTCCAAGTCTGCCCACATGCTTTCATCTCCTCTTCACATCACCTCCTCCATGTCACCGTCGTACTGACGACCAACTCGCCGCTTCCCTTTCGGCCAGGTTCCACTCGAGCGATGGCTTGTCTAGTGATGTCACTTGATGGTTTCCTTAAAGAATGGCCAATCCATCTCCATTTCTTCCTGCCTATTTGTTTCACAATTGGTTCCTGGTTGGTTCGCTCATTGCCAGAGATCTCTGTTGCTGATCTTTTCTGGCCGGCCATCTGATCTTGAGTATTGAGCGAAGACAGCTGTTGACGAAGGTCTGTAGTTTGTTTTAGGTGCTCTTTATGACGCGCCAAGTCTCTGATCTGTATAGTAGCACTGACTTCACATTGGATTTGAAAATCCGGATTTTATTTTTGATGCTGAGAACGCTGTTAACCTCCACACACACTTGAGAGAAATGAAAGCTTGTCTTGCCACGATAACTACAGCTTCGATGAAATTAATGTTTCATAAAAGTTAACAATGAAAGCTTTGCAAGGAACAGAAAAACACCAAAAAAAAACTCATTGGGTTAATTGTATATCTCCTTTGTAAACTAAGTGGAACGGTTCGGTGAAGGCCAAAAAATAACCTCCTGTAATCCTGTTAACCATTATCCTACCAGAACAAAAAAGAATTTCCCTTCCCTCGCCCCACCCCGTTAGTTAAATAGGATATCAATTCAGGTACGTTATGAAGTAGCATCCAAGGTTATCACTTGAATTTTTCGATTAGACTCTACACCTTGTCTACATTTTGGTCAAACTCGGATATGTCATCTGCAGATTCCAAGTCAACTAAAGTACTTCATGGGGTGGCATAAATTCCCGTGAGTTAAGGTTTGGAAACAAAACCCCTAAAACTCCAATATACGAAATACTCCAGTGAAATCGGAAAACAATCGACATCCTTGATGAATGCTGTTTGATTTATATATCACATTAAAAATATTTCATCATAGTTTGAAACTTTAGGAAGAGTGTTCATGTATGTATTCCTCAGTTAGATGATGTGCTTATTAGATATTCAGTGAATTATAATATATTCAAAGCTGTTGGGATGGTAAAGAGTAAACAGATCTTCTCCTCACTGACTGGGGCATGAGTTTCTTAAAGGTTGTATATACGCATTACTGTCTGGTGACTGTCAGCAAGTACGAAACCTAGGACCAGTCGGTTGCCTTCAACCGTCTAAAATCAGTTCATAGTGCGTTGTGATGGCAGTTCACCTAACTCAGTGGTCACACTGGGCACTTGACTGACAGAATTCAGTCTACCCCACCACAACAAAGACTAGACGCGTGATATGAGTTACTATATAGTGACGAATAAATGTAAAAATAAGAAATTTACATGTAATGCCACTGTATTTTAATGTAATTTGGTATAATCTGAATTAAACTAAAAAATAGAGATAATTTCAAAATTTTATCCAAAGTTTCTTTTACATTCGTTTGCATTGCTTAGCTTGAAGCTTGAGATTTGAAGTCTCGCTAGCGGTGGTGATTTTTTTTTCACAGTATGTTGTCGCTACCCTCATAACCAGTTTCCTCTGCCTTCTGGACTAACTATCGGCTTGGCGAGGTATACGAGTGTTTCAGTTGAGGGAATCGAACTACAAACTACGTAAACAGTGATTAACTAGCATTCTACTAATAAACCACCATTGACGCACGAAGTGCGTTTATCCGCAGGAATTACAACTAACTGATACAGACAAAATTTATGTGGAACTTCTCTCTGAAGTAATGTCGTGGTGACAGCTGGCGGCGAACAAGCCAAAATTGTGGACAACAATTTACGTCAATGTTACGTCCCGAATCAGGCTCATGAGAAAAGCAATAACAAAGCTTAGCTTTGAGAAAATCGCCAGCCAGTCACAGCGGACTTAACGTGTGGAAATATGATTCGCAGATATATGGCTTAATTTTCTGAGAAACAGTCACAAAGAGATGACAGAATAACCTTCAGCAAGAAGACAACCAATCAGAAGACGTTGCTTCTTTGCTGACAATAATGTACATAAAAATCTATAAATATCACTTGATTTTCTCAATAAACAATCTGTTACCTAGCTTTATCTTCTGCCGTTACAGTGTTACTGACAGTATATCATTAACTTTTATTGTTACCAAAGTAACTAACCTACTGACATGGTGTTTTTACCTATAAGTGTCAGTTAAGTCAGTAATACTCTTTGCATTCTTTAGTGACCTAATCAACTTAGAATTAAGAAAGAAGACTAGGTTGATAATATAGTCGAAATAACATTTTATTGACCATCAAGAAACAGTGGTTGTAGTATTAGTAGAAGTGTGGCGTGTGCTACTGATAAGATTTATCATTAGTATGTGGACACAGATTGATAGTAAGTGGTCAAAGCTAGAAACAGCATTCTTAAGTCAGTGGCTACGAAAGTAGAAGTGTTTATTCCTCAAATCTTGATGTAGCTTACGTTGTAGTCAGGAAATAATCCAATTGGACAACTTTTCGTCTCAAGGTTTAACCTTCAGAAAATCAGCAACCAATCAGAACAATTTATTATTGTACTCCGACCTAGCCAACTTTAAATATGGCTATAAATGCACAAATATGATGTGTTTTCCCTTAATAGAAAGGTCCGTCCCCAAGTCTCTTGTCTTCTCACGTTACGGTATTATTATTAGTAGTAGTATATAATGTACTGTATGTACAAGCTTACCGTTCTCAAAGTTACTTGGCAATTCATAGTGATATACTGCTTCAGCAACTTTACCAGTTTCGTTACCAACAGCAAGAAGGATGAATATCATTTCTGAATCTTTTGATCGAATCATACTCAAACTGTTCATTTTACCAGTGAATGCTGTCAAGAAAGAGGGCAGTGTACAAATTTAGTATGAATCACAATGTAACATATATATATATATATTTATATATTCACCACTAACAGAAAAATAAGTGCTGTTATTATTTTATTCGTTTAGAATTTTCCAGATGATTGACTGAACTAAAGTGTTTGGCCTCTGTTGAATTAGATAATAGCTAACACCCTTTGTGCAAGAAGTGGCTGTCGTGACCCAAGTGGTCTAGTGGATAATTTTTTGACGTTTGAAACGATTGGTTCTCTAACTGATATCAGTCCGTGATCAACTCGTAAAACATAGCTAATCCTTACAAACCAAACTATAGAAAATTAATCTGGTGCTCGCTAGTGACTTGCTACAGGTTGGAGCTTCCTGTAGTTCTAGTGAGAAGTCGTGACCAGTGAAGTCCAATTAGAAGTCACGTGTGGATGGATTTCCACCAACGACAATAGTTGGGGTCGCGCTAAAATCACGAATTGGTAGAAGTTAGAATTCATGAGCCATTAAATCGGGTCCCAGTGGCTGAATGGTATACGAGCTTGCCTTGTAACCGGAAGGTCCTGGGTTCGAACCCTGGCAGTGGGTGCGTACTGCCGATGATTCCCAAACTAGGATGAAACAGCAGCTGTCCAGTCCTCTCTGGTTTTCAATGGTTCTCTAACTGATATCAGTCCGTGATCAACTCGTATTCCTGTTTCCCCGCTTCATGTGCACAGTCTGACGCATAATCCAGTCCACCACAAATAAGAAAATCAGTCAGCTGAGTTTCCCGTTGTGGATCACCTAACACGTGGCCCTGTCATACAACCAGCTGTTGAATGAGGTTGATAAAGACTTGGGCACCACACGCAGTAGTGTTGAAGTAGTTTCCAAATTGCTTCTTGCTCAGCGCTATCGAAGGCCTCTTCAAACTGGATGAAATTGAGGTAGAGGTTTGACAGCCATTCTATACTTTGTCCGATGACGATGCATAGAGTTGCTACTTGATCAACGAATGATTTGCCTTTCCTGAATCCGGCATGTTCCGGCGACTTGTTGTAGTTCTGTATCCAATGCAGTACACATCACCTTAGCAACCTCATAATAATATCTGATACTAGTACCATAAATTTGGGTTTTTAAATGTACTTTTGTTGGATGAGGTGTGTTTTTCAACAGGATGATAAGAAGTGCTCAGAGAAATTGATTGTTATACAAAAAGAAATATGAATAGACTTTTACCAATACTGTAGTGATAAAATAACTCAACGTACACACATGAGCTATTGGTTCAAATGAGTTGGTAGGTAGTGCAGATATCACGATACTTGGTCCATCATCAACTGCCGTAGTTAAATATTCACCATTAGGATCAAAGCTAAAAATAAAAAAAATAGCAAGAACACTTGATGAATAATGAGTACAGATTATTAAGCATCAAAATAATTACAGTAGTATCCTAGAGCAGATAGTTTTTGATTTTTTTGGTTTTATTCTTTTACCTTCTCAGTGGAACATAGGGCTTCCAGCTTAGTGGGCTTTGAAGTTTCGGTAGCAGTAGTATTTTCATTTTTACAGGCTGGGGTTGCTAGCCTCATGCCCAACCTTCCCTCTATATTAGTCTTATTGTTGGTTGAGCGAGGTGAAGGAGTGTTTCGTCAGGGGATGGAACCCCGAACCACATGTGTGGTTGGCGAACATCCTACCGCTGTGCCACTGACAAAAGAGCAGATAAAGACGTTGATAATTTGCTGATTAGCAGGCAAATATTAGTATCACTTTAACCCCATGTCAGCAGTAACTACTAAAGTGTAAATCAGTAAAGAATCAGCAGGAATATGATGATTTTACAAGACAAAAACAAAAGGTTGGAATTCACGAGCTGGCAGTTGAATCAATTCCAAGTGACTGAATGGTTTGGTTTGAACCTTGGTGGTAGGTGCGTACTGATGAATAGTCCCAAAGTCGACTACTCTCCAATGGTATTCTTAAGATATTCTAACTGATGTGGGCTCCAGACCAAACCTGTAACCAATCAAATCCTTGAAGACCAATACTCGATAAAGAACAAAATAATCAATAGTGTATGATATCAAGAATGTGAAGATAGGAGGTAAGTTTCAGTGTCACTCTGATAGGCTCTTGATGTTTATAACCATTCAGTTTTTGTTTCAGTAAATAATGAAGATTAAAGTCAGCCTTGACTCGTGTCTTTACTTTGTGAAACATCATTTCAGACTAGAATGTTGGTGAGTATGGGTAATATGTAAAGTGAATAACAGACGATGAAGCTTGACGAAGTTATCCAGTATCTAGTTTCAGTTACCTAGAAATTTACGTTATATCTGTATATAATTCAGATAACTGCTCCATTAAATGTCAGTAATATCTTAGATGAATGCTAATCTACGTCTTTGTTACCATTTTTCAACTAACAGAAAGCTAACCTTAGCCTTAATGAACCAAGATAGCCAATGGTTTCTACTACTCATAAAGCGGCTTCAAACAGCTTCCAAAAACTGAAATGCGACTGCTATCATCATTCACACAAGAATCATCAAGTCTAACGTATGTGACTGCTCTTGACACTATCGTCAGTAAACTATTCAATAAAATACAACAGCAAAATAAAAAAAAATAAGTTTCAGCTGCTAGATATTCATCACGAAACCAGTATCAATTATAGACATTCAAGTATTCGTTTGTAAGGATTTGATTGATTGGTTACAGGATTTCAGCATGAGCTGACATCGGTTAGAGGACCATTGGAAAGCCTGGAAGTACTGGACAGCTGTTTCGTCCTAGTTCGGGACTCTTCATCAGTACGCACCTACTGGGGTTTGAACCCAGGACTTTCTGGTTACAAGACTAGCTCCTAAATCATTAAGTCACTGGGACCCAATCCAATGGCTATCCCAATTCATGACGTAGCGCAACCGTTAGCCAATGTCTTTGGCGAGTATTTGTCCTCACACCCGACCTGCTGCACCCTACTGGTCACGACTTCCCACTAGAACCCCAGCTAACTACCTAACTGAATAGGGCCAGTCGCCAGTGAGCATCTTATTAATATTCAAGTATTGGTTTGTAATGATTTGGTTGATTAGTTACAGGATTTCGTTATGAGCTGACATTGGTTAGAGAACCAATGGAGAATCTTGGAGTACTGGACAGCTGTTTCGTCCTTGTTTGTGACTCGGCCTGTAAGCAAAAGGTCCTGGGTTCAAACCCCGACGGGTGCTTACTGATGAAGAGTCCCAAACTAGGACAAAAGAGCTGTCCAGTACTCCCTGCTGGTTTTCCAATGGTTCTCTAACTGATGTCAGCTCATGATGAAATCCTGTAACCAATTAGGGAGATCACTGAACTTTATCCAACACCCCCCACACACAAATTCGATAATCTGAAGATCAATTACCAGTCGAAGGATGACTGCAAGTAGATGGATTTCCTGAAGCTACTGCAGTGGGAAATCGTGATAAACAATAGAGTCTTTCCACCATGTTTCAAGGTGGTAAAGTGGATTCTCATCAAAGACATTGTTAAGGGCATTGCTATATCACAAGTTGACATAGTTAGAATTCAAGTGTTACAAAATTCCAGCCCAACTGTCTGGATGGTCAGCTTGAAGGTCTCAGGTTCAATCCCTGTAGGTAGGTTCGTGAGTGATCAGTACCGAAGAGTCTCGAAATAGGACGAAACAGCTCTCCAGTGCTCTCAAAGCTAGCTTTCAGTGATCTCTCTAACTCATATTGGTTCATGAATAAAATCTTACATCTGGAATTAATCTCTAATCCCCACAAATCTTAGAATCTGAAAAACAATTAAACTACATGACCTGGGGTTCTGGTGGGAAGCCATGACCAGTAGAATACAGAAGGTTAAAGATGAGGCAGTAACTTATCGAAGAAGGCATTGCGAAATGGTGGCGCTATGTCATAAATTGGCAGAAGTTAGAATTCATGGGCTGGCCATTGGATCGGGTCCCAGTGAGTGGCTCAATGGTCTACGAGCTCGCCTTGAGACCATAAGATCCTGAGTTCGAACCCTGGTGTTGGGTGCGTACTGCTGAAGAGTCATAAACTAAGCTAACGAAACAGCAGGCTGTCCAGTACTCCCAGGTTTTCCAATGGTTTTTTAACTGATGTCAGCTCATGATGAAATCCTCCATCTAAACTACATATAGACAGAGAGGACAATAGTATAGCAGCCGAAGTTGTTAATGAATGTTATGTGCCAATAGGAGAAGACATGCAGTCGTAGAAAAGCATCAAAATAATGAAGAAGGAGGTTACTTGTGGAATAATAATAATGACAATAACAGAAAACATCTCTAATAAAAAAAATACATGAGTCACTACGCTTTCTAGTGGTATCAGGTACACAATGACAAATCTTTATTTTGATTTAATTATAGCTAAATAGAATGTTTTGTTTTCTTTTTCGGATAAAATTCATCTTTCTTTTTTTATCGTGATAAGAGCACATGAAAATGACCATGTTTCTGCTTAGAGGAGTAATAATTTAGCCTTTCAAATTAAATATTTATGCTTGTCACTTTCAAATGGTACATCATTTATGCTTGTGATTTCAAAGAATACATTTGTGGTAAGCATCAATTATTCATATATATATATATATATATATATATATATATATATATATCAAACAGAGGTATCTGTAATTTATTGCCCAGTTGTTGATGGTTTCGACCACAAGATTACTTATTTTTATTGAGACATAATTACTCACAGAAAATTTAGTTAATTAAATCAACACCGGGAGTATTCTTGTAGTATTTGTAATGAATTATTATCATTCCCTTGGGTTCCGGGTGGAACATACGTCTTCAGCATCGCATATCCATTTTGTCCTATTCTGTGCGATCATAAACAGCAGGCCCCATGATTGTCCATAAGCTCTCATCTCCTCCTCACGCGACATCCTCCGTGTCATCCTAGGACGATCCGCTCATCGTTTCCCATCCACCTTCCAACCGACGGTATGCCTTGCGTGCAAAGTTGTGTATCCGATCCATCTCCATTTCCTTGGGCATATTTGTTGAGCAATAGGTTCTTGGTTGATTTCTTCCCATAGTTTCTTGTTGCTAATTCTTTCTGGCTGGCCATTTGATCTTCAATATGCAAACAGTGAAGACAGATGTTGATGCAGGTCTGCAGCCTGTTAGAAATGCTTTTCATGGCACTCGCAGCAAGTTTCTGACCCGTATAGAAGAAGTAACTGACTTAACAATGGTTTTGAAAATCAGAATTTTGTTCTTTATGTCAACTGAGTGGAGAAGGTTTCCAACCTGATTTTAGAGTGATGATGGTTTGCCGTGTCTTTCGATGTCTGGCTTTGATGTCTTCATCCGTTTCGCCTGTGGTTAAACCCGCGCTTCCCAGATAAGAGAAGGAAGTAACATCATTCAAATTTCTACCGATGACAATGATTGGTACTTGTCTTTTTTGTTGGTTGGTTGGTTGGCAATCTTCATCACCTCGGTCTTCTCTCTGTTCACTTGAATTTGTGTCTTCGCTGCTTCTTCTACTGGTTTGTCGGTTTTCGTCTGTAAGTCTTTCAGTTTATGTGACATCAGAAATAAATTGTCCACTAAATCCGATTCTTCCAGAGTCTTCTTGTCAGTCCAAACTATTCCAGTCTTCTCGTTCTCAATGGCCTGTCCCCTGATGCAGCCCACTACAATCAGGAATATTACCGGTGTTAGTAGACAGACTTGTCTTACTCCTGTCTTCAATTCGAACGCTTCGCTGAGTTTTCCGTTGTGAATCATCTGACAAGTGGCATTGTCATTTAGCTGTTGAATGAAATTGATAAAGATTAGGTGCACGCCATAGTTTTGTAGTAGTTTCCAAATTACTTCGCGGTCAGCGTTATCAAAGGCTTTTTCAAAGTGGATGAAGTTGAGGTAGAAATTTGACTGCCATTGTACGCTCTATTTGATGATGATGTGGTGAGCTGTAATTTGATTAGCACATGACTTGCTTTTCCTGAATCCAGCTTGTTCTGCTGGCGGAGTTCTGCACCCAGTCTATCTTTTATTATTTATAATAAATACGAATGTTATAAAGCATATAAGATTTTTACATCAACAGAAAATAACTATTACTGGTATAAAGATACCTTTCACAGCCCTTTGAAATTTTTTTTATTCTGTGTATGCATATCAGTTAATTACTTAATTAAAACCAACTGGAATGAACTTTTATCAACCTCATTCAACAGCTATACCATGACGACACATGTCAAGTGATTCACAACAGAAAACCCAGCAATGCCTTCGAGGTGAAGACAGGAGTAAGACAAGACTGTCTACTATCACTAGTGATATTCATGACTGTAATAGACTGGATTACTGCATGAAGCAGACCATGCAGAATGAGAACACTGGCATATGTTAGACTGGCAAGAAAACTCTAGAAGTTCTGGAACTCGCCAACGATTTATGTCTAATATCGTAGAAATTCGAAGACTTATAGGAGAAAGCCAACAAGTTGGTAGAAGAGCTAGACAGCGATGATAGGACTTTAAGTGAACACAGAGAAAACGGATGTAGTGAAAATACCACCCGACCACAAAAAGAACCAATCACTGTCAACAGGGGAAGTTTGAAGGAATTCAACGATTTATTTTATGCGGGCAGTGACGTTTCAATTACAGTCGATATAGATGAGGAAGTCAAAGCCAGTCAGAATCGGAAGAGCAAGGCAGAAGTTTAGCAATCTGATGTTATTATGGAAAGCTACTGCAGTCAGCATCAAGAACAAGATTCGTATCTTTAACACTAATGTCCAGGGACTTGGCTTATCTTGAAGAGCGCTTCCAATAAGCTACAGACTTTCATCAACATCCACCCTCAGTGACTCAATAGTGAAAATCAGACGGCTTTTCAGAAAGAACTACCAACAGGGTACTCTGGAAACGAATCAATCATGAACCTGTTCTTCAACAAATATGCAGAAGAAAATGGAGATAGATATGACACATAGAGGAGATCATCTGTGGAGTAGATGAAAGACTATCGGGAATCCTGATGCTAGCTAAAGAAAACTGCAGAAAACGGGGTGAAATGAAGATGTACTGTTGAAGCCCTGTGTTCCGCTCAGAATCCAAGGGAATAATAATATTATATTATTATATTAGGAAAAATGAAGTATGAACTGAAACAGATGTTTTTATACAACTGTCATGTTTTGAATACTTTAATGAATCGCCTTCGTCGTTTTACATGCCCATATGCTTCTTGAATTTTAACTGTGTACTACAAAGTTTGTAATGTCACAAAACGCACAAGTTAATGATAAATAGATTCAGATGTTACATACAAATAGTAGGCCATAATTTACATAATCATAATGCAAAGAATAGACAATAGTCAGAAAATATGCTTTATATGTTGCACTCACCAAATATGCGTTAACGGTTTCCTATATAGTCGAGTTACTTTGACAATTCTAGGTGAAGTAGGAATTGTACAATCAATAAACATAATTGTACCACTGTTCATACCAGTTACAGCCAAAGGCAACACAGGTGAAACTGATAAACAGTGACACTTTAGCAGTTGAAAGAAAAAAAAGAAGAAAGAAACTGTGTTCAATTTAATTTTTAAAAAAGGTTATCTAAATGGAGTGTACTCAAATGTAAGTAATGAAGAGTGCATTACAAAAAAAACATTCCTCATCTCTTGATAATTATGATCTTAGCGGCAACCTGCAGGAAGCTCCCCTTTGATCTAGGCTTTCTGCTTATTGACGCTCATCAGCAAAGTGTATCTGCGACTTTGAAGCAACTGATATCCTCTCTGAGATTCACATTGCTTCAGTCACAGACGTTACCGATGAGCTATGCAGGCTAACGACTAACTTTTTATAAGACTGTAGTTAGTACATTGACTGGTCGCTAGCGTATAACCAATGTCATGTTTATAAACCTTAGTGTTGACTGAATTCTATTGTGGTCACCAAAAAAAGTGACTCAACTGGTGAGATATACTACTGATTAATTTATATGAGTAGTTGGTTACCACTCACATCAATCAGTAGTAATTACTTGCCAGATCAAAGTGATCTAAACACTGGACAGAAGTCTCGTTGTTCAGGGAGCTGAACTTATCAGCAGTGTACTCAAAGCCAAGCTACCTGAATTCTCGCCAGCTACTTGGGTGAATTCGTAGTCTGCAATTTATTCACGATATACGGTTTACATAGTTCGAAGTGGAATTTCATTACGGTTTATCTTTGGAAACTGGAATTCTTCAGATTACAGTATGTAATCTGTCTGATTCTGTGTAAGATAAGCAAGAAAGCAAGAATATATGCTGATTAATTGATTTGCGTAGCTGGATACTACTGTGGTGAAGTTTCACGTCGAACTTCGTAAATTGCAATTCGTAAATTAATTCGCAAACAAAACACATAGATCAGCGAAGAGTCTCTTTTCGGCGAATTCATTTCTCCTAGCTGTACAATCGTAAATATATATGTGTTATTTTGTATGTATGTGTATATTAAGTTTGTCAAACAAAAATACAGTTGGTTATAGTTATTTTAACTAACCAGGTGAAGATTGGTAATTGGAGTTACATAACACAAAATCAGTCAAGAAAATTAGGTGTTAGTGAAACTAGGGTAGTAACAAAGGTGATGAGTTGTCACAAACAGTTCCTAAAAGAAGTTGTGTAATAACATGAGTAGTTTGGTGAGTGAGATTTACTCAGGATGCACATAGGAACAAAGTAGATAATACGAAATTATGTAAGAGTTCTAAATGAATACAAGAATTATAAGCAATTAAAGAACAGGCAAAGAAACAAAATCAAGTCATCAGAATAAAAATAAAAATCAAATCAAAAAAGTTGTTACAAAGACAGTAGAAGTGGTTGAGTAATCCTCTTTTGTATGCACAGCTCCGGTTTTTCTATGTGAATGGTCAGAGCTTCAGCGATACAAAGAAGGCGAAACCATATTGCCTTTGATAGGTTATTCTTGACTTTGTAGATTACCTTAAAGGAGGCATTTGTTGAAATGAAATGACCAGTGTTAACCAGGTGTTCAATTATCGCACTCCTTATTGCACCACTATTGCCTTTTCGCAACCATGCTGGATAGTGTTCTTGAATCCTCTTGGACAGGGTGCGAGTCGAACGACCGATTTACCTGGCTTCACAGCAGCAGGTGAACTGATATATGCACACAACAGTGGTCAGATGCGGTATCTTGTCCTTGAGGCCTCTGCATATCAGTAGCCGGCTGGAGAATATTATTCTTAGCGTTGATGCAAAGAATGTTCTTCTCAGAGATGATGTGATACTTCTCTTGAGAACATCGTTTGCTAAATCTCCCTTAAAATCCAAGTTCATGTAGAGTTTCTTTTTTGGTGCAGTTAAAGTTTCGTTTCTCCTAATTCTTGGTTTGATATTTTTGTCAATGAATCCTATTCGGTATGCATTTTGGATGAAAATTTCTCTTAGAATACCTAATTCTGTTTCCAGAACGTCGGGACTGCAGATGTGTTGGATGCGGGTGGCAAGTGATTTAATTAAATTTCGCTTTTGTTGTTGTTAATTTGCATTAGGAATTGGCTCAAGCAGCTAGCCAGAATTTGGATGGTTTGGACTTGTTCGGCTCTATGAACTGAGTAAATTCAAGTATACCAACGATTAGATAACCCCGAGACGTGAGTAACGACCATCAGGTGTTTAGATACCCTCAATCCGAGTGGCAGTTACTACTGGCATACAACAACTCGTTCCAACTAATCAGCAGAATATCACATCCGTCAATTACACTTTCTTTCATGGTCGCCACTTATAGCATCATACAGAAAACTTATTTTGATCGGCACGAACTATTTGGACTGCAAGTCACAATGGGTCTCAATTGCCAAGGACCAGAAGCGTGACACTGACTAATTGTCACTTTTAAGTCTAAATTTCAAGATACGATTTGAAATATTTGGGCTGCCTAATGATAGTTTTAAGTAAAACAAACTTTGAAAACCACTTACCATTCAAATCAAGTGGTCACCTACAAATTTACCTAGTACCATCTATGCGGTAGACTTTCATTGTCTGCTTAAACACTTTTAGCTGAACTATGTTTCTTATTTTTTTGATATGAGTTGCTTGAGTTAGCATCATTTTCCCTTCACGATTTACACAACATGCCCAAACAGACTTCACTTGATTTTTTAATGAAGTTCATGTATGTTTTTGATTGCATTCATTATACGTTAGCTGGCTGGTTACGTCTAGCTGTTAACAAGCACCTACTGTTTTTCCTTTTCAACGATTTTTGTTGCTTCTGCTATTTTTCTTTCTTAGAAGAAACCATATTTTTATTCAAACTTTTATTCACTGAACTGTTGATGAATTAGACAGTGATGACCAATTTAATTAACGTCACTTCATCAGATATCAGATATCCTCATCGTTAGTAATGTGTGCTAACATCATAACTTAGATATAACAGAGAAGATTTGTCACTCTGGTGGATGATTTTGATGTGGTTGTGTTCTCGGAGCTAACTGGATAGTTAGTTTGTGAAGCTTTCATCGCCCTACTAGGCGACATCTTCAACGCATACTTCAATTTGAAGTGAGCTTTCAGATTTATCCACGAGTTTATTAATCATCTCTCCTGGTGACCTTGAATGTGATTGGTTGTTTTTGTGTGTTTTCACACCCTCTAGGCAACTTGTATTGTCACTCATTGTTTCTTTGACTTGAACTTTGACCCTTTGTGTGTGTGTGAGGTTTCTTCCTCATCGGTTGATAAATTTTGTCTATCTCGATGTGTCTATTGATTGATGATTCACTGGAATACCAGGCTGGCTTCTAAAATTTCTCTAGCATTCTTGTTGTTTCCTCTGTCTAGTATTTGAACGTTAGTTGTCCCAGTCGAATTGATGTCCATGGTTGTCTGTATGTAGTGATATGAGGGAGTGGATATCATGTCTTTTGACGGCTATCTTATGTTCGTGGATACGAAGACGAAGGGGACGAATGATATCTCAGAAATCACTGCAAGACTCTTCAAACCTTTAGGAATTGACGTCACACACAAACCAACAAAATCACTTCACTCAGCTGGCTTTATGTCAGCCAAAAGACTCAACAGCGAAAGAAGATAAAACCAATATCATCTAAAAAATAAATTGCAGCAACTGCGAAAAACACTACATTAGCCAAAGTGGACGTCCCCTTCGTCTTCGTATCCACATGACATGATATCAACTCCCTCATATCACTACATATAGACAATCACGAACATCAATTCGACTGGGACAACTAACGTTCAAATACCAGACAGAGGAAACAACAAGAATGCTAGAGAAATTTTAGAAGCCAGCCTGGTATTCCAGTGAATCATCAATCAATAGACACATCGAGATAGACAAAATTTATCAACCGATGAGGAAGAAACCTCACACACACACAAAGGGTCAAAGTTCAAGTCAAAGAAACAATGAGTGACAATACAAGTTGCCTAGAGGGTGTGAAAACACACAAAAACAACCAATCACATTCAAGGTCACCAGGAGAGATGATTAATAAACTCGTGGATAAATCTGAAAGCTCACTTCAAATTGAAGTATGCGCTGAAGATGTCGCCTAGTAGGGCGATGAAAACTTCGCAAATTAACTATCCAGTTAGCTCCGAGAACACAACCACATCAAAAACATTATGATTATTTAGTGACACAGTATTTGAAAGATAGTGAATTTAATCGTCGTAGTGACTTAAGTTTATTATCATTAATGATTGTTCAACGTTTTGAGATAGTCGTCAGGTATGAAAGATTTCATCTAATACACATTCTATTTTAAAAATGCTCATTACTTTCTAATTAGATGTTTGTGACCGAATTCATGAGTGATGAAAGGTAAAACTGTTCATATACAATGAGTTCATCAAAAAGATATTTCTGTATATACATATATATATATATATATCAGATGATTGGGGGCAATCGGCAGGAAGCCTTGGACCTGGGTTTCGTTCTAGTTGGCACTCATCAGCAAGGCGTATCTGCGAACTTGGAGGAACTGATGTCCCTTCTGAGATTCTAACCCGCGTCACCCAGTGCTGCAGTCAGAGACGTTACCACTGAGCTATTCAGGCTCGCGACTGATCTCCTGTAGGACTGTATTGGATATTTTTGATTGCACACTAGTCAGTAACTAGTGTAATGTGTCTAGTCCTATCTTGAGCCTGAATAGCTCAGTGATAACGTCTCTGACTGCAGCACTGGGTGACGCGGGTTCGAATCTCAGAAGAGATATCAGTTCCTTCAAGGTTGCGGGTACGCCTTACTGATGAGTGTCAACTAGCACGAAACCTAGGTCCAAGGCTTCCTGCCGATTGCCTCCAACCATCTAGTACCAACAATTCACAGTGTACCGTAACGGTGAGCGACCTAGCATAGTGGCCACATTGCAAACATGACTGAAAGAATTCAGTCTGCACCGAAGATAGGACTAGACACATTAAAGTAGTTACTGACTAGTGTGCAATCAAATATATATATAACACTACAATTCAAAGGTAATATACCAAGTGAAATAATAACCAACAAGTTGAGAAAATTGATTCAAATAACGTTTATTGCTGGTAAGTTGCAGCTTATATTTTTTCTGCACGACCAGTTGTGATTCCTCAACTGAAAGATGAATTACCTAGACTAGCCACTTCTCATTGTATTTATCAATTCAGCTGCTCCTCTGGAGCCAGTTGTGTTCACCGTTGATTTCTCTAGGAACTTAATTCTTTTTGCTCAGGAGCATCACACTTACCAGTGTAACAACAGAAGACAAGGCTCAGGCAACAGATCATTTATTAAAGAAATCAAAACATATTTATAGCTTTTCATGTACATTATTATAGATTATTGTTAGCAGAGAAACACAGTCTTCTGATTGGTTGTTTCTCACAGAAAGTTAATCTTTCATCTTTTTTTGGCTGTATCTCGAATGTCAGATCATCTATATGTTAACTGTATCCGCCTACGGAAAGTCTGCTGTGGTTGGTTGTTGAACCAGTCTTTGTTCATATTTTTCTCACGACCAATATTGAGGACGTAAACATAGACGTAAATTACCATCTACCACCAATTTGGCTAGCAGCCAGCTCTCACCACACCAGTATTGGTTAAATAAAAATATTGTTACAACCATCAAGGGTTCTATATTAAATCAACTCGTCCAAACAAACAGCCCTTCTGTATCACCTATTGGTTATCGAATAAACTACTTAAAGCCTCTAGATACTAAACAATGCAAACAGTAGAGGCCATTGTTTAGTTCTCTTAAATCAACCGGAGGTCTGAGTGCAAAAGAAACATTTAGAGCTATTATTGCTATCCTGGCCTTCTTTCTATCAAGCCTATAAATACATAAATTTTGTGTTACTACCCTTAATTTATCTGATATTAAGTAGTCAGTTTAGTGTTATATTAATGCATATTATGTCTTGATGATGATATTAGATGGGTGGAGGTAATCGGCCACAAGAAGCCCAGCCTGACCTAGATTTAGTGGTAGTTGGCACTCACCAGTCAGCCAGCAAGGCGTACCTGCAACCTAAAAGGAACTCATGTCCCTTCTCAGATTCAAAATCGCGTCACCCAGTGATTACTGCAGTTAGAGACGTTACCACTGAGCTATTCGGGCTCGCGACTGACCTCCTGTAGGACTGTAGTGGATACTTTGATCGGACACTAGTAACTAACTAGTGTTATGTGTCTAGTCCTTTCTTTGGTGCAGACTGTGTTGTATCAGTCAGGTTTGCAATGTGGCCAGCATTCTAGGTAGCTCACCATCATGGTGTACATTGATTTGATGATATTATCTCTCTCTCCCTCTAAATGATGCTTTTGAGATGTAATCGGTCGATACTATTGATTTAATGTAATTCAAAACAACATTAATGCAGTCATATAAATGTAGAACCTGATGATGAATTTATCGGAAAGAATATTCTTTGTTCATTAATCAGTCTTTTAATATTTTTTTAATGTGCATCTTCAATCAATTAAAAAAAGATATTTGCTCAATGAGTTGTAAAAGAATAAAGTTATAACCATCATAACAGTAATACATGATACTTACTCGGTCATTAAGAAACAGATAACCAATTAATTCACCTGTTTCACAATCCCAACAGTTAATAATGCCTGTATTTCTTGCAGTCTACAGAAAAAAGAGAATAAAAATGACTTATTTGATAATAAGCGATAAAATTGTATGAACATTCTATGCATGAGAACGGTTCATGAGATCAGAAATAGTTAAACTTTCGTTTTAAATGAGTGAATGACAGAAAACAAATTTATTCTGCTGTATTTCATTAATATGATGAAGTATGTGGCTATCCATGGTTGCTCCCTCTTACAACTCTTGGGAATTAGTCTAATGCTGGTTAGTCACTGGCTGACTGGAATTCTAGTGAGAAATCATGATTAGCAGGATCTTTCAAGTCGGGAGTGAGGCTGGTGGTCTCACTAGCTTCACGAAATTGTTAGAAGTTGGAATTCATGAGCTGGCTATTATTGAGTTGGGTCCCAGTATGGCTGAATGGTCTACGAGCTTTCCTTGTAACCGGTAGGTCCTGGATTCGATCCCTCAAGGTGATTCACAAACTAGGATGAAACAGTTGTCAAATAGTCTCTGATTTTCATTAACACCCCAACTGATATCAATCAGTGGCCAGACTTGAAAGCAACTGAATCGGCAGATACACAGTTGACACACAGTCCTGACTCATTAGATGCAGTGAACACTCTTTAGAGGAAGTTGCTACTTGATAATGGCTACCTCCACGCTTTATAGATGAACACATAAAACTGGAAACGAACAAAGAACACCTTATCTCTATGCCAAAGAAGATGCTACACATGAATGTAGCGTTCAGAGGAGATCTTCTGGTTGACAGCCCAAAGGAGAGAGTATCAAACACCCTAAAAAGAACATTCTTTGCCTCTAAATTACGATTAGTATCCTCTTGCATCTTAATATGCTTCAACAACTGTGATGATAAACTATTACATCTGACCGCTCCTAAATGTATCTACCAATTCAGTCGCTCTTCTGGAGAGAGATCAGTGGGTCGTTCGATACGTGTTTTATCTAAAAGAGTCTAAGAAGAAGGTTATCCATCTTGACTATGGTAGGTCACAATGGATGAATAAAGAGTGATATAGTTGAACAGATCTCTAACAATGACCAGTCAATATGCAACGAGAATTCATTCAAAGTTATCTACAAAGTCATCATTTTCTTAACTTGTCTTTCGTTTACTGTCTTCACCTACTACACAATTTATTTTGATACTTGTCTCCATGCTGCTTCATTAACATCTATTTTTTTCTGAATGTCTTCATATTACCTAATCTAGACTCACGGTTATTCACCAGTCTCCCTAATTCATTTGTTGTCATACAAAAGAAATGAACCAAGTATAGTACTTTCTTCAAATTATTTTCTGACCTGATGATACATTTTCGATCATTTGAATAGGCTTATTTTTAATTTGATTCTCTCCTGATATGATTTCCTTGAAATGTCCCTCCAGTTTGCTTATAAATTTCGCTTATTTAGTATCTTAGATGAATATTGTTTATAGTGGCTGTAAATATACTCATCAAAACTTCAAAATACAACCGTGAGTAGTAACCGGAAGTGAATAGAAACTGCTCTTGCAATGATAAAATGTTCTTGAGTCATTCTGAAGTAACCTACATTTTGTTATATTATTGTTATTATAGTTATTATGATACCCTTGGGTTGCCAGCAGAACATAGGGTTTCAGCAACACATCACCAGTTCCCTCTGCTTCCTGAAGTCCTACTTAGTTAGCTGCACCATTACCCATAAGCATTCCTCTCTTCTTCACACGATCTCCGCCACGCTAACCTCGTGAATACACCCAACTCGTCGTTTCTCACTCATCTTCCACTCAAAGATTGGTCTGTCAAGTGATGTCACCCAACAACCTTATTAGGGTGTGTCCTATCCATCTTCACTTTATTCGGAATTATTATAATATTATTATTGTTCCTACTATCCTCTTTAGCCGGGTGCACGATTGCCTTCAATCTCTCATCTTTCCCTCGCCACACGATCTCCTCTATGTCACCCTCGCACCAACGACCCACTCGTCGCTTCCTATTAGGATTCAACTCGAGGCCTTACCTGGCAACCTGACGGCCTCCTGAGGGCACACACCCTATCCATCTCCACTTTCTCCTACATATTTGTCGAACGATCGGCTCTCGGTTGATTTGTTGCATTGTAGAGTTTCATGATGCTAATTCTTTCTGGCCGCCAGACTGGCTGTTTGACCTTCAGTATCGAGCCAGCGAAGCGGGTAGCTGTTGATGAAGTCCACAGCCTGTTGGAAATCTTTTCATGGCACGTAGTGTAAGTTTCTGACCATATAGAAGGGCCGACTTGACATTGGTGTTAAAAATCCAAATCTTTTTTTAAGCTAAGGAGTGCAGAAGATTTCCGAATCGGTTTCACGTTGATAAAGGTGTATCTTGCCTTTCCGATTATGACTTTGACATTTTCATCCGTTCCGACTGCCTGTAGTTGAAAGCGTGCTTCCTAGCCGGATAAGTGAAGGAAGTGAAGTAACCTGTATCATATCTCTCCCGTTGATGGTGACTGATGCTGGTTGTTATTGCTGTTGCTGCGGTTCGTTTGTTATCTTCATCAGCTCCGTCTTCTCTCTGTTCACCTAGAGTCCTGTCTTCGTTGCTAGCCCCGTATACCAGTTTGTTGGTTTTCGCCTGCCTGCAAGTCTTCGAAATTGTGTGACATTAGACATGTATCACGCGAAATCCAGATCTTCTAGAGTCTTATTGTCGGTGGTCCAGCGTATTCCTGTCTTCTCACTCCCACACACATTCTGACGCATAATTCAGTCCACCACAACTAAGAATATCATCGGTGATAATAGACAGGCAGCCTTGTCTTACTCCTGTATTCACTTCAAACGCCTCACTGAAGAGCTTTCCATTGTGGATCACTTGACACGTGGTATTGTCATATAGTTAGCTTTTTAATGAGGTTGACAAAGATTTGAAGCACTGCACACCGTAGTGCTTGAGTGATTTCCAAATAACTTTTCGGTTAACACTGTCTGTCAAAGGCTTCTTCAAAGTGGGAGAAATTGAGGTAGAGATTTGACTGCCACTATACGCTTGGTTCCGTATTGACGATGCTTAGAGTTGCAATTTGGTCAGCGCATGATTTGCCTCTCCTGAATCCAGCTTGTTCCGGAATATTTATTGAAAAATAGGTTCCTGAATAGTTCATTCCAGGAGTTTCTTACTGCTTATCATTTCCAACCAGTTGACCATCTGATTTTCAGAATGGAGTCACAAAAACGAAGTCAGTTGTTGATGAAATTCTGCTCTAGCCTGTTAGAACTGCTTTTCGTCATGCGTACGGCTAGTTTTCTAATCCATACATAAGAAACAACTGACTTGACATTGGTGCTGAAAATCTGAATCTTGTTGTTTATGCTGACTGAGTGAGTACAGAATATTTTCAAATTGATTTCAGAGTGATAACGACATCTGGCTTGCCGCTCCAACTCTGGCTTTGAAATCCTTGAAATCCGTACTTAATTTTTTTATATGCATCTGGCTAATAATTACAAAAATATTCATTCAGACATCTATAAAACACAAAATAATCGAGCAAAGAATATTCTTTTCGATAAATTCCTCTTCCAGGCTCTACAATTATATATGTTTATATACACAGAATATTTTAAATTAGTAGTTAATAACAATATTAGCGTTTTTTTAAAAATAATATAGATTTGTAAAGTATGATCTATGCTATTGCAGTTCATTAAAGATGCTTAAATTATAATAATAATAATAATAATAATAATAATAAAGATATAACAGCGAATAGAATATCAACTAAAATTAGGGAAATTTCACAATAATTCGGGATTATTCAAACCTGGATGGCCAAGGTAATGATAATGACTGAACTAACTTCTTTTGGATGCATAAATTAGGCTTATTAATATGGATCCCCATAGCCTCAGCAATATTTAGAAGTCGAACTCTTAAAGCGAAATTGAGATTCGTAGGAATGCGGCAAATGACCCTGAAAGCATGATTAACGTCAATCTTGTGTTCTGTCTCGACAAGATGCGCCAGAATAGCGCTGCGAATAGATTTTGTTTGACCTTTGCTTAACCAAGCAGGGTGATGTTCGGAAATTCGACGCGAAACACGCCTAATTGTACGGCCTATGTAACTGGCTCCACAGGAGCAGTTAAATAGGTATATACACATGGAAGAGGCAAAATTAGGCAGTTTGTCTTTTATTCCCGAACTCACAAGAGGAGTGGTTTTAAAGATACAGCGTAATTGAGCAGCAGGGAATGCTCTTTTTACCGCATTTCTGGGGCGATGTATTAGTATCTCACTTCTATTGTCTCCTAGGAACTGCATCTGTAAGAACAAGGCTTTCTTTGGAACTGTTGGTAACTTGGACTGTTTTAGTTTTAGATTCATATTCTTATCAATAAACTTTTCGGGATAACCATTCTCACTTAGCAACTGTTTAATATTGTTAAGCTCCTCGTCAAGACGTTCATCCGAGCAAATCTCTCTTGCTCTGTGGACCAAGCACTTTATCAGATTGTGTTTGTATTTCAAGGGCACAAAGCTGAGAAAATGTGTGTACTGCCCCGTTGATATAGGTTTTCTATAAACACTTCTTCTTATTGTGCCATCCTCTTTTCTGGTCATAAGGACGTCTAATATTATTAACTACTAATTTAAAATATTCTGTGTGTATAAACATATCTATATAATTGTAGAGCCTGGAAGAGGGATTTATCGAAAAGAATATCCTTTGCTCGATTATTTTGTTGGTTAATAATTACAAAAACAATTTTTCATATCTTACAATTCATCACAATCACATAGATATCTACAATAACTTACAACACAATATGTTCTATTGCCAACTTTAAACAATCCCATCCCAATGAATCGATCAGGATTAGTAAATATTTGCAGATCCAAAGTAAGCGTAGACAACTCTGGTGTATCTTGCAGAGTGAATACATTCAAATGGCCTAGTCTAGAGCTAATTGCAATTCTTTCATATGATGGTGTTACACACAAATTTGTAATATTTGTAGCCCAGCTGAATTGACCTTTTTGCATTGGATTTTCAAATTCATACAGATTTATACAGTGCACAATTTCAGTATTCAACAGACGCTCATTATTATTTAGCATAGAAGATTGATTTTCATTTTTACTAGGAGGAATTATTATTTTACTGGTATTACTTGTTGTCTTATGATTAGTATTGAAGGTTATCAATCGGAGTATACCATCACGACCACCGGCTAATATACCATACCTTGTGTACAACAAGTGAGTTAAACACCGAACAGGTAAACTGATTATCTTTTCATCTGTTTTATCCAATGAAAAATCTATTGAATTCGTTTCACTCTCACTGAAAGGTTTTCCAAGTGAACTATCGAAAGCTTTGTGTTCAAAGAGGAAAAAAGAAAGAAAAGAAAAGGAGAAAAATCAAAATAAAGCCCAAAACAGAATAACAGATCAGTTTACTGACAAGCTCCTTCAAAATGTCTAAGAGTGTCACTTGATTACGTGGTCTTTGGTTTTAACCTCCCCCTCCCCCCTTTTGTATAGTGTAGCTTTGCTTGTCTCTTGTTTCTATCATATATATATATGATATGATATATATATATATATATCAGAGTGTAACCAAAGATAAGGATTTAATTGAGATGTAAATCCAAGTGTTTGCAGGAATTTGATTGGTATCAGGATTTCATCATGACCTAAAATCGGTTACAGGACCATTGAAAAAGCAACAGGGAGTACTGGACAGCTGTTTCATCCACCTAGTTCGAGACTCTTCAGCAGCGCGTTATCAAGTACTACCAGGTTTTCCAATGGTCCTCTAACTGATGTCAGTTTATGATGAAATCCTGGAACCAATCAAATCCCTGCAAACCAACACTCTAATATCAACCTGATGCTCATGAGGGACTGGCCATATTCAGGTAGGTAGGTAGTGACCTAGGTTCTAGTGGGAATTCGTGACCAGTGGAGTACAGCGGGTCGAACCATATTATAAACTGGTAGAAGTTAGAATTCATGGGCAGGTCATTGGATCGGGTCCCTATGTGGCTTAACGGTCTACGAGCTCGCCTTGTAACCGGAAAGTTCTCGGTTCGAACCAGAGTGGTGGGCGCGTACTGATGAAGAGTTCCAGATGATTTTCTATTGGTCCTCTAACCGATGTCAGTTCATGATGAAATCTCAAAATGTAAGTATTTCTTCGCTCAGTCATTTTACTCATCATCTTATTCAACTCTTTTCTTTATTACGTAACTTTTTTGCCGTTGTACCCAAGCATTTATTTTTGTTTTAACTTGAACTTTCTGTATATAAGCAATGTAAGTGTCATTTCTTAGCACTGTTTATTAAGTTTGGAGTTTCCAGTCAATTGACATCATATAACACATTCGCAAGTATGGTAAAGTAGTTCTATACATTAACTTAGTTAATTTCTTTAGCCTATATGCATTTGATGAGAAACCAACGAAATAAACAATGATGGTATTATATTATTCTGCACACACTGTTTTTCTTACTCTGTTCAAAGAAGCAGTGCACAGATTGACTGAAGAATACACATTCACATTAGTGTCAATAAGATTATGGACATGTTCTGGTAAAATGCATTTCACAGAAATATTGGGTCAACTAGTTCCTTGATAGTCTTTATTGGCTGGAAACTTAGTTTTCATAGTGTGAGCTATTTATATATAAGTTGCTGCTGTATGTAGAACTGAAGGAACTAGAACCAGCGGTGCCTGAGTAGTCCCAAAGGCTTAATTCAATGTATTGCACACTACATAACACATATAACAAAGGTTGATAAAGGAGAATTTTCCAGTTATGGGGTGGGATTGTTAGGCTCATGCCCAACTTTCCCTCTTTACCGGGGTTACCACCTGCTAAGCGAAGTTTTTTATGACTGCGTCCACCAAGAATTGGACCTCGGACCATATCAGTGGCTAATGAGAATCCTGCCGCTGAACCACCGACGCATGAAAAACGTACTGAGAGATAGAAGCAGGAGTTAATGAATTCATCAAATTTCGATAGAATTCTTCAGCTGGATATTTTACAAACACTGATATATATATATATATATATATAATTAAAATTATATTGGGAAATACAATACCTATAAGTGTGTTTTCAACATAGAACTTTGCACCAATGTGCAGCAGTTCAAGTTGCCACACTCCATGTAGCACACAAAGCAAGAAAAGAAAGCTGAAGAAATGCGAAATAGAGACCATAGATAGGGATATGGAACAAAAGAAATAGTAATATAGAAAGACATAGTTTCATTGGAAATCATAAGTCACAAGGAGTGGATGCATCTGAGCCAGCCATTGAGGATGATTTTGAGCCATATCATCAATTGTCTCCAGCCATTGGCTTTTACCATCCGGAAGACCCCAACCAGGAAGTCAACATCTTCTTACGTGGCTTAAACTAACTGTTGTGGATTTCATTGACTGATGAAGCCATGTTTTAGTTTGACCACCACTAGCTCTTTTCCAGCCTGACCGGTCCTATGTCAGCTTACATTGCCCGTCGGGCGAGGAAGGCGATGACTAGGCATACGTAACACATGTCTTACCCATCTCAGTCGATGTAGCTTCACAGCCATATCAACCTATGGTACCAATCAGATCACATACTGTGATCTGAATAATTTGGCCTCTAAGGGGAAACTGTGGGGAAAATGTAACCCGTCAAACTGTCTACATTGCAAACTTCTAACTAATATGCAAATTGTGGATTTGATTCATAGTATCACCAGTTCGCCCAAGTAGCAAGCCAGAAATCGGATGATTTGAGCATAGTCGAACCGGGTACATCACTGATGGGCTCGGATCCAAAAGAGCGAAATGACCGTCCGATGTGCGCCGGTGGCACAGCGGTTAGGACTCTCGCCGACCATGGACATGGTCCGGGATTCGATCCCCTGCCGGTCACACCTGATATCTATGGCCGGCTACAGGTATCACATGCTGAAGACTTCATACCTGTACCAAAAATACGGTGTGGAATCTAGCTGTAACCAAAAAAAAATCATCCCGATCTGACTGGCTAGTAATCACTACTGGTTAATGTGAGTTGTATACAACTACTCACCTCAATCAATCAGTAGTATATATTTTTATGTAAACTACATTGAATCAATAATGCAAACCAATAGGTGTGAATGTTTTTCAGGTCATGTTCACATTGGTAAAAGGAAGGGAGTTTGAAGGGTTACAATTAGTATGTCAGTGGATTACAGTTCATTTACATCAGTTAAATAAACAACTACTTACCAGAGGAAGAACCTGAATACATCTAGAATTGCAAACTGAATAGTACTCATAATAATAGTAATGGTAATAATAATGATAATATTAAAGCGAATTAAGATAATGGTACTGATAAAGGATAGTTTTAAGTGAGTCAAGAATAATAATAAGACGTAGAATAATAAACAATAATAATAGTTTATATATAAGACATATTACCATGGTAGATTCAGAATGACTACCATTTTCCTCTATACACAGAGACCAGGTCTGAAAAACCCTAACTGCACAAGCCTCCACAATTGCAAACATCCTTCTGTGTTGTTTGTCTGCTGACAATATACAGAATTCAGCTGAATAAAGAAAGAGGTCTACCGAAATTTCATGAATTCACTAAATCCTGCTTTATTAATAACCTTTATCGCTTGTTTTAAATTCATATCGGGAAATAAATGCTCCCAATTGTTAAAGTTGTGCATTATTATTACTATTATAATAATGCGTGTCATGTAGTGATAGTAAGGCTATTAAGACAAAGTTAATCTTTAAGCACCACTAACTACCATTCAAGGAATAACCTCGAAAGCACCAATCACGTGAAGGAAGCATTTTCGTGTATGTAATACATATATTTATAAAATAATGTATAAAACTGTGATAAAAATAGCTCTCAGTTTTAGGTTGGAGTATCAACACAGTATAATTCCTGCCGATTGCCTCCAACTATCTAATATCATCAAATCAATGTGTCCCGTAATGGCGGGCTACCTAGAATGGTGGCCACATTGCAAACCTGACTGATACAATTCAGTCTGCACCAAAGAAAGGACTAGACACATCACACTAGTTAGTTACTAGTGTCCAATCAAAGTATTCACTACAGTCCTACAGAAGGTCAATCGCGAGCTCGAATAGCTCAGTGGTAACGTCTCTGACTGCAGCACTGGGTGACGCGGGTTCGAATCTCAGAAGGGACATGAGCTCCTTCAAGGTTGCAGATACGCCTTGGTGACTGGTGAGTGCCAAGTAGCACGAAACCTACGTGCAAGGCTTCCTGTGGCCGATTGCCTCCAACTATCTAATGTCATCAGAGTGTAATACCATTGTGGGTAAAATTTATTTTGATTTAGTCTCTTAATGTTATACAGTAATATTTCCTGAGTAATAAATTGTGCTCGAAACGTCATCGGTAAATATTGCTGTTTAACACTGTGAGACTTAATCAAAATAAATTTTACCCACAATGGAATTATACTCTACCACCACAGTGCACAAGTTCTATTCTTATATCAACAGAGTGATTCAACCACATTCTATGCATGCAATTATCTAGGTCTTCTAACCCTAACAATAACCCTTATCTTTCCTGAACCTAACCCTAACGTGAAAATATCCTTACACTAACTGCAACCCTAATGTCGCCTTTATTAGATTAACCTAACCCTAACTTGTCCCTGGCTTAAACCTTAACTTAATCTTTCCCAGACCTAAGCTGAAACTTGCCAGAAATCCCATTTATTACCATAACACTTCGATGAGCATATTTTACTGATGATGACAACATTATTTGCCAGGTTTCACTGACTTGCTCACTCAGTGAGCGTTTCAAGGTCATCAGTGTGGTCTCACTCCTTTGGTAGTTAGTGGTGCTTAAAGTTTAACTTTTACCACTATTAATATGTGCATCAGTTACTTCCAATGCAGTGAGAAGAAAGTGCTTGAAACACATCAAATGAGATAAGTAACAATATACAAGAACTACTGACATAATTTCATTTGTAGAGTGTGCTGCAAGATGGACGATTTCGAGAAAATATTTTGATAACACCCCTGCCTACCTGCGATATTAGAAGGACACGAATAACCAAACGGAATATAGTGCATACATAGAGTAGTTATGATTAGAGATCTCATTAATAATCTTACTTACCTGTATGAGTTTTAGAATGAGAAAAGGGATTTCGTAAGATCTTCATATTGTGACTAATCGGATCGAACTATGAAAGAAAATTTTCGTTAAACAAATGAAGAAAAAAAGTATCTCCTCTTAGTCTTGTACTCGAAATTTGTTCTTCGATAAATTGCTAAATTCAGTTATAAATTAGAAATAAATTCAAGTGTTGGTTTGCAGGGATTTGATTGGTTTCAGGATTTCATCATAAGCTGACATCGATTAGAGGATCATTTGTGTGTGACCAGTGTGGAATACGGTTGGTCGGATGTGAGGACAAATACTCGGCAGTGACATTTATGGACCATTGGATCTGGTCCCAGTGGCTTAGTGGTCTATGAGCTTGCCTTGTAACCAGAAGGTCCTGGTTTTTAACCTTGGCGATGGGTACGTACTGATGAAGAGTCCCAGACTAGGAAGAAACAGCTGTCCAGTACTCCCTGGTGGTTTTCCAATGGTCCTCTAATCGATGTCAGTTCATGATGAAATCCTAAAATTAAACTGCCTAACACTGATAACTGATTGAAAATCCAATGGTGTCAATGAAGGTAATCAAATAAGTGAATTCCTGTTCAACAATCAAATTATTCTGATCCAAGTGTCTGTCAATCTTTCTATGACTTTTTGAACTTTCTCATTCTGTAAAACACTCAGCCTGGCTAGAAAACAACAACTTAAACAAATCAGTAGTATACTACTTTCTGTCTAGCAAAAGCATGTGGTTAAGACTGAAGCGATCATATAGTGGTTGTTAGTTATTTTAACCACGGGTGTCAAGTGGAACAGCACATATCCACTTCTTCCTGTCCTCTGCAGTTCTCTTCATCTGGCCCCACGATTATCCATAAGCTATCATCTACCCCACCTCACACGATCTCTTCTAAATCTCCTGGAGGGAGATGTCACCTAACGGTTTACTCATAGTATGTCCAGTCCATCTGCACTTTCTTCTCAATACTTGTTGAGCAATACGTTCTTGATTGGTTGGTTGCCAAAGTTGCTTAATGCTTATCCCTTCTAGTCGGCCATCTGATTTTCAGTACACAGCTAGTGTAGGCAGCTGTTGATGACAGTTCGAAGCTTGACTGAAATGCTTTCCATGACACACGAAGTCTCTCAAACATATAGAAGGACTGACTGAATTAACAGTTGTGTTGAAAATTCGAATATTCTTCTTAATACTGACTGAGTGGAGGAGATTTCCAAACTGATTTCAGAGTGATGAAGGTATGGCTTGCCTTTCCAACTCTGGTTCTGACGTCCTCATCTGTGTTGTCACCTGTAGTTGAAATGATGCTGTCTAGATAAGTGGCGAAATTGACCTCCTTCAAATTTATTCCGTTGAAAGAGAATGATACTTGTTGTTGGTTGGTTGATTATCTTCATCACCCCCGTCTTCTCCAAGTTCACTTGAAACCCTGTCTTTACTGACTCTTCTTCGAACTCGTTGGTTTTCGGCAGTAAGTATTTGAATTTATATGCAAAAAATCTCCATGACGGGAATTCCTTGAGTCCAAATAATCTAGACTTACTATCGTAAGCATTCTCTTTAATATTTTGTGGAATAAACTAAATCTTTAGTTTTTTTGGCACTGCTGTTAGTAACATAGAAATAAAAGTCCCTGAGTGATACTGGACTTTCAACCACAAGATAGCCCATAAAAGCAAATACTTCATCCGATCATTCGCGCATACACACAGGTATATAACGATGTAATGGGAGAACACAGAATAGTAATTGGTAACGGAGTTGTCAACAAGCAAATAGATATAGACAAAATATGTCTACAGTATGTCAGAATCACAAATCGGCATATATCTTCAGTATTCTGCTAATTTTGTCTTCCTATTGTGCTTCTTGATCCCCCTTTCATGTTTAAGGTGTTGTGTTTCACAAGCATCGCTCAATTTTTCCTCTTCGCCATTAAATCCCTCTCCCCGCTATTCAATATTCTTGTAGATGATACACATATATTTATATCTGTATCTATATACTACTTATAACTCTTGTCAGTAGCACATGCACTATGGAAATTAATAAACAGGCTTTCATTTTTATTACTTGTCTAGTAATAAATTACAGAAACTTCTCTATCCAAACAATCTTACATATTTTCAAATTCTTGCTCTAGTCTTTGGCGTTCGCAGGTCATTTATGTGCTTCAGAAAATAAACCATTTGTTTCATTATTCTGCTAGTGTAAATAATAAATCTCGTTACCATTGTTACTCCATATAACATAAGTTTATTTTAAATATCACACAGCTGTAAAAGTAGTAACAACTGGATGACAAGGTTTCAAGCACAATTTATTGCTCATAAACATATGAATTTTAGTCACACAGTTTCACAATTGGTCTTATACACATATTTTTCTCTCTATTCCGTCTATCCAACTTTCCTTGTTGTTTGTTGTCACTTTCCATATATCCAGTATAAACGTTGTGTCATTCTGATTGCACATGTGCTTTGTTGAGTCGATAAACAAAGCTTCAGTAATCAATGTCCTTCTCCATCTAACCACTGACTGAGCTTTTTTCTAGGCTGTTTAACTTAACAGGGTCAATTATTCTAGGTTTAGCTAGATTTTTATATTCCAATAATCTAGTTGTCCCCGATCTATTAGCCTGACCAATGTAACTGACCTCACTTGTGCGTCGGTGGCACAGCGGCAGAATGCTCGCCAACCACATAGGTGGTTCGGGGTTCTGTCCGCGGCCGAGGCACTCCTTTACCTCGCTAAGCCAGTAATAGGACTGGTAAAGAGGGAAGGTTGGGCATGAGGTTAGCTACTCCATCCCGTAAAAATAACACAGCAGTACTACAGAGACTTCAAAGCTGTAGCTTGAAGCCCTATGTTCGAATCTCAAAAGGGACATGAGTTCCTTCAAGTTTACAGATATGCCGGTTTATTTCTGTTATTTTTACATCTTTTAATTTCTATTTGCACAAAAAGTCAATTTTCTCAGTAATTATAATAATACTACCAGTTTTCGAATCCTATCTTCGTGTTTATTTTGTTATTCTTACATTTTAATCCCTATTTGTAATCTTAATAATTTGACCCTTGACCGGAAATAGTCCTGGAACTTTCTCACCCATGTACTATAGATACATGAATGTACAGCGTTAGCTAGTTGATAACTTCATCAACAAGAAAGTTTTCTTCTCTGCAACCATCTTTTTAAAAGTTCAGGAGGCTTTAGGTTGCTCAGTAGTTTATTAGCCTGAAGGAATTACAGACATCTACCTCATATCCTTTATCAATCTGATGATATTTAACTGTACTTCCTTTTAACCGTAGGTTGTTCTGACTGTATTCAAAAAGTCCGGGATATGTCCACTTTTGTTGCTTCAGTGTATCATCAACGGTTGCACGCAATTTAAAAATTAAAAATGCATTCATCGTATCGTTAAAATTTTCCATTCATTCATATCTAAAGTTTATGATGGAAACAAATTGCGCGAAATAAAGTTTTCATCTTATTATTTAAAGATGTTTGGGTTCAATCTTGCAAGTATTATTTTATTTTTATTTTATTATTTATTTTGATTACAGCTTGATGCCACACCGTATTTTCAGTACAGGTATGGGATTTTCAGCATGGATATCGGTAGCCCAAATTTACAGGCCGACCATAGATATCGGGTGTGCGCCGGCAGGGGATCGAACCCCGGACCATGTGCATGGTCGGCGAGAGTCCTAACCACTGTGCCACCGACGCACAGTGGTCTTTGAGTAAATGCTTTTAAGATACGATTCCTTTATAATACTCAGATTTTAAGGGTATAGAGGTGGCCTATTTAAAACGTGGGTTACCAAAACGCCTCGACCATTATATTGCATATAATTTCTCTTGTTCAGCTTGTTTTATTCTATTAAAATATGATCTCTAATGGTGTTTTTTACTCTGGCGAACATTTAAAATGTCTACAACCTGCTGATTTGCAATTTGTATTATTATTGTTTCCTTTAGTTACTAGAAGAACGTAGGGCTTCTGCCAAACGTCTTTATTGCGTTCAGTTCTCTGCCAACGTTTTCACCTGGCTCCAAGTCTGCTCACATGCTTTCATCTACTCTTCGCATGACCTCCTCCACTCCATGTCACCTTCGTACTGACGACCAATTCGCTGCTTCCCATTCGGGTTCTACTCGAGAGCCTTGATGGTTTTCTCAGAATATAGTTAATACACCTCCATTTCTTACTGCATATTTGTTGCACGATTGGTTCCTGCTGGGTTGGCTCGTTCCAAGAGATCACTCCCTGTTGCTGATCTTTTCTGGCCTTCTGATCTTGAGCGAAGTATTGAGCGATGAAAGCTGTTGATGAAGGTGTGTAGTTTGTTCGAAGCGGCCTTCGTGACGCTGCGCCAAGTCTCTGAACGGTATAGTAAGTAACACTGACTTCACATTGGAGTTGAAAATCCAGATCTTGTTTTTCATGCTGAGTGGTGTTGACCTCCACACAGACTTGAAAGTAATGAAAGCTTGCCTTGCTTTCCCGATCCTCGCTTTGATATCCTCATCAGTTCCATACGCCTGTAGTTGAAACGATGCTTCCCAGGTAGGGGGGTAGGTAAATGAAGTTGCTTCTTTCAGATTCCTCCCATTTATGCTGATTATAGTCTGTTGTTGATGTTAATGTTGCTGTTGCAGTTGGCGAGGAATCTTCATCACCTCTGTTTTCTCTATGTTCACCTGAAGTCATATCTTTGATACTTCTTCTCCCAACTTGTTGCTTTTCAAATGCATGTCTTCTAGTTTGTGGGAAATCAGACATATATCATTGGCGAAATCCAGATCCTCCAAGGTTTTTTGTGTGGGTCCATTTTATGTCTATCTCCTCGTTGCCCACTGTCTGTCGCATAATCCAGTCTACCGCAATGAAGAAAAACATTGGAGATAGTAGGCAGCCAGCCTTTTCTTACTCGCGTCTTCCCTTCGAAGGATTCCGTAAGTTTCTGCTAAACTTGTGAGAAAGCAAAATCATGAGTGGCAACATATCCCAATACATGAGATAATTGTTCCTGAGATTATTAGTACAAATTGTCACTGCTTGAGAAATAAAACTAACTACCTATGGTCTTCAATTATTTAGTTATGGAAATACTTAACAGAACAAGACATTTTATTATTTAACTGTTTTCAATGAAACTTACCAATAATAGCTGACCTGATTCACAACCAATAAAAACTAATTCTGAGTTGGTCCAAGCTTGTGAAACACAATGCACTCGAACAGACTTATCAATATAATCATCAAATTCTTCTTTTCCGTTCTCAGTAAGACCTTAAAAACAGCAGAGAAAAACAAAAGATTTGGGCATAAAACAAAATGCAAGGTTGGAATAAGACTGAGGATTAACTTTAATAGAATATAGTAAGTAGGTGAGTGGTCTTACAAATAGTGCAAATAACGTTCATTACCTGTTATAGATGATTCTGTCAGTTTAGGGTCGAATCTTGTTTCACAGTGTGCACTAGTTGTGTCTTCACCACTGATAGCACTACTATGCAATCCACTGTACATTCCGAGACTTGCAGAACGTTCTGGTAGTATCAAAGAACTAAAATTAAATTTTGCGAAACATTTAGTTATATGAAACAAGATGTGTGTTTAGAAAGTACTATTAATTTAGAAATTAATTTATGCTGCTTGATAAAAAAATATCGTTGAATGAAGAATTGAGTAAATTAGGCATTTTTAAGCTGTTATCCGAAAATTTCTACACACTTCTGATTACGCACCAAATAAACTGAGTAGATCTAGAGGTAATACAATGAAATTTTGTTGAAGAAGTTTACTGCTAAAGCCTACAATTCTGCCTAATGAAGGTAGAATAGGTAAGGTATCTGTAATAAAGTAATGGTTTTGTAGGGATTTTGTTTGGCTGGTTGCAGGATTTCATCATGAGCTGACATCAGTTAGAGAACCATCAGAGAACCAGCTGGGAGTACTGGACAGCTATTTGTTTCTTCAGCCTAGCTTGGAACTCTTCATCAGTACTCAGCCACCACCAGGGTTAGAACCCAGGACCTTCCGATTACAAGGCGAGCTCGTGGACCATTAAGCCTCTGGGACCCGATCCAATGACCAGCCCATGAATTCTAACTTCTGACAATTCATAACATAGCGCGAACATTTCGCAATGTCTTCTTTGATGATTTACTGCCTCACCTTCAAACAGCTGTACCCATATCACTGCCTGAATAGAGCCAGTCACTAGTGAGCATCAGATCAGTTGCCTGGGTTAATTAATATATTGGTTCAGACGTAATTAAATTGGGTGTTGCAAGGTGAATGCAACTTTTCTAGGTTACTATTTTAAAGTTAATTTATTTTTTATTTATAATTATATTACACTAACATTAATGCCACTCACACTCGATGCATCTCTAGCCCAACTACTCTAGAGGCAGAGCTGGATAGTCTGAAAGAAATCCTCATCCAGAATAGATACCCACCGAGATTCATTGAGAAGAATATCAAACCAAACATTCAGAGAAACTAAACATTACTTGCTCCAAAAGACAGACTTCCAATGAACTTGAACTTCAAGGTAGACTTAATCTGTGATATTCTTAAGGGAAGAATTTCATCATATTTCAGAAGGACATTCTTCACAGTTGTCCACTGGTCTCTAGAAGCTTTAAGGACAGGATCTCGCTAGGCATATTAGTCGTTTGACGCGTATCCTGTCTAGAAAGGATTCAAAACCTGTATCCTTCATGGTTGCAGAAAGTTAGTAGTGGTTGTATAAGGAGTGTGACAATTGAACACCTTGTCAACACTGGTCATTCCACCTCAACAAATGCCTCCTCCTTCAAAGTAATCTACAAAGTGAAGAACAACCTTGACAAAGACAATACGCTTTCGGCTCCTTTACATATCTGAAGCCCTAATCATTCAAACTGAGAAAGTGGAGCTATGCATATAAAAGGAAATTATTCAACCAATTCTACTCACATGGTAACAATCTTGTCGATTTCTACTAAGTTGATTTTTGTTTGTCTGTTATTCTAACTCCTTATAACTTTTGTATTTCTTTAGAACTGTTACATTACTCTATACTTACCTTTGTTTCTATGTGCATCACGACTACAACTCAAATACTAAATTACGTAATTCTAGTACACTTATTCAGCTAATATTAAAAACTCTGACTATGGCAACTCATCACCCTCTTTCAAATGAAAATTGTATCTAAATACGACTGTACAGTTGAAGAGGAGAATGGATTCGTCAAAAAGAGCCCTCTTCATCACTGGACCACGTGTTTTGTTTTCATTAATTAATGCATTACTTTAGGGTTGAGAATAATAATTTTTTAAAACTAATATATCTATGAGAATATCAGGCTTACTTGCATCGAATTAAACTCATCTCTCCGCATGTTTCAATTTGCCAGACATGAATACAACGACGATCTGTACCAACTAAATAACGCCAGTCAGTTGGACAAAAACTGAATGTTGTTAAATGACATCCATTTAAATTAGTTTTACAAATTAAATCTCCTGTGCAGAAATCCCTGTTCAAAGAATAAAGTAATTTAAATATTGAATAAATGAAGTGATCAGTAAAAGCATCAACATTTTTCATAAATAATAGTATCAATTTACCTAATATGGGTGATCATAGCAGCTTGACAACTACACAGTGATCGAAGGCTGCAGGTAAATAGACATTTTACGCACCTAAGATTAGAAGAGTTGAGAATATGAGCCCTGTGTATCCATCTAAACCCTAAGAATATGAGAAAAATGATGTCACATCCCACTGTATTTACCAACTTTAATGTACGCGTGGCGAATTTTGTTTTTGATGCAGGCTGAGTGACGAAGATTTCCAGATTGGTTTCAGGTTGATGAATGTGTTTCTCGCCTTCCCGATTCTCGATTTGACATCCTCGTCCGTTCCTCCTGTAGTTGAGACAATGCTCCGTAGATAAGTGAATGAAGTAACCTCTTTCAAATCCCTTCGGTTGATGGTGATTGGCGGTGGATGTTGCTGTTGTTGTTGTTGTTCGCTGGTTATTTTCATAACCTCCGTCTTGTCTATGTTCACCTGGAGTCCTATCTTTGCTGCTTTTTCGACCAGTTTGTCGGTTTTCGCTTGTAAGTCCTCGATTTTGTGTGACATCAAATATAAATCATCCGCGAAATCAAGGTCTTCACGTCGGTCCAGGATATCCCTGTCTTCTCGTTTCCCACTGTCTGACGCATAATCCAGAAATTTCGGTAATTAGTTTCACTTTTATTTTTCCTGTAATCTTAAGAGTTGCAAAATATTTTAGCAAGTGAAGCTGGCATAGGGTCGAATATCAGAAGGGAGATAAGTTCCTTCAAGATTACAGAAATGCCCTGCTAACTGGTGAGTGCCAATAAGCACTAAACTTAGATCCACGTCCTCCTTCTGATTTCCTCCAACAATCTGATAACAACAATTCAGAGTTGCAAAGTAGAAGTCTAAGTGAAAAGCTAGACTACGGTTCAAATAGCTATTAAAATACGTACGATACTATTCCGACAAAGCAATAGGAAGACGTAACTTTTCCAAATTGTGTAATGTATTTGCGCAACACATTTTGCGCAGTCTGATCACATACGTACGTGTCATAGGGATATATATATATAGTCTAACTTTTCACTTAGACTTCTACTTTGCAACTCTGAATTGTTGTTATCAGATTGTTGGAGGAAATCAGAAGGAGGACGTGGATCTAAGTTTAGTGCTTATTGGCACTCACCAGTTAGCAGGGCATTTCTGTAATCTTGAAGGAACTTATCTCCCTTCTGATATTCGACCCTATGCCAGCTTCACTTGCTAAAATATTTTGCAACTCTTAAGATTACAGGAAAAATAAAAGTGAAACTAATTACCGAAATTTCTGGATTATGCGTCAGACAGTGGGAAACGAGAAGACAGGGATATCCTGGACCGACGTGAAGACCTTGATTTCGCGGATGATTTATATTTTAATATTTTTAAAATATTTTTGATTACAGCTTGATGCCACACCGTATTTTCAGTACAAGTATGGAATTTTCAGCATGGATATCGGTAGACTAAATTTTGCAGGCCGACCATAGATATCGGGTGTGCGCCGGCAGGGGATCGAACCCCGGACCATGTGCATGGTTGGCGAGAGTCCTAACCACTGTGCCACCGACGTGAAGACCTTGATTTCGCGGATGATTTATATTTGATGTCACACAAAATCGAGGACTTACAAGCGAAAACCGACAAACTGGTCGAAAAAGCAGCAAAGATAGGACTCCAGGTGAACATAGACAAGACGGAGGTTATGAAAATAACCAGCGAACAACAACAACAACAGCAACATCCACCGCCAATCACCATCAACCGAAGGGATTTGAAAGAGGTTACTTCATTCACTTATCTACGGAGCATTGTCTCAACTACAGGAGGAACGGACGAGGATGTCAAATCGAGAATCGGGAAGGCGAGAAACACATTCATCAACCTGAAACCAATCTGGAAATCTTCGTCACTCAGCATCAACAACCAAATTCGGATTTTCAATACAAACGTCAAGTCAGTCAGTTCTTCTATACGGATGGATCAGAAAGTTGGCCAGTGTGTCACAAAGAATATTTCCAACAGCCTGTTGCAGACCTTTATCAACAGCTGTCTTCGTTCTATACTGAAGATCAGATGGCCGGAAAGAATCACAAACAAGATACTATGGGAACAAACAAAACAAGAACCAATCGCCCAACAAATATGCAGGAGAAAGTGGAGATGGATTGGAAACTCGCTGAGGAGGCCGGTGGGTGACATCGCGCGTCAGGCCATAGCTCGAGTGGAACCCGAAAGGGAAGCAGGGAGTGGGACGTCCAAGGGTGACATGGAGGAGATCGTGTGAAGAAGATTTGAAACAGTATGGACTAACATGGATGCAAATGAAAAGTACAGCAGAAGACAGAAGCAAGTGGAGACGTACAGTTGAAGCCCTATGTTCCACTAGGAACCCAAGGGAACAATAATAATAATAATTACCAAAATTTGCAGGGTGTTTAACAAGAAAGGTGACTCAAATTTCCTTACAAAAACTCTTGTCTTTAATTAGTTTCGCCTACAGAGATAAAACAATCCCGTAGGTATACATTACCAAAAGAAAGTCTCTTCCATTGGCATTTCATTTCTGAAATCAGGATAATACTTATGGCTTTTGTATTTCATTACTAATTTTCACTATAAATGAAATAAATCAATAATGAGTCATCAGGTGACTTGTGAGTTGGAATAATGCTCCGTCTGTCAGATGCTCATAAAGAGCATCTCAAACAAACTACAGACCTTCATTAACAGCTGTCTTCGCTCAATACTCAAGATCAGATTGCCGGTCAGAAAAGATCAGTAACAGAGATCTCTGGGAGCGAACCAACACAGCAGGAACCGATTGTGAAACAAATAGGCAGGAAGAAATGGAGATAGATTGGCTGGTCATACTCTGAGGAAACCATCAAGTGACATCACTAGACAGACCATTGCTCGAGTGGAAACCGAAAGAGAAGCGGCGAGTTGGTCGTCAGTGCAAGGGTGACTTGGAGGAGGTGATGTGAAGAGGAGATGAAAGCATGTGGGAAGACTTGGAGCCAGGTGAAAACTCTAGCAGAGAACCGAACGCAATGGAGACGCACGGCTGAAGCCCTATGTTCCTCTAGGAATTAAAGGAAAGAATAATAATAATAATGTCAGACGACTCTAGGCAAACAAGTAGTATCACAAGTGTCTATTCACAAGCTGTGATTCACTACTAAGTACATGGACATGCAAATTATCTCTAAGTAGAATAAGCTACTGCTTTTTAAGATTAGCATAATTCATATCCCCGCTTTGGAAAAGCAAGCGTAATTATTTTTTAATTGCTGTTTAAGTACATGCAAAAGAAGTTTCCTGCATAGTTTTCAAAAAAATGGAGACATGATGGTGATTGGCATAAACTTTCGACCTGATCCAGAAGATGATTTTGATACAACAGATACCACCTTTACTTCTTTTCAGGCAACAAGTATTGTATCCCTGGGAAACAGTGCATTAAAGATTTGTATAATAAAAATGGCTGATACCAAGTCACTCACAATCACTTACCGAATATATCATTATTATTATTATTGTTATTATTATAAATAACTTACCATACTGATAAAATAAAATCAGGTACACCAGAAACTGCAGCATAATATGTAGAATATGAGAAAATTGACTGTTGAATTTCCAGGTTTCCAGCTCCTATTTTTAATTTAAACCTTTTTGGTTATTAAAATGAGTCAATAACTTACCGTTTAAAATCTTTGCCTCATTATGTGGATAATTATAGATATAAATCCTTGGGTTGACATTGTTTATTTCTGTTATAGCATAATAAGATCCCAAAGGGTGAATAGATAAATCAGTTTGATGTTTTGTAGATAACTCAATAATTTGAGTTTCATTGGTTAAAATATCTTGAAATTTAATTGCTGGACCACATTTTATGCATAAGGTATGATTATTTATAAATCCAAAATTATACTTCCTCAATCCCTGGATCCATCTGTAAGTAAAATAAATGGGAAGAGATATCAGATAAAGAATAAATGGTTATGTTGACGAGTTGATCACGGATTGAAAAGCAGGACTGGAGCAATGGACAGCTGTTTCATCCAGCTAGTTTGGGAATTATTGGCAGTACGCACCCACCCACTGCCAGGGTTCAATGGTTCTCTAACTGATATCAATCCGTGATCAACTCGTCAAAACAAATCTAATCCTTACAAACCAACTCTTGAAAATTAATCTGATGCTCGCTAGTGACTTGCTACAGGACGGAGTTTCCTGGAGTTCTAGTTAGAAGTCGTGACCAGTGAGGTTCATCCAGTCGAGTGTGAGGGTAGATATCCCACTGATGACATCGGTAAGTGGTAGCGCTGGAACGGGGTCCCAGTGGCTGAATGGTATACGAGCTTTCCTTGTAACCGGAAGGTCCTGGGTTGGAACCCTAGCCATGTGTGTGTACTGCTAATGAGTCCCAAACTACTTTGACGAAACAGCTGTCCAGTACTCCAGTGCTGGTTTTCAATGGTTCTCTTAGTGATATCAATCCGTGATCGACTCGTCAAAACAAATCTGATCCTTACAAACCAACTATTAAAAATAAATGTTTAAATGAAAATAGTGTATCTGCCTATTTGTCTATATATGTGTTGAACAGAATCTTCATTGTCAGTGGATTTGATTTTAATCCTTTGCGCTTCGAGTGGAACATAGGGCCTGAAGCTTCAGCTTTGAAGTTTCAGTAGCTGTGGTTTTATTTCTACAAGGTGTAGTTACTAGCCTCAAGCCCAACCTTCCCTCTTTGTCACGCTGATAATCAGCTAAGCGGCTAGGTGAAGAAGTCCGTCAGCCGGGGACTGAATCCCGGACCAGGTGAGCTGTGATTGGTGGGTATTCTACCACTGACACCCTGTTTACACCCTAGCCCTAAACCCATTCACTAGGCATTTATGAAGTGATTTTCAGGAGAACCAAGAACACCTATCCCTGCATCTTGTGAGACTAGAACATCATGCAGTATCATCCAGGGGCGAAACCACTCGAGAGCCCTCTTTCTCAGAGAGCCAGTGGATACATAAGTCTTTCACTCTGTTCGATTCCTGGCTTATGTTAATCGGTCTCTCTGTTGACAACAGTCACCAGGAAATTCAGCTGATGAGTCTTAAATAAATTGGTATATGCCTCCTGAACTCCACTGCTTATCAGTACCAGATCCATTGTCAGATACAATCATGTTATGTACCCGATCATAATAAATATCAGCTTCGCGTTTACCTTCCAGACAATTAAGCTAGTGGAAAAGTTGTATATTTTTTATTGGACACTAGTTAGTAACTAGTGTAATGTGTCTGGTCCTTTGTTTGGTGCAGACTGAATTGTATCAGTCAAGTTTGCAATGTGTTCCTTCCAAGTTGCAGATACGCCTTCCTGACTAGTGAGTGCCAACTAGTAAGAAACCTAGGTCCAAGACTTCCCGCCGATTGCCTCCAACCATCTAATACCAACAAAGTTGTATATTCAAGTGTTGCTTTATAGGGGTTTGATTGGTTACAGGGTTTCATTATGAGCTGACATTGTTTAGAGAACCATTGGAAAACCAACAGGGAGTACTGGGCAGCCGTTTCGTCCTAGTTTAGGACTCTTCAGACTGGTCTCAGTGGCTTAATGGTCTAAGAGCCCGCCTTGTAACCAGAAGGTCGTAAGTTTGAACCTCGGCGGGTGCGTACTGATGAAGAGTCTCAAACTGGGACGACACTACTATCCAGTACTCCCAGGTTTTCCAATGGTCCTCTAACCAATGTCAGCTCATGATGAAAGTTGTATATTCTTATTTAGGCATACTTTTTCTGACGAAAGTTATATTTAATATTAAGCAATTCAAAGTGATAAGTACACCACATCTGAAGTTGATTTTATAACATTAATATAGAATATTTCATGTTTAGAATCAAGAAGACTTCTAATGATTGAAATTTATTATTTTAGATGATATTTTCCGCCAACTAATTAGTGGTCATTTTTCTCTATAATCGCTATTAACAGCAAAAAGCTTCTTAGATTACCTGTAAAGTGTATACTTTACTAATGATAAAGGGATTTCATTCATACAAAGGTTCTTAAATCCATAAACTACATACTACTGATTGACCGGGATGAGTAGTTGCATATTACTCATATCAGACATAAGTGCTTGTTAGCCAGCCAGCCAGACCAAAGTGATCTAAACACCGGATGGTCATTTCACTCACTTTTGGAGCCCTGATCATTGCCAGTGTAGCTAATCTGACTCAGATCAGAAAGTTGTATCAATTCAAACCATCTCATTTCTTACAATGATTCCCTTTTATAAATTTGAACAAAGAAAGAAGAAACACTGGCGCAAAATAATCCGGATCCATTTTATTTCGTTGGTTCTCATCAGCTGCCTACAACCTGAATTCTTTAATAAAATAAAAATAAAAAAAATTAATTAACACTTGTGTTGCTGGGGTGGTAACCAAAGAAAATTAGTAATAGTTACGTAATTATATAAGAGAAGATCAAAATTTTAAAATTTCGGTGCACATGAGGTCAGATAAGAAGGTGATGATGTAATACAGTGAGCAGAACTCAGATGTATCTGCGGGAGCAGTTACATTGCAAGAACAGAGAGGAGGGCGTAAGTCAGATTCTGCGAACATGTACCAAGGAGCCTCCGGTTAAAGGGACCGAATGTTTAAGCTCTTCAATCGCCAAACACCCCATTGACACAGGACACCGAGTAGATGTGCTGGAATCATTCAAAATAATTAACACACAAAGTACCTCAAGTCTTCTCAGGTTTACTGAAGCTGTAGTAATAAAACGATTGAAGCCTGACTTATGTGTTCAAAAAGAATCCGTTGTTGGACTTCAAATAGCCTGGTGATTCACTTCTTAGTAACTCTTTGTTTTCTAATTTTGTTAACTTATCTTTTCACTCCCTCCCCCTTTATTTTTCGCTTGACTCTGTTAAGAGATAATTTTTCTTGATCTTCTGAGTTATGTTCACTGTATTACATCATCACCTTCTTATCTGACCTCATGTGCACCGAAATTTTAAAATTTTGATCTTCTCTTATTTAATTGCGTAACTATTACTAATTTTCTTTTGTTACCACCCCAACAACACAACTGTTAATTTACTTTTTTCAAGAAACTTCTCTCTAACAAGACACATATATATATATGTATGTCGTAACACTTTAGACACCCTATAAATCGCAACGCCTTATTTTACTATGACGCTCTGACAATATGCTTGCTAATGGAAAAAAGTTTGTTAAAATTGAACACTTTCATTCTATTAAAGAATTCAGGTTGTACGCGGCTGATGAGAACCAACGAAATAAAATGGATCCAGATTATTCTGCGCCAATGTGTCTTCTTCCTTTGTTTCACTTCTGATTTCTGGTTAGCTACTTGGACAAACGGTTGACACCATAAATCGAATTCACAATTTCCAAATTGTGAACTAGACTACTAGATGATTTTATGTGATGAAGTTTTCGTTCATGCACAAACCTGAATCATTTAGTTCTGTGGCTTTCGGTAATTGAATCAGTCGGAACAGTGATCAGCCTTCACAGAATGAATTGGTCAGTACGTATGCACTGCATAATAAATCCCAAGAGGTGAGTTCAGAGTGGAAAGTAGAATTAAGAGCTCTACAAAATGACAACCATTAATATGATGCTATTCGGAAATACCGTTAAATGCATTGCCAATGAGACTAAAATACGAGCGCCAATGAACTTATGAGATCTTGATTTTGTTGATTACAGCCGAAAGGTCTTTATGATCTTGACTACATATTCTGTAGGGAATAATAGAGTTGTCTGGAGAGAGATAATACTAGCCGTCGTCTTTTCGACTATTGTACAACTTTATCAACCTCTATCCATAACCATAGAAAGTAGAAGCAAGAATTCAAAGCAATTCAGGTAACACGGGATAATTCCATTATTCACATATACTCCAAACTTCATGAAACTATTGTGATAAGGGAAAAATTCGGAAGTTTTTCCCAAAACCTTCACCATATTCGATGAGAATTTATTCAAAGTCCTCAGAAACATGATGTTAGATGGTTGGAGGCAATCGGCAGGAAGCCTTGAACCTAGGTTACTTGCTAGTTGTCACTCACCAGTCAGGAAGGCGTATCTGCAACATTGAAGGAACTCATATCCCTCCTCAGATTCGAACCCGCTTCACCCAGTGCTGATTGCTGCCGATTGCCTCCAAACCATCTAATATCATCAAATCAGTGTGCACCGTGATGGCGAGCTACCTAGAATGCTGGCCACATTGCAAACCTGACTGATAGAATTCAGTTTGTAGCCAACAAAGTACTAGACAAATCACACTAGTTAGTTACTAGTGTCCAATCAAATTTAAAAGAAAGACTTTATTCTAAAAACTCCCATCTTCCTCGACTGCATTAATGTATCCCAATTAAACTAAGCCATCTATTTATTTCCTGTACATTTATTTATCTGTCGTTGCTTGTTTTGTTTTTTGCAAACCTTTCTTTTGTTAAGAGGAAAAATATTTTCTTTTTCCTTTATCCTCTTTCCCCTCTTTGTACGCATCATTTTATCTCCCTCTAATTTCCTTCTTCTTGATGTTATTGCTGTTGTTGTTGATCAGTTAGTCTGATTTTCTCAGGCAGGCAATGATTGTTAACTAGTCAGATCCAATTGATCCAATTCTATGTGCCTACCTACACACATTCTATCTCTTTTTTTAACCTGTAATAAAATAACAAGCAACAAAATATCGTCTGTGAGCGTACCTTTTTTGATTTAGTGTGCGAAAATTGCTTTAACACACTGAGAGAGAGAATTGTTGTCGTGTATTTCTTCTTTTCTCGAGGTACGGTTGTGTCAGTAGAAATGAGGAAGATCAATCAGCATTACTGTTATGTACATACATTTCACTGAATTTATTTTAGGCGGTGATATATTCTTGCTGGTTATTCGAAACCATTTACTTACTCACAAAATAAATACGTTCAGCCAACAAAATTATGCTACTCACAAGTAGTCTAAAAGTGCTCCATACTTAAATGGGTATCACGTTCATTATTATTATTATTATTATTTCCTTTAATTCCTACAGGAACATAGGGCTTCAGCCGTACGTCTCCATTGCGTTCTGTTCTCTGCTAGAGTCTTTACCTGGCTCCATGTCTGCCCACACGTTTTCATCTCCTCTTCACATGACCTCCTCCAAGTCACCCTTGCAATGACGACCAACTCGCCGCTTCCCTGTCGCGTTCCACTCGAGCAATGGCTGGTCTAGTGATGTCACTTGATGGTTTCCTCAGAGTATGGCTAATCCATCTCCATTTCTTCCTGCCTATTTGTTTCACAATCGGTTCCTGCTGTGTTGGTTCGCTCCCAGAGATCTCTGTTACTGATCTTTTCTGGCCATCTGATCTTGAGTATTGAGCGAAGACAACTGTTAATGAAAGTCTGTAGTTTGTTTGAGATGCTCTTTATGACGCACCAAGTCTCTGAACCATCCGTATAGTAGGTAGCACTGACTTCACATTGGAGTTGAAAATCCGGATATTACATTTCATGCTGAGTGTTGTTGACCTCCACACAGACTTGACGTGAGTAGTGAAAGCTTGTCTTGCTTTTCCGATTCTTGCTTTGATATCCTCGTCAGTTCCGAACTCCTGTAGTTGAAACGATGCTTCTCAGGTAGGTAAAAGGGGTTGTTTCTTTCAGGTTCCTCCTATTTATGCTGATCGTTTTCTGTTGTTGTTGTTGCTATTGGTGGTGTAGCCCAGGAATCTTCATCACCTCTGTTTTCTTTATGTTCACCTGATGTCCTATCTTCTCTGGATTCTTCTTCTGTCGGCTTGTTGCTTTTCACTTGCATATCTTCCAGTTTGTGGGAAATCAGACATATCTCATCGGCGAATTCCAGACCCTCCAAGTTTTTTGTGTGAGTCCATTTTATGCCTGTTTCCTCATTGCCTGCTCTTTGTCACATTATCCAGTCTACTGCAGTCAGGAAAATCATTGGCGATAGTAGGCAGCCTTGTCTTACTCCTGTCCTCACTTCGAAGGATTCCGAAAGTTTCCCGAGGACCCACGTTCACTTGGTTCTGAATTCTAAGTGATCATAACGTTAAATAGATTATCTCAGATGTAATATAACAATTGAAGTCTGTTAGAAATAATCGCAACATTTCCCCTTTTTTATCCGTTAACCTAATTTTAACATTTGAGATGATTCTTTTAAAAAAATTGAATCATAACGGTTTGTGAAGTACCTAGACTAGCCACCTTTAATTGTATCTATCAATTCAACTGCTCCTGTGAAGCCAGTTATAATGGTCGTTGCTCGAGGGACTTATTTCCCTTCCTCGGGAACACCACACACATACCAGTTTGGTTAGCGAAAGCTGTTGTTGAAACCATTAACAGTTCTATATTGGGTCACCTCATCCAAACAGGTCATAAAGGTAGCTAGTATTGAATAGTCTTTCTCTATCATCTGTCTGCTACTGTATCGAATAAATTACCAAATGCCTCTGGACACTCAACATTCCAGACAACAGAGGCTATTGCAAATCGCCTAAATCAACTAGACCTCTGAGTGCAAGAGAAACAGGTTCAGTCAGTCACTATTGCAACGTTGGCATGTTATAGAACCTATAAATTCATAAATTCTCTGTTACTCCCCTTAATCTGTCTGATATTAAGTCAGTCTAGTGTTATATTAATATGTATATTTACTATCACCGCCTTACTGATATGTCGATAGTGTTGATTGGATGTGATTTAAAACAGCATTAATGTTGATAATAACAATATTTCTTCAATTATTGTGCTCATATAAGTGTAGATAGAACATGATGATAAAT